ATGGGTCTAATACGTGCAAAAAAATATTATTAAACCACACTAAATTCTGATTGAGATTTGCTGACCAATTTGTGGTGGTCACAGGGCAGCACTAAATTAAAATACAATAACGATAAATCCCATGAAAAGTTTGCACAAAAAGCTGTCAGAAATGTTTGCAATGTATATATATCACATGCATGGCGTTCAGACAATAGCATTAAAGTGAAATTACCATAAATTTAGTGAAAATGTTTTGTAGATTAGAGGTGTATGTAACATTGGCTTTAAAAAGAATAATCACCCGATTCAATTTTATCAGTTTTTTTAAAGAATTACCATATAATTAATTTGATTTTAAATTTAAAATCAATTTAATCAATTACCATATAATTTATAGTTCACTACTATTTTTTTATTTTTAATTTTGTACATTTCGCGTTACTTAGATTGATTTATCTACACTTCTAATGGGACTGAAAAACTGCGACAAATTCTTATAATTTGTTATAGTAGTAATTGATGTGACATTTATAATTGTTATTAACATGTTTAATTTTAAAAAAAAAGTAAAACCATGATAATTATCACTGAATAAAAGTAATTAACCGTGACTTAAAATATATCTATAATAATTTTGTCACTTGTTTGTACTCATAATCACTTATAAGGTGGAAATTAGATTAATAATTTAATTGAATATTTATTTACTATTTTTTTATATTGTATAATCATGAAATTTATTAGAATAAGTTAGGAACACTTATTTTAATAAGTTATTAAAAATTATTGAAAGAAGTTAAATAAGTTTGTGAATAACTTATAATTTTTAAATTATTTTTTCTAAATTCAAATAAATTTTCTATAAAGTTTTTGAAAGACACTCTTAATCAAAGAAGATTAATATTGTTTTGTGAAAAGAGGGTTTCATGGTGATTCAACGATCCACAATGGTGGTGAATGTGTGACTACTTAAAAGCTTGAACAATGTGTTGTCAATAAGTTGACATGGTTATGGTGTTTTTCAAGTCTCGTTTTAGGCTACACCTCCACATGAATTCAGTGCTCCAAAGCTTTAGAGACATAATTTTCTTCTTGTTGAGTGAACTAAACTTTTTCACCAGTTATATACATGAGAAAGATTTTTAGTTATTCTTTTTCCAAATGGAAAAGAACTAGGGTAAAACCAGAAGCAGTAAAGTTAAAGATAAAATCTATCAAAGAAAAGTATAAAACAAGATCTTCTAAAGAGTTTTTAGTTTATTAATTGAGCCTCACATTGTTTCGTGATTATGTTGGTAATTGTTAGTTATAGTTTGGTAGTATAATGGAAAAAGATGTCTGTCAAATAAAAATAGATTAATTAGAGTAACTAATGTGGGTTAATGTTATAAACAAACACTGTTTAATAAAAAATAAATAAAGTTTGGCTTAGTTAAAGGATCACTAGATTAATTAGATCTTATATGTGGATGAAAATCTGAGCCGTGCACGGGACAAACTATAATTGAATCAGCTGCTTACATAGAGAACAAATAGGACAAAACATTAATTGTGGGATCTTCTGATCAAAATAGGATGGTAATATTTGAACTCAAACAATATGTTCATCGACCCTACAATCTATTCTTGAGTGGACAATCATGAATCGCGTTTTTCATTAGCGTGGAACCCACTTTGATTCATATTGGTCTCTTTAATTATGATCACACATGTAATAATAGAGAGGACCCTAACTTGGGCCATTTGTTCTACATTGCAACGTGAGATTATTTGAAAATTATTGTTATTCGATGCATCCGTCAGATTAAATTGTATAAAAAAGTTAAAATTATATAAACATCTCTCATCAGATAAGTATATTATAAACATAATAATCTGTTAAATTAAATACATAAATGATTTGGCTTCTTGACCTAGAAAACCCAACCCCATCAATTGCAGTTGTCAAAGGAACGTATCCTCACTTTTTATTCACCAATGAAATTGATGGTGGATTCAGGAAAGTGTTTGCTTATCACGACATAAAGGTAATGTGGAAATTATTTTTAAATTATTTCGAGATGAAGATATGTATACTTCATCTTTTTCCTTTTCTCTTTATATGTGTGTTATTCAATTTAAAAATAACAACTTTCTATTTATTTTTTTTGTTAATTTATATATAACTAAAAGTATATAAATTTTTCTTTTAAAAAAGGTCCAAGTCTATCATTGTGTTGCCATGTGTGGCAATCCAAGCAAACGAATCATTTTATAAATTTTGACGATTAGTTTGCCGTTTGCCACTGATAAATGTCTATGCTTACCTGTTTTTATTTAGGCTATTGATTAAATTTTTTAAAAAATTCTTATAAAAAATAATATTTTTTTTATCAAAATCTCTTTATATTTTAGAAAAATTAAATAAGAGAACTCATCAACTTCTTAAAAAAGCATAAAATTATTTCTAATTTATGAGATAAATGTTATTTATTTTTATATTATTTTTTATAAATATTTCTCTAAAATTTACTCAAACTGAACCCTAATACATTAGGTAGATTAAAAAAATAAAATTATATTATTTTAATAAAATTTCTCACAAATTTATGTACAATTTCTTACATTCAAATTAAAACATTTCAAAATGAGTGTTTGTATACAGTGGAGATTATTTTAAGAATAACTTTGGCTAAAATTATTCATTTCAATAATTATCTATAAATTTAATAAATTCAACCATTAAAAATGTAACATTAACATATTAATCATGTGTATTAAATTTTAAATAAAATAGATATTTGCGGATATATAATTTTATAGTTAATTTTTATTTATATTTTAAAGTATATATTATATATTAAAATAAAACTGTTTAGTAGAGAGTCAATTAGTTTTTGAATTATATATATATATATATATATATATATATATATATATATATAAACTTAATCTATTTATGTACAACTTTCAATCCAATAGATTAATAAAACAAAAATGCTAACAAACGCACTTTTAAAAAAATACACTTCATTATTTGTTGAATTTATTTACAATCACAAAAAATTAAGTAACTAACAAATTTCACTCATTTTTTTTATAATTAAGTAATTAAAAATATATTCATAAATTTATAAAAATTATTAAACAATTTAACTTTAACTAAACAATTCTTAAAATAGCCTAATCTCCGCCCATATAATCCATATGTTTGAGTGTTATAGAAGAGAAGAGATTCAAAATATCACATAAAATAGATGGTCCAAGAGAATATTTGGAAAAGAGAAAAAGTCATAAGATCGTTCATCTAATATATGGTGGCAGTATGAGACAAAACCAAACATATAATAGACATCTTCCACTCAATGACCCAATCCCCACCAAACACATATAAGGTCAGATTAGATGTTTAGACTTTTGCCGTACAGTTGTGACAGTGTTCCCCTCAAGTGAGGTAGGTCTACGTTTTGGTCTTAAGATCAAATACCACTAAGTTGATGTGCCAATGAAATGAATTTTGCAACACAAACACTACTAAAAGAATAGAATATCAAATTAGGATAGTGGTTCCATACAGCATGCAGAGATAGATAGTGACTTAAATTTGGTATAGAAACTTATATATGATTCAATTGCTCTTTTATGGGCCCCATGTTAGATTTTGTCTATAATTTGCAATGTTTAAGTTGATCGGGGTTTGACCTTTGAGGAAGATACAGCAGTATATCACAACTGCGCATGAAGAATTTGGGTGCTTTTTGTGCTAACAACTACATTATAATATTTAGTGTATGACTCATGATTGTGGTATTAGTTCATGAGATTCATTATATATAGTTTGTTCTTTAGTGTGCCTTTACATATTGCGATAATCTAAGCCTATCAATGTATTTCGCTAAGAAACAATTAATTATACTAACAAGTTAATTGACTAAAAGAAGAAAGATTACTTCTATATGTGGTGTTGCATATATTTCCCAAACAATATTGTAGGAAGATGGAATGTGCATATATTTGAAGCAACTTAATTTCAAGGTTGGGATGTGATAAAGTAAATTAAGTTTTAGCTTAATTATTCATTAAAAAAAAAGGTAAAAGTCTTGGGGGTAGCTGTATGTTGTCTTTATATTACCAAAAGTCAATTGAAACCTTTGGAGTTGGTAATTAAGCACGGGTCTGCCTTATCTCTTGTGTGTGTCTGTATCGTAAAAGTAATATTATCTTATCAATAAAGAGAAAGAGAAAAGTGACAGAATACTTGCTTCTAAATTAGATTTGCCCAATGCTTTATTGAGGTTGTTTGTATTTTAGTACAGGCGTCTAGTTAGTGGGGGATATAGTTAGGATTTAGTGTGGGATATAGCTAGGATTGTATTTAATTGCATTAATCCTTATTTTATACTATTTTTTTTCTTTCTCACTGAGATTCTGTGGAAGTATAGTTTGTAATTTATAATTGTGGATGCAACAAATTATTTAAATTGCAAAAAAAAAAAAAAAAAAATAGAGCTCTTCTTTAATTTCTATTTGAATAACCTACTGCTTTTATGTTTACAAACAAGTACGTTATGTTTATGATCTGTTTAGTTCTTAATTAACAAAAACCAAGAACCGGTGACAAAAATGAATTTATATTTGGTAAGTCCAATTTTCAAATTTTTACCTGCTGTGTAATGTAAATGAATTTATATTTATATAATATAAAAAGACATATATAGCCTTCCAAACCCTGATCAAGAAAAAAGTGAGGGTGCAGAAACAACGCCATCTACTGTGGTGTCTTTGTCAAAGATCAAAAGTCCTAAACTGTGGCAGAAAACCTTAATTCCGTGGTGCCATCTTTTGTGTGTGTGTGTGTGTGTGTGTGTGTGTGTGTGTTTGCCCCCTTCTCATCTTTATTCTTTTAACATATATATTGGCCACAACCATGACAAGACTAAAATATGTTGACTTAAAATAATTGTTAATGTTGGGGCTTGAATCTCTGAGAGGAACAGCTTTAACATAAGATTGAGGATTTATTATTATATATGGTATATGCACATACATGGATATCGCTTTCCATCTTTACAATTGGAAGAAGGAGTGATGAAAACAAAGCAAATGAGGGGCAAAAAGCTGCATGAAGTAAAAGCCATAAGAGTGATGCATATTGGTTGGTTATGCTTAGCCTTTGGTTCTGATAATAGTGATTGTGCCTCTTCCCTGAGTGTGAATTCTAGTAAGGGCCACCACTGCTTTCCCTGAAAGGCCTGGACCCTCTGTGGACACGCATGGCCGACATGCAAAGTCCCCAACTGGATGCCTCACTGGCCTTGTGGGAGGCATTAGGATCCTCTCATTTATGTCATTCAAGGTCACATCACCTTCTCTGCCACCTGGCTTCACCATTGCAAATGGATACACCACTCTTGTTATCACCTTATTCTGTCTCTTCTCTTCATTGCCTGTGTTGTTCATTTATTACAACATCATACATACAATTATTACAAAATGCATTTGTTAATCTATATTCTATACTAAACTACAACTATTCATTTCATAGTCATGCATACACTTTACACACAGGAATATATTATTATATTATATTTTGAAGAGAGAGAGAATGAATCAACGAAGTTGTACCTGATGGGGTAACTGTGGGGTCTGTGATCTTGGATGTAATTGGTTGTTTGTATGAAGATGAGTATGAATTTGGAGACTCGGAGGCTGACATTGTCTCTTCTGGTGTTTTTGTTTCTTCTACAAGAATGTTTGGTTCCTCGCTGATTCTACTCCTCAGTGTGCTTATATGCTCATCTAATAATATATCATGTATATACAACAAATTAAAAAAAAGGGTAGATAGAAGTAGCAGCACAATCAACACCAATTATCAATATAGTTCTCTTCATTCTTATATATGTATATATATTCTCTTTTGGTTGCAATAACAACAATATTTTGGTGTAAAAAGGAGTACATATATAAAAATACCTGAAAAACCACAAATCCTTTCTATCTGGTTCATGCAGTAGAAGTTGAAGTTCTCTAGTGGCTGGTGCCATATGGGGTTGAAATTCAAGAAACTCTGAAGTCAAGAGTGATGACATAATAATATTTAGTGTCACTCCAAGAACAAGAGGAGAATATCAAACTGAAAAAAGAGAAAATAGTCAAAAGAGTATAGTAAATTCTACCTGCTCAAGATCTTCAATGGAACTCTTGCTAAGTTCATCAGCAGCAAATGGAAGCAAGCGTCTACGTTTGGAACGCTCACATGATTCGATCAAAGCATCTTCAAGATACCCAGTTGAGAAATCAGAATGTTGAGGTGAGAATGATGGTGTACTTCCCTCCATCGCAGGCACTGCATATTGAATATCAACAATCATTGCATTGCATTGCAATCGCAAAAACACTATCTAGCTAGTTATAAGCATATTTCTTTATCCAAGGAGAGCATAATAGATAGAATATAAAGAGAAAGAAGAAAAGTAGTACTTAAAGACATTTTGTCCGCGTTGAGAACTCCAAGGTTGTGACAATCCCAACCTAGGGAAGAACCATAGAGGCTACTAGTGTAAGCTAGGGAATGAAGCTCGTTCATTTTGTAATAGGGTATACAGTGTGACTTGGTGCCTAAAAAAATGATGGGAAGGGTCTATTTATGTACAAGTTGTGGAAGAAAACAGAAAAGCATGGATGAGTATAAGAAACAAGTAGTAGTAGTAGTAGGAGTCAGTCAACGGAGGCTAAGGAGAAAAGTGGATGTTTCTTGGGATTCTGAAAATGTATTCACTTTAGTTTTTTAAAATTTATTTCCTTGGTTATATATGTGGGGGACTAAATAATTGCAAAGGTTATCATATTGTGCTTCTGCTCTTAAATGTAAAGCAAGGGTGTGGAAAAGACATGCCCCCAAAGAGACATAATTCAAATTTCAGCTTTTCCTTTTGTGTTTTTCTTCATGGACCCTTGTATGGTATGGTTACCAACCGTTTCTCCAATGAGGCCTTTTATTTTATTTTATTTTATTCTTGCACATTCTCTCACCCATTGTGGGGGTCATATCGGCTGTATCTTCCACCACATGGAAAATCATCTTGGTGGGTGTCATATAACAAAAGGGTCCCACCAGATGGCATGCTGTTGAGGGGCCCATGTTAAAAGATGACTAGAAGAAGAAGAAGAATTAAATCATGGGTTTGGTCTAAGGGACCACCTTTTTGATCCTATGGTTTGAATGGTTCAATTTTGTGGAACTTTGTTGCAGGCATTGTAGTTTGTGTGGATATTGATTGATGCACTCACAATCTAACGGCAACCAAAGTGTCCAGGTTTGTGTGGTTCTTCGTGTCAATTTTTATTGACAGAGGCTAATTTCTCTATTCACCATTTCACTATTATTGTTACTTTTAATTATTAAATACAATTCAATTCGTACACCTTGATATATAAATGAAACTGGAGTTCAATCAAGAGTTGCATAAATACCCACTTAGCCCATGATTTTGGTTCAGGATCCATAGTACAAGATAGGTACACAATTAAAAGTAAAATGTTTTTGAGTCAGGGTGAGAGAGAGGAAATTTGAATTCATTGATGTTTCCGTAAGCACAATTTCCTTTCACATTCCCAGCAACTGTTTTCTGAGTACTATATCAACTTGAGTGTTAGATGAAACGGGCAAACAATTATGATGTCGAGAAATTTAACACTCCAGTTCAGGTATTCATGGGAATGGCAAATGAGAAATTAAGCTAATTGAATCTAAAGCGTTGAATCAAATTTTAATCATGGTATGGGGATTTTTAATTGCTTACAGTTTATTGGAAAAAACGAAATAGTAAAGGAATAACTTCTTTTAGGTACGACATCCTGTTTTCTTTCAAAATATTAATTTAATATCATGATTAAATAAAAAAGGACACAAACTACACCACTTTAAAGTCCTAAAAAGATACATCGAATGCTAGGACTTTGAAGAATAACTACTCATCACCTCATTTTTAAAGCTTTTTCTTTTGGCCAAACTCCTTTAAATTTTAAAAAAGATATAATTACATAACAATTTAGTATTTTTTTTTTCTTTTACAAAGAAGTTTATGACCTAATAGAGAGAGAGAAATGATAGGTCAAAGTTCGGTACAATTTAATTATGAGGAAAACAAAACTTTTCTATTTTTAAACCTTATAAAAAAAGATTAAATTCGCTCTTGACCTTAAAATTAAATTTAAAAAAACAGTATCAAATGAAGTAACGCTATCTTTTTCATCTCATAAGTTGCTTTGTATTAATGCAGAATGACTATTTTGGAGAGTCTGTTAAGCCATCAATTAATGGAGAATTAAGATTCAAGTGTTAGGTTGGTATGAGTTGGTGGTTTTTCTTGTGGCAGGTATTACTGATGTTGATTTCCCACAAATCTCTGGAGAATATTGGATTTCTTTCACTATTCAAAACGTAACCATATGAATTCTACTCTGATTTCATCGTGCTTCAGTCGAATAAAACCAAATTGTTTCAAGTCTTCAACCGGTTCTGATTAAACAAAAATTTAAGGATTACTTGATGGGTAAAGAGGGTTTTTACTTGATTATTTATCCGTCTTGCAAAACTTTTCTTATTTTATAGTAAAACAAACTCTCTTTTAAAGGAATAAATGTACACACACCACAAACTTCTGTAGATGTGATAATACCTCGTGTATCCACATCATTTTATCAAATTAAAATATTTTCTTTTTAATTTAGTTTTCTCAATTATTTGACTTTTTCTTGACATATTAACTTAATTTTTAAGTGAAAAATAATATGAATAAATAGTACTGCCAAGCATTGTGAGCAAGGGACTTTTGTTATAAAAAAGTAAATTTCAAAAACGGGGATGGTAATATTTTGTCGGCAATTTTAAAGTAAGAATTTTAAATAAAGCAACCAACCACAGCAAGAGCATGCTATTATACTCTTAAAAACATCACAAAATAGTTCCATTTGATTCCTGAGTAGCAGCAGCATTGGTCTCCGCTTGTGCAGTCTGTAATTTGCGCAAAATCAAGGAAGAACTCCCCTCATCTACATGCAACAACAACTACAATAAATTAATATTGTAAATAAACCCATAATTAAATGAGAAAAAGTGGTGAACATTCCGTGTATAATTGGACGCAAACAAGTAATGGGACACCAATTAAATTCAAATTGTGTGAGGGACACCAATAAAAATAAAGAGAAAATAGAAAGTTTATTCAGTTTAACAAGAGATACTTTTTAAAATTCTAAAGAAAATTATTTTTGAAAAAAAGAAAAAGTGTTGATAGGTGTGATATACAAGATGCGCACAAAAAGGCAGGAATAAAAGGGTAAAAAATGATAACTTTCTATTAGAATTGACTATTAAACCACTCACTAAATCAACTATTTAACACTAGGGCTGCTTTTACTTTTTTGCAAGGCATGTGTACTCCAATTCTTGATCATTCCTTAAGATCAAAAGCTCTTCCTATTCTTTATACCTTCCCTTGCTACGGTTGTTGAGCATTGGCATTATCTTTCACTTAAGACATAGACTCAAGACTAATGGTTTGACAATAATTCAATAACATCGTCAAGAAATACTTAACAAATCAGAAATGAATTGTAATAACTACCAAAATAAGAAAAAAAAAAAAAGTTTTCTTATGGCCATAAAAGAATAATCAATTTTTTCCCTTGGTATCCAATTACTTCATATCTGAAATAACTAATTGGATGCTTACTATCTCCTAATAAAATCGTGAATCAAATGGTGCACGGATAAGGCTTTTAAAATTGCAGAACAGATCTAAGTCTCCAGAAATAAGTTTTACAGTGGTAATAGCACGACAAATGTCTTTTACAGGAAAACCTTAGAATTGTTCACTTGACAACCACAAGAAGTTTACGGGCAAGCTAAAATATATCAGAAAATTGTGGGCACCGAAATTAATGAACAAATGCAAACAGAGTCGTAGAGGTGACAGAAAAGATGGTGCCAAAAGAATAAATAGAATAAAAATAATCTAAACATATAGAGAAATGCAGGGTGCTCACAAAAGTAGCATCCTAGCTAGCTGCTTAGTCCTCCATGGGAACTTCATCTTGCCCTTTATCAATTTCAAAGTCATCATCACTCTTCAATTTCCCACAGACATTGCATTCCATGACATTAGATGGAGTATCACCCTGTGGAGGTAAAGGAGCTAAAGTTCCCCAGCAATTTGTTCTATCACACATGTATTTTAAAAAGAAATAAGCATGTGGGAAATCATTATTATCTCCAATGGGATTATTGTCAGTGTCTGATGCTTCAGATCGATCCTCATCCATATTCTCATCTTCATCCTCAGCATTATCTTCAACACTGTCATTATCTGACCAGTTTGATTCAACATTACATCGATCACAATGACAGGTGAAGCCATAGTCTTCGCTCAATCTCTTCTGCCTACTAGAATAGTTTTCATTCACAGGGAAATAACTCAAACAGATCTCCCTACCTTGAGGAACATCATGAATCATCCTAATAATAATGTCAGTATTATGGCTGTCATCAGGTGGATTAGTGTCCACATAATCAAATCTGCAGGAATTGGGAAGGCAATCATGGTTAAAAAAGGAGGCATATGGGTAAATACCATAAGCTCTCACAAACCTCTGGTCATCATCGATAGAGAAGGGCTGCATTATGCCAAAGGCATTAAGTTTGTCCTTGGCAAGAAGTGCAGAAGTGAGTTCTAAAGAAAATCCATTCAGGGGGCTACTAAGAGCAAGTGACTCAATAAGGGGGTGTAGGAACTTAGCTGCAGCAATGGTGGCATCATCAGGAGAACCCTGAAGAGAAAGCATAATTTGAAAGTCTGAAGGGGAGATATGGGCAAGGCTGTAGGCAGCAATGAGAAAACGAGCTTGGACTTGGCGTTCAAGTGGCTGTTCAAGCAGTAGAGAATTGGCTCTGAGACGAGATAATGCTTGACATGCCCAAGAAGAAGAATGGGAGGATTTCAGTGCCTTTGAGAGACAATTTGAGCTGCAAAAGCGATAGTGGCAACAAGAGGGGCATGAGACTTGGGATAATGTAGAATCTCCCTGTACAGGAAGAGGCAAGGTTCGAAAGCAGTGGTCACAGAAGTAGGAGGCTGACATGGAGGAGGATGATGACAAAGACTGTGTGATAAAGGGCAAAGCTGAATACAGCAGGATGGGAGAATCTCTGAGGACAATTTGGCCAGCTTTAAGAGGCTGAGGGGCAACCATTCCCCTCCCTCTTCCATGCATTTCCTTCACCTTCAAAAGGGAACTTGGAGCAGCCAGTGACATTTGTATGTAATTTCAAATTGCTGATTCCCAAAACTAAAACAGTATCCTCCAGCGGGTAAAACCTTTTTTTGAATTTCTACAGAACCTCTGACACCTATAAGCCTTTTTGGCTATATTTTCCTACTGGACATTAGAGAGAGATCAGAAAGCAGCTTGAACAAATTAGCCTTTCAGGTTTTGTACACACAGTACAACTAGCACTCCTTTTCCCTATTCTCCAAGTGATTCAAAGCAATCAAAACAGCTGCAAGGGGAACAGAAGAAAGGAGACAAGGAATTTACAGTGAGTTCTCAGTCGTATTAAAGCATTGTAATAACTTTGCAACAACATAGATATACATTTTTGGAAGTTTTTTTTTTTCAATAAACATCCAACTTGAATCAGTAGATTACGTTAAAATGCCTGTAGCAGTATAATTAATTACAAAAAAGTGTCATATTTGGAGGCACAACTCCCAAAATCATAGGGGAACTGTATTTGGTCATGAGAATAAAACCAACTAAACGATTTAATATATCCAAGTATACAAGATTTCTTTTTCTAGGGATACCCTTCTATGTGGATAAGTTTCAATCAATCTAAAGATTCAAGTATAAATTTCATTTGAACTACATGAACACCATAAATTCTAGCCCTCACTTCTATCACTTATTAACCCAGATGAATTGAATGCTAAACTTGATAGAAGCATTTCTAGAGAAGAAGTCAACAAGGAAGCTTTGAATGTTATTCTCAATACAGCTCAAGGGGAGGATGGTTATACAGCTTGCTTCTTCAGATTATTATTAAGACTGACTTCATGAGTGAGGATATTTTCTTGTAGTAAGAGAACATTTTGCTACAGGTCTCTGATTCAATGTTGTCAAAATCGGAATCCTACATAGGATTGAGAGGGGATCCAAGATCATAAATCGTGTGATCATAACAATGATTGTAAGATCATCCAAGAAGTTCAAAACTACGCTTAAACATATACATAAACATAGAAAATAACATAGATAAAGAAAATAACCTCTAAATCACATAATTTAACTAAACATAAACTCAAAATTCATAGCCTTAAGATCCAATACAACACATAATTAGTCAAATAAGAAATAACAAATGAGTGCAATCACAAAATATTGCAGAATGCCGAGCCACAACACCCAACCACAAGCAAGAACCTCAACAGAAGTACAAAACCAAAGGCAAAAAAGAAGAGAAACCAAAAACCCACGCAGCAGCACCTAGGTCACAGAAAATATAGAAGATTGACGCAGAGAGGAGGAAGCTCGTTTTGAAGTTACAGAAAACTACTAGAAATGATGTTATGACCAAAGGTTCTAAAGTGAAGACATACTTCTATTCCAAAGATTTGAAGAATAGAAATTAAGCATTGAATTCAAATGCTGCTGGATGATATTTCCTATTATCATTTACATGGTACTATGTGCTGGAAATTCCTTGTTTATAACTGAGGATATAGGGAATAATTTTTGATAATTTGAGAAATCAAGGTTTAGTTGTGAGTCTTGGGATGTATTTTCACAGGTTCAATCATGAAGACATTTCCTAGTTTAGTTGTTTGAGACCATATTTCCTATCTCAGAGTCAAATCCAAACATGAAGAGTCATAAACAGTCAGGAAAATTTGAGAATTCTCAATCAGAAAATTAATAAAGCACATAAAACCTGATTCCAAATAAAATCAATAATGTTCATCTTCATGTAAACCTGCAAAAGTCAAAACTGGTGCGGCTCACATAACTAGAACTGTCTAATAGACAAATTGATACAGTGGCTGCTAAGAAAGAACTGAACGATAAACTTCAACAATACAAAGAGAAAGGGGTGAAAAGAATTACAGTTAATTGGCAGGTTGTTGAAGGTTGAGGTTCTTCTAGTCAACAGAAGTTTGTGCTGCGTACAGAAAAATCTATCACTTCACTCTAAACAAATTCATAAACAATAAAGATACAATAATATGCCCAATTTCAAGTTTTGGACATTGAAATAATACTATAATCAACATTATATTTGAGAACAAAAAATTCTTATGCAAACTCTAATTTAGAACAATAAGTCAATTATGCGACCATAAGGGGCTTAGAAGTCAGTTTAGACTCCCATTACATACCTAAGCTTAACCAGAAACATAACCCATTTCAGACCAAACGGCGTTTGCTCTGCAATTTATTGCATTATGTCAATGCTTGTAATTCATTAGACAGGCAATCAATCCTAAATAATTAGTCTTAATCATAGTTGCTAATAGTGCGCTATAGAGGCACACAGGCACAGGCACAGCACAGCAGTCGGCTGCCACTGCTGCCAAGTCGCGGGTCATTTGTCACACCGCAAGGTTGCAGGTGGTTCACAGCTAGAACAGGGAAAAGTTGTGTGTGCTATCACGCAATTTTTGGAAAAGCAAGAAACCCTTTTCTATTTTTAATAAAGTGCACCGTTTTGATCATTTTTAAGGGTATAAAGGATTTCTCCTTCATAAAACATATATATAATAAAACCGATTGTCTTCCTCCACATTTTCCTGCATGAAAAGTTGGAACCTCAACAGAAACGGTTTCTCCCCTCCTTGCCAGCTCACCCACTCCACTTTGTCAGAGGAATCAGCTTTTCCGGCATCTCCTCTGCTTCTGTGTTCACCAGAGAAATCAGCTTTTCCAACATTTGCTCTGCTTTCCCGTTCAAGCTCTGTTTTACTGTTGCTTTGCTGTTCAAGGTCTGCATTTTTGTTCAAACACTGCTTTGTTGTTCACAACTTCATGCCCTGTTTTGCTGATCACCTTCACACCCTGTTTTTTTGTTCACATTCTGTTACTTAGAAAGTCAGGACTTGAACAATCCACGCTTTATTTGCTGTTCCAGACTTCTAATCTCCTTCTATGGCATCTTCACGACAAGAATAGAAGCTATAGTGTTTTACGCTTTTACTTTGAACCATTATTATGTGATTAATTTTGAGAATTTCTTGAGCATTTATACTAAAATTTTGTGTCTATAACATTTTATATATAAATATTATAAATTTTTAAACAGCAATCATCACACTATTCGCTATTTTGATGTAGCATTTTAGGGGTCAGCTGCTATTTGCATTATCCACGGTGGTCTTAATCAAAGCACTTTCATAAAACATAGGCTCGTGTCCAATTACATCCTTGAGCTCACAAATCCATGCATTATTTCAAAAATAAAGGAGGGGCCAGAAATATGTAATGGTAGTTAAACTGCATATGAGCAAGGCGTTACCCTTTCTTTTAGCAGTCAAGAGGGTACTTGGTTTCTCACAATATAGTTGATCTATGAATGTCTTTCCACTATCACTTACTCTGTACAATTTTGGTGAAGTACAATTAATTATTTCAAGGCACCAAGGGACATAATATGACAGGGTGACTTTCACTTTTTTCCTATTCATACACTCTTAACTAAGTTGGGTCGCAGTGAAGGTTATACAGCGTCGGAATAAAAAGATAGTGTCTGCGGCGGGAAAGGAGGATTGTCTGCTTTTAATCCAGCAGTTGCAGCCAAACAGGTCATTATTATTCTATAATTTATTGAAGATCAAAGGTATCTATTTCCCCCACTCTTCTTTTGTAGTGGCCTCAACGCCTACCAATAACCCATGTTGAGGAACGTTGAAAGTGAATAGTACGAAACTGGAACAAAGAAACAGAAACAATATGCTTTGCAAATTATGCAAACAGAATGTGAATCATGTTATATGATTATGAGGACTCTACGATTCAATCAATCTTACCTACCCTTACTTTCCCAATATTCTCGCAGCTTCCTTGTTCTCCGACAACCACAAGAATCAATCAATATGTAGTGATTGAAAATGAAACTGCAAATTGTGAAATAAAATAAAAGAATAGAAACACTTTATCAAGATTTTAAATCCAACCCAATTGAACAATTAGATGCAAATCAAAAGCATTTTACTCACCTTACTTGCAGTGAGCACTTTTGATATTTCAAGGAAGGAACCACTACTTTCTTATAAACCCTTGTGAAAGAGATGCCTCTGCTCCAACAAGTTCACGGTGTCATCATTTGCCAAGGGTTTTATTAGCGTGGGCCGGGCCCTTCATTCCTTGGGCCACAAATGTCTCGTTAGGTTCAAACTATTGTGCTTATGGACCCTGACCAAAATCAAATGTAACCGGCCTAAAAAAAATATAGATAAATTATTATTAAAAAAATGTTTGATCGTCGCATATTTTTAATTTTGGTGTTGTCAGTCAGCGGTAGCTTCAATGGAGAAATCGATGACACTGATTACATTAACCTTTTACGCAACGCATTGGCAAAATTTCTTTTACATAGTTGTTAAAAAGATAAAGGGATATCGTTATGATGTTTAGTATATTTCTTAGTATCGAAACTTATTCTAGAATTGTATGTATAAATGTATGCCTCAACATTTTGGGAACGGAGACCAACATTTAAATATAAGCTGGAATATAAAGCCTCATTGCAGTTATGATGGATAGGGATATGTTGCTTGCATAATTTATGGCAGGCATCACTTCTCTGAACTATATGATTATCATTATCTCAGATAGGAATTTGTAGGTGCAATACTCTTTCAAGTATTTCAACATTATCTTAGTGGAGTTCATTTAATTTCATTGTAGTAAATTGGCACATGTTCTGATTTCAAAAATGGGTAGCACTCCATTTGATTTGTAAGACATGTACATTGGTTAGTGCATCAAAATTGTCTGTTTCTCACCATCTTCTGTAAGATGAGCTGTGCGGTTCGTAATGATTTTGTGTTTGAAAGAAATAATCAATTAAAAAAGTGCTTGCAATTACAGTGAATTCCTTTGAGGAAAACTCCTATGATAAGCCTTCTTTGGTTTGTACCATCTAGCATAGACAATATACACCACCATGTTTAAGAAACTGAGTGCAGCTAGAAGCCAGAAAAAGTAGTCAAGATGACCCTCGTTCAAATTATCTGCTATCCATCCACAATTTCCATTCTTCGTTGTGAGGTAATCAATAATAATGAGAATCAAAGAGCTGAGGTAATTCCCAATTGAATTTGTAAGCAGTGCCAATGCACTGCAGAAACTACGCATGCCATTTGGTGCTTGCTCATAGAAAAACTCATGTTGTCCAACAAAGGTGAATACCTCTGCAGCACCAAGCAAGAAATACTGAGGTATTTGCCATAATATACTTAGTGGAACAGGAACATCTTCATCAAACAATCCAAGATCTTTTGCCATTTGTAATCTCTTACTCTCTAAAAAAGCAGCATATGACATGCAAATGATGGAGAGGAACAGGCCAATTCCCATCCTTTGCAATATTGAGAAGCCCCTCTCCTTGCCAGTGAGTTTCCTTGCAATTGGAACAATCCCTCTATCATATATGGCAACCCAAATAGTGACCCTAATTATGTCAAAAGTTGAAAGAGAGGCTGCAGGAATAGTGAAATAACCAACTGTTGTGTCCATCATCTTCCCTTGTTCAACAAACAATGAAGACATTTGAGCATAAACCGCACAGAAAATGATTCCTGTTGCCCAGATTGGAAATATGCGGATCAAAATCTTCAACTCCTCCACCTGCGTTACCGTGCAAAGCCTCCATGGATTAGTTACTTCACCACTCTCTTTTTCTGCATCCGATATCACTGCAGCTTTGTCAAGGAACCTGGACAAAAAAAGTTTCTAAAGGGCATGAATTGCATTTAAGTAGAGAATTTTATGGTCATTTTTTTCCTGCAAAGCACAGAATCTTGAACACTTACAAGGATAATCATCATGCTAGTGCAAAATAAATGGAATTAGATAAATGTGAATCCTCAAATCAAAGCTATTCTTTTGCCAAATCAGAACAAAGTTTGGAAGCATATTTGTATTTCCGCCTGTTGCTATAGATTTGAACAGGAATAAGGAATGGACTTTAACCTCCATGCAATTTCTAACAGGATTATGAGCGAGAAAAAAGAGAGAAAAATCCATTTCTTTATAACAGGATTATGAGTAAGAAAACGGAAGATTACTTCGGTTTAAGATGGTCCCGGTTCTGGTTGGAAAGATGATCATGAAAATAAAAAAGGATATTTGAGATTACTTGGAAAAAGAAATATCTCAATACCTTCTGATACTAGTTTGTGTCAACAAATTCTAATTGATTTAGTGCTGGTTGCCTCATTCTTTGTCTTAAGAAAAATAAACAGTTGAAAGATTCCAAAACCTACAATCATACACTATTAATTAAGACTATAGAGCACCTCCTCTCCTCCTTATCCATTCCCCCTTTAAAGCAAAGTTATGATTCCTTTCTAGATTCACCTAAAATTCAAATTCCATAAATAGTACCGCTACATTTTAAAATGGCGGAAAATTTTCTCTGTTGACATATATTTGGGATGCATAATAAGGAAACAATACTCATACTACCTATGTATTGAGTAAAGGAACACAAAGATAGTACAATTTAATATGAATAGAAGTTAAAAGCTATGAGATACCTCAATCCATTGCTATGCTCTAGTTTAGGAATTTCTTCAATGGAAGTATCCCTCCTAACTGCTGCAATTTCATAGAGGAGATTACTATCCTGTGGAACCTCCAATTTCCACTTGCACAAAGCAGCAGCAACCACCTGGGAAATTCTTGTAAGAGGACTTCCCCCTGGCCTTTGAAATCTATAGACAGGTGTACCAAGAAATAAAATTATGATTGCAATACCGACAAACGATGCAACAATGCCATATCCAAGGCCCCATCCAACATTTTCTTCAATCCATACCAATATAGTGACTGATATAAGTGCACCAATGTTACTAGTGAAATAATTCCAATTAAAGAATGATCCTTTACTTGCTCTTTCCCTATGATCCGTATCATCAAACTGATCTGCTCCAAAGGGCCAAATACATGGCTTGATCCCACCAGTCCCTAGTGCAATAAAAAATAGTCCATAGTAGAATACAGCACGTTGAGCTGATGTTGCTGATGGGCATACAGAATTCACACATTCCATTGGCTCCAATGTTGGAATGGTTGCTGAAAGAGTCAATATGCAGATTCCCTGCACAAATTAATTATCACCTAAAAATACAAAAAACTATATAAAAAGAAATAGACAAATAAACAATTAGTGCAGATAATGGATGATTAAGACTGTTATATAAACTCAACACAAGGGCTCCAAACAAAATATGGAAAATTTAACCTCTGACTGATTCATTGCATTGCATGTGAATAAACCATTACCAAATAATAACTACTAGCTAGGATACATAAAAGGAAATTTTAATATGCATAGTTTTAGATAGTGAAGACAGAATCAAATGTAGAAGGCCTCCCATTATTGAATAAATTGAGGAAGGATCAGCAGGTTCTCACATCCCTTTTAATGCAAAGTTATGGAAGAGAAGGACATTAGACTTGACCCAAAACACTCTTGAGTAAAGTACAAATGCAAACTACAGAGTCCATCTAGACTTCAATATGAGAATCACAAATCATAGTTTTAATTGAGTTTACAATGAGATAGATTCCATAGAACACTGCAATCGTCCAATATCTTCCCCAGTAAGCATCGGCAAAGAAGGATCCGATGAGAGGAGTAAGATAGCATGTTCCCTGAAAAGTTGTAACGTTTCTTGCGGCAGAAACAACTCCTTCATGTAGTTTTGTGGTGAGATGAGTGACAAGATTACTGGCAATCCCATAATATGCCAAACGTTCACAAAAGAAAGTACCTGTATCAGATGTAGACATGTCAAATTCAAAATACACTGTTGTATACATCCCATGAGAACAAGAGCAGCTGATCAGTGATCACCTTGAATAAAGGGGCATGCTTTCCATGTCCCAGTTTCCTTCTTAAAAGCAAGCTCTCCCTTGTTGTTTACTGACCCATCTCCTGTGTGAAGACAGTCTTCAGACTGAAAATAAATAATAGCGTTAATAAGGATAATATAAATAAATTTGAAACATGTACAGATAACACAGGAAACAACTGTAACAGTGATACTGAACAACTGATAAAAGTTAAACAAACTCTGCAGAGCAGAGAAAAATAAATAGTGGAGTGTAACTATAGGAGCTGAATCTACAATTTCTTGTTATTTCGTCTAGAAGATTGATTGAATTAAATTTTATATATAAGATAAGGACCAAAGCCCTCCAGTGCTTTCAAATAACTACTCTAAAGAAGCATTGAAGACTGCACATAAAAAAAATAAAATTTTTTGGAGGGGGGTGAACTATGACGCCAACTGCAACTTCTTATTGAAAGAATAAAAGTCACGTAGCATTTAACTTTTTTTTTTTTTTTACTTTTAAAGTGAAGATAAGTATCAACATGACGATTAAATGTAATATACAGATGTGCAGCATGCTAAGTATGAACCTGAAGAAGACCATCTTCCAACAGTGATCTGAGTTCGTCCAAAGGTTCCATTGTATTCTCTACTATCTCAACCAACGAAGAGATTTAATTTAAGTGTTGTCGAATAAAGGATGATATAATTTTAAATGTCTCGTGAGAGCCCGTCATCATCCGCATTCAATTTTTATAACATTAATGTCTACAAAGAATGGTAGGTAAAAAGTTGAAACCCAATTCAGAAATCTCTTTGGTGAGTTTGAAACGAAGTTGAGAACTTGTTCGCTGTATATTTACGACCGGAAAACGTTTCGTAGGTTTTTGAAACAGATGTCAGAGTAATTCTCGTTTGCTTAATGACCTAAAATTAACAATCAATATCGAAGCTCCTAAAGGTTTGTTTAACAGTATTTTAGACCATTGGGTGTCTCTAGTCCATGGGATAACGACCAAAAGTGAACTACGTAGAAAAACTTGTTTACAACTGAATAGGAAGAAATAGTAGAATACATCAAAGCATGGAAAAATATTCTTGTACACTGATTAAAAATTTAATTTAGCATTATTCTTAATTGTTGAAGGCAAATTTAGAACCGGGCTAATAAGGCTATAATGAACTGTGTTGTTCAATAGTTTGCCACCACTCTAAAAAAAGTAGCAAATTTTTTATGACTCATGTTGTGCTGTGAGCTACTTTTATGCCGGGAGTTCATTCCCCTTGCTTTTTGTTCCCGTAAATCAACACAATGACCACAAACAACAGAATATATACATTATATACATAAAATGTCAAACTTTTTATTGAGTCCAATAATCTGAAGTCCTATATATATGTGTATATCAAGTAACCTTCTCAGTCCTCACTTAAAGTTAGAGGTGTTGTGAGAAGGGTCAGGGCCACATTTAACCCAAATAAATGGATGAAGTGTACATAACTGCAGGACATATATACATACACAATAATCATGACAATGACCCTAGGAAACCTCAGCACATGCTTCCACTACTAATAAATGCCTGAACCATGAAAATTCTTAAGAAGCCTTCTTTTGCTTGTACCTTTTGGCAGCAACTATGTACAGCAACATATTTAAGAAGCTAAGGCCAGCTAAAAGCAAGAAAAAGTAATCAACATGACCTTTGTTCAAGTTATCTGGAATCCATCCAAGCTTTCCACCTTGTGTGGTGAAATAAGTTACTATAGTAAGAATGAAAGAACTCAAGTAATTTCCCAATGAAAAATTCAGCAGTGACAGTGCAGCACCTAAAGTCCTCATAGAATCTGGACATTGGTCATACAAGAAGTCAAGCTGCCCAATAAATGTGAATACTTCAGCTGCCCCCAATAAAAAGTACTGAGGAATTTGCCAAAATATACTAAGGGGTACAGCAACAGGTTCATCAACAAGGTCAAGTTCTCTTGCAAGCTGCAAACGCATAATCTCCACAACAGCAGCTGCTAACATGCACAGGACTGAAATAAAAAGGCCAATTCCCATTCTTTGCAACTTTGAAAAACCTCTCTCCTTGCCAGTAAATTTCCTTGTAATGGGAACAATTATCCTGTCATAGAGAGGGACCCACAAAACAACACTTACCACATCAAAAGTTGTGAGGGAAGCTGGGGGTAATTTGAAGGAACCAATGCTTGTGTCCATCATTGTTCCTTGCTCCACAAACAATGTTGACATCTGGGCATAAACGGCAGAAAAAATTATGCCAGTAGCCCAAATTGGAAAGATGCGGATCAAGAGTTTCAATTCTTCCACCTGTGTCACGGTGCAAAGTCTCCATGGATTAGGATAGTCACCACTTTTACTCTCATAATCCGACACTATAGCTGCTTTATCAAGACACCTTCATTAAAATGAAAACAAAAGAGAAAAGAAAAGGAGTTTAAGAAGGTTCTGACCACAAAGTCCTGTTTGTAGTTGGAAGAAAGCACTTTGAAGCGAGGATACTTTAGCCATTATCAAATATAGACTATTATTTGGACGAAACTTTGAAAATATGTCTAAAAAACTTAACATTTTAGCACAGGATTTCTCAGTGCAACTAAGACAAAAAGGAAAATGTTCACATACAATCTGTCCTAGAAAACTGGTGAAACAAAAAAACACCGAATCTGCCATTACAGAGTACTGCAAGGATAAACCTTGAGTAAAGTTTAATAATACTCATACTAGGAAAAAATTAAGTACAACTTGTTCAGCATTTCATTACATGCAAGAAACAAGCAAATAAAACTTGTATTTTCATTTCTCACAATTTAGAATAAGAGTCATTGTTCATTTTACTCACGTACTTGTCTAATCATGCTTCATGACTATTGGGCAATAAAGTGAGAACACAAAACGTAAAACACAACTAGCGATCAGTCTTTACTCCTTAGCATTAGAATATGCGCTTTCATATTAAATGTTTACAAAGTAACATAAACTTCAAAGTAAAGCGAAAAGCTGAAAAAGTTTTCCCTTGCATGTAGATCCCAAAACCACCAGAATTCAAAAAAGAAAATTATCATTCAATTAACATTAATAACTTTTGATAAAATCCTTAATTCTGTCCTTCAAAGTTAAATGGTCACCACATCATCCAACCCTTCAAAAATTTTAGTCATTATCAATTAATCCTTCACACCAAATTAGTTCCTCAAACATTTAACTTGACATCAAATTAATTCCTAAAAAATTTAAGATGTTACCATAATTGTCCTTAGAGAAGACTAAACTGGAAACAAAAAGAATTTTTGAGGAACTAATTTTATGGGAGAATAAATGTTTTAGAGAGTAATTTACAGATAAAATAAAACTCATACCTCAGATCATCACTATGCACCAGTTTGCGAGTCCCTACAACAGCAGATTTCTCATCTGGTGTCTCATATAGGAGACTACTATCCTCAGGGACAACCAAATTCCACTTGCGGACAGATGCAAACAAAACCTGGAACATTCTTGTAAAAGGGCTTCCCTCTGGTACTTGAAACCTGTAGAGAGGTGTGCCTAAAAAGAAGCATCCAATAGATAATCCCATAAATAAAGCAGGAATGCCAAATCCAAGACCCCATCCTGCATTGTCTTGAATCCACACAATGAAGCTGCATGATACAACAGCGCCTAGGTCGATAGAAAAGTAATACCAATTGAAAAAAGATCCCTTTCTACCCCTTTCCTTGGAATCAGTATCATCAAATTGATCTGCCCCAAAAGATGGCACACATGATTTTACACCACCAGTTCCAAGTGCAATCACATATAGACCAAAGTAGAACACAGCATATTGTGTAGTTGTTGCTGAAGGGCACACAGAACCCACACATTCAGCAGGACTCAAAGCTGCCACAGATGCAGAAAGTGTCAAGATACACATCCCCTGCATGCAGCAGCCATATCACATGTTGCAACATGAAAAGACAATTATGTAACAAAGCATATTTGTAATTTCAGCATCTTAGTTTATTACAATGAAATAAATCATGGAGAAAACTGCAATTGTCCAGTATCGACCCCAGTAACCATCTGCTAGTACAGCTCCAATTAGAGGTGTAAGATAACAAGTGCCTTGCCATAGGCTGATATTTCTTGCAGCAGAAACATTTCCTTCATGTAGTTTGGTGGTGAGATAGGTAACAAGATTTGTTGCAATACCAAAGAAAGCCAAACGTTCACAACATTCATTGCCTGTGATTTATATACATAAAATTTATATAAACAAAAAAGGATGAGACATGTCAGCAGTACACTTTTGATACACTCTTCTTAATACACTATATTATTAGTTGAAATTTATTGAAAGTCATAAAATATATGGGTTTCACTCTTAATTTAAGGAGCCACATTCATAATCTTATAGTTTCTAATAAATTTCAACCAATAACAGTGTGTAGCTAGCAATCTTCAAAAAGGATTATTTAATATATAAAAGAAATGTAAAAAACCATACCTAGGATGAATGGGCAAGCTCTCCAATTGCCAGTATTCTTCTTAAGAACAGGCCTCCCTTTGAAGTCAACTGAGCCATCCCCTGTGTATTGGTCACTCACTTCATCATCCTTCAAAATAAAATTAATAATGATATCTCATCTCAGTTGGGAGTGATATATTTTCTGATATGATCTAAATCAACCAATAACGTAGTTTTTGGCCAAAACTAAAATAAAATAACAAAACAAATCAAAACAAATCTCTTATGTATGATTAAAAAGTTTAAAATATAGAGCGAAAACAGATGATTGATTGGTCTGCTCAAGTTTAAAATATAATTATATATATATTGACAAATCAATGGAAAGGGAATCAATCACCTGTGTGAACTGGAGACTTGGACTTGTTTTGAAATACTGTCATCTCACCTCATAAACATGGTACGGAAATTGACTATATAACCATAAAATCGAGTGGCAATGTATACCAATTATTTACTCGAATCTTACACAGTCTAATTTATTTATTGATCATCAAAGCTAAAGATGAGTGCATGTTTGGGTCAGTTTATTATGAAAAACTAATTAAAATTCTTTAAAAAAAAAAAAAAGTGGTTATTTTTTCAACTCACCCAGGAAGTATCCTTGAAGACTTAATCTTCCACTTATTTTTCAAAAGTTTCCAAACCATGGTGGTTTGGTGCAACAGTAACTGAAACACTGCCTCATAAAAAAAACCAGTTTGGTGTGTAAGCATTAACCATGTCCAATTATCCTCAAAAGTAGTTGGAATTTTTGGTCAAACATAACCGAATTATGTCACTAATCATGAAGGCATGGCCTGTATTGTAGAACGTAAGAAGTAGCATGACAAGAAGATAAAACTTAGCAAGTGCATGGAGAAAAAGAAAGATGAACCTGAAGAAGACCCTCTTCCAGAAAAAGTGTATCATCATCACCCACAGAACACATATCTTTGGTGGAAGCCTCTATCTGCTGTGCAAGCGCCAGAGAAGTACAATTTATGGACAACGAAGGATAGAGTATATTCAGATATTATTGCAATGCATACAAATTTATAATGCATAGAATAACTTAGACAAAATAATAAAATATAGGATTCTATCTTTTTCATCATCCAGTAATAAAATTCATATGCTTATAAAATAATAATAATAATAATAATAGTCACATTATTATGAGTACCATTTTTAGGAAAAGTGGAAGTCATATTAATCTGTTAGCATATTCGCATCTAGAGACCTAAATTTTCGGTCCTTTCATTTAAAATATATGATTTATATCATCGAGAAAAATATATATAATTATGAATAAACCCTATCCAATTCAAAGACTATACTGCACCGCCTGCAGTTCGTTTTAGATCAGAATGGAGTCGCATTTCAACTTCAAGATAGATAGACAGATGGGTACATATTTTCCTAATTATACAATTTGAATATTTTGTTTTTGTGATTTAAAAGGTAAATAAATGGAAAATATATTATATAAATATCCAAAACAGGTGTTGAAGGTAATGAGTGAATATGGGTTTAACACATTTGGCCCAATCAGGATGTTAACATTTTGCTACTCAGCTTTCAATCATTACGACGCTTTAACATCGCTTTCCACTGAACAAAAATATATTTTACCCAAAAAACTAAAAGTAACAAAAGGTCGATCATATAATCTAAGAGGAGGTTGGGAATAAAAATTCTTATATTTAATTTATATTTAATAAATTATAATTTATTATTTTATTAACTATTAGATGTAAATTAAATAAAAAATTTTAATTAAGTATAATTTTTTAAAATTTATATTAATATAAAAAATTTATATATATATATATATATATATTAAATTGTTGATATTTTTACTTTTTATTTTTTTGAGTAAGTAATTTTTTTTGTATATAAATTTTAAATTTTTTTTAATAATATTTGTTTTGCTTATAAAAAAATATTAAATTGTTGACCCTAATTTTTACATACAAATATTTTAAAATTAATTTAAGTATGAATAATTTTAAGAATTAATTTTTTTATTATGATATATTGAGTTTTAAATTTTTTTTATAATTTTTAAAAGATTAACTTTTAAAAATGTATTCAATTTAGAAAAGATGCACTATATTTTTATTGAAATAATATTTTAATTTAATATTCCTTATATAGTGTACAAGAAATTCACTAGTAATTATAACCTTTCTTATAAAATCTGTTACAAGTTTTCTATTTATTTCAGAAAATTATTAAAAATTTGTTTTTAAACATCAAAATATATTCCTTTATTACATCAAGAAAATTAATAGAAAAATGTTATAGATTACTATGTCAATTATTGGATGTATATCATATCATTGCAGTCATATCAACGACTGCTGAAGTGTTTATTTTAGCTGGTTGATTTAAATGCAGTCAAATCTGTTGTTGCTATATGATCAACTAATATATAATCAAATTAACATATATTTTACATGAAAAATTAACTATACAAGACTAAAGAATCATTTTGAATTAAAAGACATCTATTTTAACACTGTTCTATTTTTATTTTTCTTTTTAATTTTTCCGAGTAAAAGAGTAAAGAAGGAGAAATTCTATTTACTATGCTCATTCAGCAACCGATGGTTACAGTTTCAATGTTTTCAACTGATCATTAAAAAATTTATTATAAAGAACTTTTGAATAATAATAATAATAATAAGAGATATCAAATTATACAAGGATAAATTATATCTATTTTTACACTGTTTAATAATATTTATTAGATAACTTATTATTAAAAAATAATTTGATTAAAATTTTTAAATACATAAATTATATTTATAAAAATTAATATCAATTCAAAATTATTTAATATTTTATTCATATAAATTAAAATTAATGTAATACATACTTTTAAAATATATAAAAATAAAAATCCTTTAATTACATTCTTATAATCTTTTAATTTTGAGAAAATTTAACATAAATAATTTAGATATTTTATAATTATAATTCAACAGTTAAATCAATAAAAATTATATTTTATGTTAAGTTATTAATTATGTAAGACTACATGTCTCTTACACCAATGTAATCATTCTTATATATAAAAACAATATTATATCTCCAATTTTCAATTTTAAAATTAAATATTAAATTTGACTTTAATTTTGAGAACTAATTTGTTTATTTATTTCTATTATAATTTATTACTCCATTATCATATATAATCAAATGTTTGTTTAAAGTATAATAAATATTTTACTATAATATAAATTTTTTCATTAAATTAATAATCGTAAATTTTTTATTATATATTAATTTAAATCAAATTATTTACTATTATGTACGAGTATAAATTCATAATAGGTAATAAAAATTAATTATTGAGCAAGTTTGTACTCCTTTTCGCAGTTCTAGAGTTGAGACTTTGTTTTGATTATTGTTTGTCTATTTTATTTAATTTTTAGAGTTATTTTTCCCACTTCTTCATATCTCTTTCTCTCTTTAATTATATTATATTCTTCAATTGTTATGTATAATCAATATTTATTTATTGTATAGTAAATTTTTTTATTGTAATATAAAATATTAAATCAATAATAAAAAATATTTATATGTTTTTTATAATTATTATATCACGAGGCGTACAAAATTAAAGTTTATATTTTATAATTTTATCTAGAGCCAATGAATAACTATTTTATTATATATATTAGTTTGAATACATAACAAATAATATAAATTAATTGTTCATAACGAATATTTTTTTTTCTTAATATGATATGTATATATATAATAATTTAATTTTGAATTTTCTATATTATAAACAAAAATTAAGAGTATTTTTTTTAATCTTAAGAAACTTTTATATAGTTTTTATAATAACAACAACAACAACAATAATAATAATAATAATATATTATTATTATTATTATTATTATTATTATTATTATTATTATATATTTCATCACAATATTTAACAAGTTTTTTATCTCTATTTTACAATTACATGATTGAGACTTTAAATTTGATTACTGTTTTATTCACTTTTTTATTTTTTCTTTTTCTTTGATTATAATATAAATATAATTATTACTACAATATAATATTATAATTATAATATTAAAACTTAAGTAAAAAATAAGATTGTAGAATATTTACTTATGATATAATAATTAATTTTTTTACTGCAATAAAAAGTTATATTAAATCTATGATCAAAACAGTTTTTTTATACACTTTAGTTTATTATAATTATTGAATTATAGAGTATAACAAATTATAGTTTAGATTTTTATGGATTTCTCTGCAACCAAAACAGTATGACACATGCATATTAAAATAGTTATTTTCTCGAATTACAAATTATAAAATTAATTCAAAATTTTTTATCACATTTTTATCCCATTTGAATTATTTTCTCTTTTCAACTATTGCATATATACATGCGTGTAATCAAAATAAAAGACGAATAATTATTATTATTATTATTATTATTATTATTATTATTATATATTTAAAGTATTATAATTTATGATAAAATATATATTTTTTGTGAAAAATAAATTAAAATATATTATAATTAATTAATTTATCAAAGAAATGTCTATTCTTAATACTTTATTTTTTATTTTTATTCTAAAAACAGTATTTTCTTTAAACACAATATGAATTAATTTTTTTATTTAAATTTTTATGGAAGAGAGAAGATAGCCCTTCAAATTATTTAAATTTATTTTCTTTCATTTATAATTAATTTATTTTTATATTATAAAGTTAATTGCATGACCATTTTAAAAAATGAATATTAAACAAATTATGATTATATATTTTATGTATTATTAATGTAATTTTTTACATTATAAATAATTAAAATATAAGATATATAAAATTTTAAAATAAGTATAAAAATTGATTATTTTTATTGATATATTAATTTTTAATTAAAGGAAAATATAAAAATATTTATGCTGTTATATTTTAATTAAATTCATAATTTATTTGTGAAAGATATTTTAAATTTAATTTTATTAATCCGTGGAAATTAAAACTAATTTGTCTAAAAAAACCTGCTATGAACAATTAAAGTAAACATCTTATATTAATATAATCACGTTACACACTATTTAATTTATATTTAATTAATCTGAAAAGTATGTTCCTCCAACACTGAAGGAGAGGACTAAATACACACAAATCATTAATTGCATTATCCTAAAAGAGTCACTCAAATCATTAGCAAAAGAATTTTAATAAGAAATTGTGATATTAATACAGATGATAAATTAGAGGAGAATTTACAGTTAAAAGAGGAGGAAGTGAACTGATTTTCGAGAATACAAACCAACATTTGATTAGATCAATTCCCCCTTTTTTTGTCCATTATTAATTCAGTTTACCTGATAATTTCTATATATCAACTCCCAAATGACAAAATCTGTCCTTGTTGGGATAGTGAAGTTTTGCTTTGATTAATCTTTTTCCTTGTCAAAATCAATGAGTGCACGGTTGTATCTCTTTAGATTACCAAGCATGATATTAAGTCATTAGATGAAAATTAACTAATTGCAAAAACTTGGACGTAATTCTAAAAGCTTTGAGTCAGCAGATCTTTTCTTTATATATACACACAAAGTAAAACGTTCTGGTCAATGCATTTGTTTCACACACGGAGTCAAATGTGAAATTGAATTTTGATACATAAATTATATTTTTATTTTTATAAATATGGTCAAATTTAGTTTTATATCTTTTTTTTTCTTAATCTTCATAAATTTTAAAACTTTTAAAAATACTTTTGGATAAGTTATGTTATTTGTCACCTTAGAATGGTTTGTATCATGATATGAGTAATTGTATGTTACATCATAAAAATTTATTAAATTTATAAAGATTAATCAATAAAAGAATTAAAACAAAATTTCTCATATTAATAAGAATTAAAAAGTATATTTAAGCCAACTTTAATTTTAAAGTTTGTCAGAATTAAAATAACAATTTTACGAGTTAATTCTATAAAATTATAATATAACTAATAATGATCCTTTCTAATTCCTAACACCTATTTTTTGAATCATAAGTCTTAACTTTATTTTCGTAATATTTAACTGTTTTTTCGACTTTATCACACTTATTATTATTATTATTATTATCATTATTATCACTTCAATTGTAAGGAATCTCATCACCACTCCTGTCACCTCCAATCATCATTATCTTGCCACCAATGCCAATGAATCGTTTTGTTTTGTTTTTTTTTTTAACTTGAGCAACATAATTCCACTCATGGCTACGCCTACTTAAAAACATCAGAATAAAATTGAACTTCAACTTCCAATTATAACCCTACACTTAAACTTTTTTTCAATAACCAAAACATAAAAGTTATTCCAATTCTATACACGAAACACACCCCAGTAGAAATTTGTTTATCTTCTTAATTAGAAGTGCTTGAAGTAACAAGGCTTTTCCTATAAAACAGAAAAGGCCTCAAATCACCGTCTATTATTATTTTTAGTACATGAAACGCATATTAGATCCACGTATATAAGGCCTTTGATGAACTCAAACCGCATTGATCAATAATCACCAATATTCCGAAAGGCCTCAACATAGCAAGTTTATTCTGCTAACTAATAGCATTCATATGTTATCCATTATAATAAAACTTTCTCATATTATTCCGATTCCTACTGTGCTTATGAGCTGACGCGACTTTTCTCCCCGTAGTTCATTCTACTTGTTTTTGCTTCCCGTCAATCAAACACTACAATCTGAAAGGGGTATCAATCTTTTCTTTATCAAAAGTTTCAAAAGTGAACATTAACTGCCCATAATAAGCCTAAATGGGTAGCAAGCAATCCTATCACTTTTAGGCTTCATGAGAGAGGGCATAACACAGATTTTCCTTTGTAATTGCAAGACATTTTAATTAATTTCAACATAGAGAAATATCAGAACGTGTGTACACTTAATGCCCGAAAAATCCTAAGCAGCCTTCTTCTGCTTGTACCTTCCAGCAGCAGCTATGTACACCAACATATTTAAGAAGCTAAGTCCAGCTAAAAGCCAGAAAAAGTAATCGAGATGACCCTCGTTCAAGTTATCTGGAATCCATCCAGGATTTCCACCTTGTGTAGTGAAGTAAGTTACTACAGTAAGAATGAAAGAGCTCAAGTAATTCCCAAGTGAAGTAGTCAGAAGCGACAATGCGCTACATAAGCTCCGCATAGCATCTGGAGATTGGTCATAGAAGAACTCAAGCTGCCCAACGAATGTGAATACTTCTGCTGCTCCCAATAAGAAATATTGAGGGACTTGCCAAAATATATTAAGGGGCACAGCAACAGGTTTATCAACCAGGTCAAAATCTTTTGCAAGCTGCAGACGCACAATCTCCACCACAGCAGCTGCAGACATGCACAGGACTGAAATAAAAAGCCCAATTCCCATTCTTTGCAATTCTGAAAAACCCCTCTCCTTGCCTGTAATTTTCCTTGCAATGGGAACAATAATCCTGTCATAGACGGGGACCCAAAAAATAACACTTATTACATCAAAACTTGAGAGGGAAGCTGGAGGAATGTTGAAGGAACCAACACTTGTATTCATCATTGTTCCTTGTTCCACAAACAATGTCGACATCTGAGCATAAACAGAAGCAAAAACGATCCCAGTAGCCCAAACTGGAAACATGCGGATCAAGATTTTCAATTCCTCCACCTGCGTCACAGTGCAGATTCTCCACTGGTTAGAATAGTCGCCACTTTTAGTCTCAGCATCAGACACTACAGCTGCTCTATCAAGGCACCTTCATTAAAAACAAAGGAAATGGAGTTTTAGAGAACAGCAAAACCTTGCTAATAATGTATTAAATCTTCTGAAGCAGATAAGGATACTTTAGGTCTTATCAATAATACAGAATAACAGATTATTAGCAGAGGATTTCTCAACTCATCAAAGACTTTCTAACAGAAAATTGTTAACACGCAATCTAATGTACAAAACTATCCCAACCAATAATATTCTTATTAAAAAAGGGAAAAGAAGCAAGAAAGCAATGAATTTTCCATTACCCTACTTGGAGGAGAAACCCTGACAAGACTCTGATATATTTGTTATCCCTCTTAAAAAATGATTAAATATAGCAAGGTCATCGTCGATGATATCCATCCAAGACATGCAAATAAATCTTGTAAAGTCATCCAAGACAAGAAATAAAAACTATCCACCTAATTAGCATTTTAAAACTATCATGTTTTTGTTGATTACTAACTAAAATTGAATTGGAAAATTTGTTCACAAATACCCTTTATACATCAAAATGCTACCAAAATTAGGGTAACCTAATTTGGTTCCTTTACTACTATAACATAAAAATGCACAGCTGTGGGAGAATCACACCTGAGATTACACTTTAACCATAGAACCAGAGAGATGTGGGGAAGGAAATTTGAGATATGAATTAAGAAATCCAAAAAGGAGGATAAGAAAGAAAGAGAAAAAGAAAGAATAATAGTAAACTGTTTACTAGTTACATTCTCAAACACAATTGGGTCTTCCTCTCATTCACTGGATAATATAACGATGATGGTTTAAGATACTCTAAAACTTGCTCATAAAAAAAATGGAAAATGTGCAGATCCATTGAAATGTTGGAGAATAATATGAATAAATCCATCAGAGAATGGATGTGTGTTCTCTCCAAAAAGTGCTCCTACTTTGATGATTGTGATAGCTACCATGTCTGACAAGGGGATGGATGTGTATGCATAACAAAAAAAAGTGACAGTCCAAGAGAAGAAAAAGAGATGCCACAAGGGTTATAGTAGGGGTGCCATCACATAAATAGTGTCATACGGAAATCACCTGACAAGCTTACATGGCCAGATAGTGTTGTGCTCTCTATAGTGCACTGCCAACAACAAATAAAGCCAGCTAATATTAGTTATCCTATCCCATCTGGCCTTATCTTGGGTGATAAACGAGGCCTAAAGGTCTAGCAATGCTGTAACTGGCCCGTAAGAGCCTAATGAACAACCTCTGTTTCCATGATGTAAAAACAGGGCTCGTTTACACCACATTACCCTTTACAAACTAATTTTGAATTTGGTTGAAAGACAAATTCAATGAGGCATAAGTTAACATGCATAATAAGATACACCTTTTCCTGTATTGTGACCATGTAAGCTAATAACACTCCAACAGTAAACACAAAGGAAGCAAAACAATTACCTTAGTTCATCACTATGCTCCAGTTTCCGACTTCCTTCAATTGCAGAGCTCTTGTCTGGTGTCTCATACAGGAGACTACTATCTTCAGGGACAACCAGATTCCGCTTCCGGACAGATGCTACCACAACTTGGCACATTCTTGTGAGAGGGCTTCCCCCTGGTTTTTGAAACCTGTAGAGGGGCGTGCCTATAAAGAAGCTTCCAATAGCTAGTCCCATAAATAAAGCAGGAATGCCAAATCCAAGGCCCCAGCCAGCATTTTCTTGAATCCACACAATAAAAGTGCTTGATACAAGGGCACCTATGTTGATAGAAAAGTAAAACCAGTTGAAAAAGGATCCCTTCTTAATCCTTTCCTGGGGATCAGTATCATCAAACTGATCTGCGCCAAAAGATGACACACATGGTTTTATACCACCAGTCCCAAGTGCAATCAGGTAGAGACCAAAGAAGAACACAGCATATTGTGCAGGAGTAGCTGGAGGGCATACAGAACCCAAACACTCTGCAGGCTTCAGTGCTGGAACTGATGCAGAAAGAGTCAATGTACACATCCCCTGCAAGAAATAGCCATTTTAAAGACCATAAAACAAAGCATGTAGGAGCAAAAGGCTCACAGAAAACAAAATGATGACAAAAAATACCAACATGCTGATACATACACCGCATGTTCCTTGTATTAACCCCATAACCTTTCAAATGTGATGATGCATTTGAAAATTTTATTCAGTACTCAAGAAATCCATAAAAGTTCCTCAGTTCCATGCTAAGAAAGTTAGAAGATGTCAAGTAGAAGCAGTGCAATGGAAGAAAGAAGTATATCAAGGGAGAGATGTGTGCAGAGAATTATTTGATTGGAAAAATAAAGCTATCTCAGTCTGTATTACTATGAAATAAATCATGGAGAAAATAGCAATTGTCCAGTATCGTCCCCAGTAAGCATCTGCCAAAACAGCTCCAATGAGAGGTGCAAGATAGCAAGTGCCTTGCCACGTGGTGACATTTCTTGCAGCAGAGACATTTCCTTCGTGCAGTCTGTGGGTAAGATAGGTAACAAGATTTGTCGCAATGCCATAGTACGCCAAACGTTCACAGCACTCATTCCCTGTGATTCACATTATATAAAAATGCGGTCAACCAAAAGTATTTTTAGATTGATAACAACAAATTAAAAAACTTACCTAAAATAAAGGGGCAAGCTTTCCAATTGCCAGTATTCTGCTTAAGAACAGGCCTCCCTTTAAAGTCAACTGAGCCATCTCCTGTGTATTGTTTGCGCTCTTCATCCTTTAGATATAAAACAACAAATTGATCATCATAGAGCCAAACACCAATTCTTTGCAAAGTTTCGACAGGAAGGTCAAGAAAGGCATCGACTATACTGAAATACTTCTTTGTTCCACATTTTAAATCTTGAAGATCACCATTTAACGCTTAACTACCAAGAACACGAAGGGGGAAAACATAGAAATGGACAATAAACTAAATAGTAGATTTGTACATCAAAGTGCCGTAATTGATATCGCTACAATGTCAAGATTCGATTGTGAGTTGTGACTGAAATTTTTTTTTTTTCCAAATCAAGTAACATAATTTTAGACCAAAAAGGATTGACAACAAAAACATTTAACTTAACCAATTCACGTCTATTTTAAAACTAGAAATCATAAAAAGTGAAAACGGATCATTGAGGGCCAATAAGAAAATGGTTGAAGTACAGAGAATTGAATGAAACATAAATGAAATCTCTCCAATTAAAACAAACAAACTCCACCAACCAAAATGAAAACAATAAAAAGGGCAGCGAAAGCTTCATATTATTTTATTTGCAAAGCCAAATGAGATGGTTGACCAAAACCAAACTTAAACAGGATTCATCATTCACCCTTACAAATTCAGAAACTCCCCTCAATAATAAATTAGAAATATTGAGAACCTAGGGAGAGTAAGAATGCTCTTACGAGGTGACTGACCTGAAGAAGAGCCTCTTCAGCGAGCGACAAATCATGCTCAATGGAACCCATCACTCGTTCCTACGAAAAGAGAGTGAGAGAAACGGTGCAATTTAAGGATAATAAAAAAACAAATATCCTCGAAATGCTCAAGAAACGCCACAATTGTTTTGTGTTGCTTGCAAGTTGCAAATCAAATGGAGTTTGTACGACAGAGACGTAACTTGCAGGCAGAATAAAGAATGCCAGAGAGAGAGAGAGAGAGAGAGATGAAGGTCTTCCAATAAGGTGAGCAAACCAAGAGAAGAAGCAAGCTCAAATGTCTCTGATTTATCTTTTTCGCTTGAAACAACAAACTTTCTTAACGACTTGTCGTTTTGTTCAACAAATGAAATGTTCTCAAGTTTTGTTTTGTCTTAATCGAACGCAAGTTCTGCATCACTAAAAGGCCCAATCAATAAAAGATTACGGTGAGGCGGTATATGGGTGGGTCATGTTACTCTTGGGCCATTTAATTTGGGTCCGTGGGCTTATACTGGTCTCTCTCTCTCTCTCTCTCTCTCTCTCTCTCTCTCTCTATACACATACACACCAATACATTTCGAGCAGGGACTGGTCAAACTTTAAAACATCGAACATGTGTGAAGGGATGGGAGTTTAAAGTTAAGTTTAATACGTAATCGTTTTGGGCTTTCTTTAAAAGGCATGGAGGGTATGTTTGTACACATAATTTAATTAAGTATTTATTTAATTTTTTTTACATAAGAGTTTAAAATATATATTTTATTGAATAAATAAATAATTTAATTTAATAAATTATATATATATTATTTTTATAAGCTGTCTTGTTATAATAAGTATTTTAAATAGTTGTTAAATATGTTTCATATTATTATACAGTAAATATATTCCGTTTGCATTTTTAATAAAATACGGGTTGTCTAGTACCGGCCCTTCAAATATGAGAAAGAAAAAAGTCGCCTTACTCGGTTAGTCATATGAGGAGACTATTCAAATATTTGTTAAAATTATATGAATACGATATTTTTATTTTTATTTTTATTTTTATTTTTTATTAATTGTTGAATTTTAAAATACTAATATTTTAGTGACTAAAATAAATTATATTTTATAAAATTAAAAAATAAACCACTGTGTATATAGTTTTAAGAGCTAATGTAATATTTTTTCATCTTATATGTTGACCATTAGTCATTATTAATATTGTCGTCTAAGCTTAAGAATGAGAGTGAAAATATGATTGTGTTAAATACTAATATGATTGTGTTAAATATGATTGGATATATAACCATATTTTTTTTCATGGCCATTGTGATAAACCCCAAGCAAACTGTCTGAACGTTGACCTTTAACCATGCTGAACTTTTCGTTGTGAAGGCTTGCTAGTTAGTCTCAAGACATTTATAAATATGATCTCATAGCTTACCATAAACATCAATATCCATTTGGTCAATGGTCAGCGCTAGATTAATATTTTTGCAGTTAAAGCCTAAAGGAGACCAAAGGGATATTTTCAACTCATTAGATCTAATCTGAGCATGCTTAAAAATTATACAATCTAATAACGCGGTTCAGTACCTAATTCTTCTGAGCATTTTGTCCAAATACGAAAAATAAAAATCAGCTAACAGAAATTAGTAACCGAGGACAATTAATTACAGGGCCTCCACAGGTTTACAGGCAAAGATCTTTGATACAATGCATTCATTGATTTACGTTTAGTTTTAATAAGATTCTAGAAAAATTCATTTAAAAATTTTATTCCACGTGATTTAATAATGGATAAATCAAAACAGTGGATAAATCAAGCAATCCATCCCCATTACGAAAAAAATAAAAAATAAAAAAATTCAACTAATAATGGGAAAATTGACATAAAAAGTTGACAAGTTCCAAATCTTGACAATTTTTTTTTTATTTTTAATCGCTCAAAATATGTCATTTTTTAAACTTTATGATTTTATTTTTAATCTAAAAATTATAAAAATATCATATGCTTTAAACCTATAATAAGTGATTAAAGTTACATAATTTTTGTTAAATATAATTAGAATAAAAAATAAAAGTTTTATAAAAATTAGAATGAAAAGTCAAGTTTTAAAAATCAAAACATATTTAAAAATTTATAGTACAGATTAATACAAAACAAAGGAGAGGTGGATAAAAATTATTTGAATCGGGGAAAACTGTTTTGGTTACATTTGAAGATGAGTTAATGGGAAGAGGAGAAAATCAGAGCATGTTGAAAATGTTATTTGAAATTGTTAACGAGTCTTGAGTTCTTACTTTCAATGCTTGACGTTGACGAAGAGGGTTTCTTTTTTACTTTTCATAAGACTTTTTCCCCCTGGTTTTGCCTTCCTCCTCTTCTCCTTCCCAGTATTTCTGTTCCCTTTTCTACGGCACAAACGAAACCAACTTGTTAATCAAGTTTCTCCAAAGGTTAGTCCAACAACTACGTAATGATTGTGTAAAAGTTAAACGGTAATCTAATTCAAAGTGTTTTGTGGAATTTAGTGAATTTATAAATGAGCTATATACGATGCGTAGAAGTGAGAGTTTTCTAAGGGTTTTGATTACCAGTACCAACCATTGCATAGACGTCTCGATAAATGTGATACAGTGAGCGAAAGGAAACCAGATGGAGCGTAGGATGACAAGTTTGTAACAAAACCATGAGCTCCTTATTTTGCCCTTTGGAAATTCAGATTCTCCATTCTTCTCGAGACCAACTCAAACCTTCTTCCCAAAACTGCAGCTTAATGTGTAACTAGGAAAAACTATAGCTATTCTTTGCAGTAGGTAGAATCATTATGTGTAGTATTTTTGTTTTAAATATTTAAACTTGAAACTACGGGTTAACTTACTAAAATAATAAAGTATTTTAAGTGTTGTGCTTTTTATTTACTTTAATAAATATAAAAAAAAAACTCATTTTCACGTGTACACTTTAAGCAAAGCCTTAATCGGAGTAAATGTTCTCTGGGAGTCTTCTCTCCATTTTTTTTGGGTTTATAATTAACCAACTTCCCCCGAAATGAGTCACTTACTGTTGGCGGATTCCATGGGCTTCTTTTGTTTTTGTTTTTACTTTCTTCTAAGACTACATGTTATGTTTAGATTATTAAGTTAATTTACATTTTTTAATGATAATAAAATGAATTGAGCATATAATATTAATTAATTTTTTAAAATTAAAATTGATTTATGTTTCTCAACCTATAAAATTTTTATATGAGGGTTTTTTTAAATAGTATATATAAATTGACTTTTTATAAGTATCGGTTAAAAAGTTTATGGAATTGACTTTTAATTAATTGTAAGTATATGTTTGGTTTCGTTTATTTTAAAAATATTTATTTGTTTTTAACAACTGTAAAAAAAATAAAAATAAAAATTTTTAAAAATTAATCTAAACATGCCGTATGTTAGGTGTGAAATCAATTTCATGCCAGTCGTCGTAAATGAGCTTCGAATTTCGAATCATGGATGGACGGCAACTGAAAGTCCGTTCACGTGAAACCCGGTTTACCAACGCTTATAGGTTGTTAGTAGCTAGTTTTGAGAAACCATAAAAATGCAATTTTTAACATATTTTTTACTAATTAAAATTATAAAAATTATGCAAGTCTTATTCTTAATTTAATATTTCTTTATATTTTTAGTAAATTAAGAGTAATAAATAATAAACCAATAATGAAATTTGCATAATTTTTAATAAATTTTAATGAATAATTAAAACCATGATATTATTAATACTTTTTTCTGCATGTTTTGTAAATTATTATTATTATTATTATGAAATTATGTATACGATCTAATATAAAGGCATAATATCTACCCGCAAAAGCTGAGGATTCTATATGCGTTTTGTTGAGTTCATTTTAAAATTTCTAAACGTTTTTAAAGAAATTAAAATGATTAACTCTAAAAAAAAAGATGTTTCCAAACGCTTACCTTTGATGAATCCAAACTTTTGATTTTTCTTTTCATGATTAAAAACAATATTAAAAAATTGTGCTAAAAAGTCTTTTAACCATTTCATTGTATTTTGAAAGAAGTATATCCGAAAACGAATTTAATTGTGTTATGATATAAATAAATAGTAATGTATTTTACTAAAATAATTTTTTTAATTTATATTTGTCAAGGAATGTCAAAAAGAAAAGAAAAGGTAAAAAAATTAAATAAAGTTTAACAAATATTATCATGCTAGTTGTGTATTGTGAGTATTTTAAAATTAAAAATCTAAATTTAAAAATATAAATCCATGATATAAGACTTTTAAATTTGAGGAGAACATATTACACTCTTACCACCTTGTGGTTGAAAGGGGAGGCTAATATTAAAAGGAAAGAAAAAAGTAGTTTTTCCTTCTGATTTATATATAAATAAATAAATTTAGTTATTGTAAAATTGTATTAAAAATGTTTGAAAATATAAGAACGCGCAAATAACTTTCTTGCGTTTCATTCTCTAGAAAATAATGAGAAAAGGAAAAAGCTATGAAGAGAGTTTCAAAGTCTTGTGGCACATGTAATTAATCCAGGCAGAGAAAATTCGCAAGGCGAGAACGATTCTCCCCTTCCGAGTTCTGACTTCTGACCCACCTACTATAAATACCACAACGTGCCTCTTCAACCCTCCTCATCAAACATCCAAACAAACAATACCTTACAAACTCTTTGTTCTCTCTCTCTCTCCTGTCTCCAATATCAACAACATATCATACACACTTCACCATGGTTTTTCCAAAACCACCTTCTGAGTCTGACCTCTTTCTCCACCATTCCAACTTTGCTTCCCCTTATGCCACGGACTCTCTTCCTAGGTATATTTAATTTGCTTTTCATACTTATTCATGCCTTTGATTTTATTTTGTTTCTGCGATGTTAATGTTAGTTTAGAAGCACGTTGAAATACTTGCAAACGTAAATCCAACTCTACTGTAATTGATCAAGTTTTTTGGTGATGTAGGTTCTGCATGCCGGAGAACTCGATGCCCAAGGAAGCTGCATACCAGAACATACACGATGAACTGCAGCTTGATGCCATTCCAAAGCTGAACCTGGCTTCCTTTGTCACCACATCCATGGAGGAAGAGTGCAACAAGCTAATAATGGAATCCATCAACAAGAACTATGTCGACATGGACGAGTATCCTGTCACCACTGACCTTCACGTACTTTCTCATCTTCTCATATACCTGCATATATTGGACTCTGCACATGTTTTTCAATTCTTTTTAAGAAATTATTATTATTATTATTATTATTATTATTATTTTCCTAAAATAAACTGAAACAATATGAGTTCTGTTCATCTTAACTGAATATAACATACCATTTGTACCATTACGATATTTATAAGATTTGACTGATTAAATTTGAGTTCAGTGAAAATCTCGAAGTTCAAACCACAAAAAATGTTTATTTTGTTCTTACGTGGTTGCTTAATATTATATAATTATTTTTATATTGGAGGCTGCTGCTCTTTTCTTATTGGAAAATCTAGGCCGTCCCCCAAAAGAGGAAGAATCTTCCTTTTGAATCCTAGTATTTTGGAACATGAAAGAGATATTATCTTTGTTATTTTAATCCCCTCACTTATAGTTTTCCTGGTGTTGTACTTTTTTTGGAACAGAACCGGTGCGTGAACATGATAGCACGTTTGTTCCATGCTGAAATTGGAGAAAATGAGACTGCAGTTGGAGCTGGAACCGTTGGATCCTCAGAGGCCATAATGCTGGCGGGTCTTGCATTCAAGAAGAAGTGGCAGAACAAGCGGAAGGCAGAGGGAAAACCCTATGATAAGCCCAACTTGGTCACTGGTTCCAATGTGCAGGTATTCATTTCGGGTTCCCATCGTTAAACTTTGGCATCCCTCGAACGTTAAGAGTCCCTCCCATTGTCACATTTTTGTCCCGTTAATTGAGAATGTAGCATTATGTCAGATGGATCTAGTCCCATCTCAGATCACCTTTAAATGGGCGATTACAATTATTTTGAGATTTTGACCCACAAAATATTGGCCATGTAAATCAGCAGTTACGTACTATGGTTGCTTAACTATTCATTCCCAAATTTGATTGTATTTTCCACCAAATATTGTATGAGAATCATTTTGCCATAAAATAAATATATTGATTTTTGAATTATTATCGATGCTGAATTGCTAATCAGTGGTATAGGATTGAATTAAAGATATAATAGAATTATGAGTTATTTATAATTGATACTCGTTTTGCATAATTTATATGTGCAGGTATGTTGGGAGAAATTTGCTAGGTATTTTGAGGTGGAGTTAAGGGAAGTGGAGGTGAGGGAAGGGTATTACGTGATGGACCCTGCCAAAGCCGTTGAACTGGTAGATGAGAACACTATCTGTGTGGCTGCAATCCTGGGTTCAACTTATAATGGAGAGTTCGAAGATGTCAAGCTCTTAAATGACCTACTGATGGAAAAAAACAAGCAAACTGGGTAAGTAATGTTCCACTAATTAGCTCTCGAGTCTTCTCCAATTCAAATATTTTTACCTGTAGCTTTCCTTTACCCTGTAATAATTAATTTGCTTTACTTGTCATATTATAGATGGGATACGCCTATTCATGTTGATGCCGCTAGTGGTGGCTTTATTGCTCCTTTCCTTTATCCAGAGCTAGAATGGGATTTCAGACTCCCATTGGTGAAAAGCATTAATGTTAGTGGCCACAAGTATGGTCTTGTTTATGCGGGAATTGGTTGGGTTATATGGAGGACCAAGGAAGACTTGCCAGAGGACCTTGTCTTCCACATTAATTACCTCGGAGCTGACCAACCCACCTTCACCCTCAATTTTTCTAAAGGTAATCACAAACTATATTTCTTGATGCTTGATTACTTAACACTTGCTTATACCATTGAGTTAATTACGTTATTGTATAAGCCTAAAATTGACTTGCACTTGCAGGTTCTAGTCAGATCATTGCTCAATATTATCAACTAATTCGCCTTGGCCAAGAGGTGAGTCTATAATTATATTATAAAATAATATTTGTAATATAAGTACATGTATAGAAAAAACGATTATTTTTTCAGTTCAACATGTGTCTGATGTTACATTACATGCTCTCATTTGACTTACTAGGGGTACCGGAGCATAATGGAGAACTGCAGAGAAAATGCAATGTTGCTGAAGGAACGGCTGGAGAATAATGGACGCTTCAACATACTCTCAAAAGACGATGGTGTTCCTGTGGTGGCATTTTCTCTCAAGGACAGGACCAAGTACGACGAGTACAAGATATCAGAGATGTTGAGGCGCCACGGTTGGATCGTTCCGGCTTATCCAATGCCACCAGCAGCTCAACACATCAACGTGCTGCGCGTGGTGATAAGGGCAGAGTTTTCACGCACCCTTGCTGAACGGCTTGTGCTTGACATAGAAAATGTGGTGCATGAGCTTGAAAAGGTTCTTCCCCCCAAAGAAGTGACCAATATTAAGGAAGAGAAGAAGGCCTTGGTTGACACTGGGGTCAAGAAGACTGCACTGGAAGCACATAGGGAAATCATTGCTCAAGAATCCAATAAGCGTCAGAAAATCATGGCTGCTTAGCTAGGGAGGGTTACGTCTCACTGAGACAATTAAATAAGGAGCCTTCACTACTTGTTCTAACTCCATCAATACTCGAGTCTTAACTATATTTGCTTTATTTTTTTTTTTCCGAAAAATTTTGTGCAAATCGTATAGTTTATTTCATTATTTGTTTTGTTCGATTTCTTCAAAATCGATGTCGATTGAGATATATGTAATCGATAATGTTGTATTACATTTTTGAACGTTTTACCACAGTGATTTTATTATGAAAGTTCGGCTGTTGTTGTTATTATACTATTAAGTGCATCTAACAGTATCAGTGTCTTTTTTTATTCTATCAGCAAAAGGATAATTCAAATAGGATAAAAGGGATACTCCAACCCAATGTCTAGTTCATATAAATTGCAATGCTTATTCACCAAAAAAATAAAATAAAAATTGCAATGCTTTCAAACAGAACGTAGGTTCTTTTAGCCAATCATAAAAAGAAAATTTGAAATAAGCTCACTGATTCATATTTTTAATTTAAACTTCATTAAATAATATTTTGATTTTAATCTAACTGCCTGTGTAATTATTCAGTACACATAACATTTTGTTCAACCGAGACAAGTTATTTCACGGTATAAAAGTAATCCTTAGAATTTTATACAAAATTAATCAAATTCAATTCTATGTACGTAAAATTATCCAATAAACGATGTATTATATACTTAGGCTTGATTAACAACTAAAAAAAAACACGATCAACTGATTCTTTGAATTGATTATTCACAAGAATAATTTGAATTGATCTTAAGTAACTAAAAATACTTTTTTATTGAAAACATTTATTCTATTAAACATATAATAAATATATTTATATTCCATGATTGCTTTACATTTATTAAAAATTAAAGAAAAAAGTCACTCATAAACTTGAGCTGAGCACAAATAAAACGTAGAAAGCACACTCAATTATTTTATTTTATTTTCTTCTACATAAACTTATTATACTAAAGGATCCAAAAAAGTTCTAACTTAGGGATAAAAATTAAAGGATTTCCATCTAGAGAAAGAAAATAAGATTATGAATTTGTTTTTCTAAAGTAAGCATATTCACCAATTTATTTAAAACTAATTAAGTTTATAAAATATTTTAATTTAAATAAACAAGAAATGGACATTTACATTTTGATAATTTATCATAAATATACAAATTTTTATTCCCATAATTCCCCCAAAAAAAATAAAAGCGAAAAAGGCAACCCGGATGAGCACATAGGCAAAAGCAATCACGGCGTTGCAGTGGGTGGAGGATGGAGAAGTCAGGCGAAGAAGAGAGAGGCGTTGTTCTACTGGATCGTGCGTCTCGAGCGACGAGAGGCAAGAGACTCACGAAACTCCTCGACGAAGAAATCCACGAAGACGACCTCTTCTGGAACCAGGACGCTCTCAAAGAAGACGACCACGACGATAACTACCAAGAGGAGCCTGAAATCGCCGATGAATTCGACTCTGACTTCGACGAACACGTATTCCGTTTAACCCTTACTCTTTTCTAACACTCCACATCACATCTCATCTCATCAATCACCTCTTTCTTCCTCCTCTCTCCTCAGGAGTCCGAACCCGACGATCAGGACCCTCCGATAAACGATGTCGATGAAAAAATGCATAAAAAGAAGCGACTCATATTTCCCGGGAAGATTCTCGCCAAGAAGAAGAAGAAGAAGAAAATCTTATCCAAATTGGAAAACTCTCCCAAGGAGGAGGAAAATTCTCCCAAGGTTGCAGAGGAACAGCATGATGATACTGGAGAGAGAATGGTTCGGAAGTCCACCAGGACTTCCGTCATTGTTCGCCAAGCTGAGAGAGATGCCATTCGTGCAGCACTTCAAGCAACCATGAAGGTCTATTCTCTTTCTTTCTCTTCTCAATTTTGTCACTCAATCTGTTTTCTTCCTGACTATTTGATCACTTGCGTAGCCTTAGGAAATAGTAATTGACATTTGTTTTGCTGATCTAGGATGTAAATAAGTTATGCTCAATGGTTTAGTGTTTTTGTATTACTATTTATTGGGGCAGTGAAGGTTGAGTTTTTTGTGATAAGGGTTTATTTCATTATAGTGTTACCAGTTTTGTGATTCTGGTCTGAAAATGTTTTTTTTTTTTTTTTCAAATGGCTCAGCCGGTGAAAAGAAAAAAAGAGGGTGCGGAGAAGAGAATGACACAAGAGGAAATGCTTTTGGAAGCTGCTCAAACAGGTCAAGATTGTGACACTTAACATCTGCTGGTTGTGTTTTTTTGCTTATTTGAACTCCCAATGATCGTTCACTGTTTCAATTATAATTTTGACTTTGCAGAAATTATGAACTTGCGAAATCTGGAGCGTGTTTTGGCTAGAGAGGAAGAAGTTAAGAGAAGAGCAATTGTGCATAAAACTGTTTATAATGGTCCACAGATAAGATATATTTCAAAAGATGGTAAGATTTTTCTATACTCAATGATACTGTCTTTGGATACTGCATTTTACCTTCGTTGTTGATTTGGTAATGTTGCTTATTTTGTTGTCATTTTTCATATAGCAATCTGTTAATTCTTCCAGGTTGTTCGTATTTAGAGTTTGCTAAAGGGGCATCGTTTCATTTTGAGATTGCCACAACATCTGTACAATGTGAGTCCCTCTTACCACTAATAGTTCAAAGAAGATTGACAGTTTGGTTTATTTTTATATTGAAGAATTTATCCATTAATTTTGCAGTAAGTGAAATTAAATTCCCTGTGGTATTGCTATAGCATTGCTTTTACACCATATTTGGCCACTCAGATGATTTTTTCTTGATTAAATTTAATTTAGTTATTGATTACAACATCAGGCTTGCTTCAAGGTTTGAATTTAACCCATACCTTTTGTTCTAATAAACAAAACTCACTGGACATATCCCTGATCCTTTTGTTCTAGAGGATTAGATTAATGAGGCAGTAAATTCTCAGTTGAAATTGAGTAGAAAGGTTTTGGTTTTTCTGGAGACTACTGAATTTCAATTGAGTAGCTCAAATACAAACTAAGTGGATTTTAATTTAGTTGGGAAAAGGAGAGTTGATGATAGTACAGTTGTACAGACAACTGAGTGCTTTGCATAATTAGGGTCTATTTTATAAAAGGATGGGAGGATCATTAATGAAGTCAAACATAACATCCAAACAGGATGAATGAAGCAGAGAAATGTTTTAGGAGTTTGTGGGACCTTGAATGTATTACACTGAAAATGAAGGCTTTACCAAAATGTAGTTAGACATGCAATCATGAGCAAAAATTGAAGTTCACTGAAATGAGAATGAAGCAATGAATGAGTGGCTATAACAAGATGGATAGGCTAAGGAGTGTATTCATTAGGGAAAAAGTTGGAGTGGCTTCTATACCAAAAATAAAATGATCAGTTCTTTAGGGAGAAAGTTGGAGTGGCAACTATATAGGATAATGATGGACAATAGTTGAAAATAGTTTGGGGATGTGAGAGCAAATCACCTGCACACTCTATAGACCTTGGTAAAATCTGAAGTTAGTGACGGCACCACATTAGAAATGGGTACGAGGGGAGGACAAAAACAGCAGGGTTGGACTTGGAAAGGTTATTACGAAGTGTTTAAGGTACTCGTTCATGAACATATGATACATGATTGAGCTCAATGGCAGGCTCAATTCCATGTAGCTGACTCCACTCAACAGGGATCAGGCTTGACTATTGTTGTATTAGTTGCAACATACCAAGAGTACCCTGATTGCATAGAAAATATGGCCATATGGGAAAATTGAATAGAATTTAGATATTTGTGTGGTTTTACTTGCAATCTTGTAATAAAAAACAAAAATATGCGGTATAGAAGATCTGAAATATACACAATTAAAATAAATTAACCAAAAATATGAAAAATTACTTGTCCACGTATTTCTCAGTAGTTTATTTTGACCTTGGATTGTTGAAAGATAAAACTTCTGTTCTAATAATCAAGATTCAGTAATGCATTTCTCGAAACAAGATGTGTGGGTTAACCTTCTGTTCTGATAATCAAGCAAAACATGGCTCAAAATAACATTATTTTACAAGTTTTCTTTTTACTTATACAATTGTATGTATATTTCTTTTCAGATCCAGAGCAACCTGTTTGCACGATTACTGGTTTGCCTGCCAAGTAAGAGCTCATATATCAATGCCTAATTGTGTGTATATAGCATTTTTCCTTACTATATCTGATGGGCATATGGTTTAAGATTTTGGTTTCTTGTGTAAGTGATTTATCCTCAAAAGACGTTTACATTGATTAATTGGTATGACAGATTGAGGATTTTAAAGTCACCTAAAATTTGAGATTTGTGGAGAAATGGTAATGTAAATCTTGCTTCAGAATTCGTTTTCTGTGGATAGGGTTGTGTGGTACAAAACACACAGCATTTGGCAATAACATAAGTTAGGCATTGACAGCAGTTTGTAACAAAAAGGAAAAAAAAAAGGCATTCACTGTGGATGGATGCCACGATGATTCATTTAATTTGTATTCCTTGCAAAAATTACGGGTGAACCATATAAAGTCAATGTTGGACTATTAGTATGATGTTTTTTTATGTTTCTCTTGCCCATGATTTGTTTAGTGTACTTTGTGATAGGCAATGAAACACTGGACAACTTGGTTGCCATTTCTTAGGTGCCTGTCTACCTTTCTGTTTTCTTTTGGTTTCTCTGTTTAAGAGGATATCCTGTCCCTTTCCTTGGCTGTGTTGTTTCTCTTTTCCCTCTCTATCAAGTAATGAGATGTTTTGTTGCATTTGAAAAGAGATATCAATATGTGGTGGTTAAATGAGGCCAAGGAGGGGATGCCAACTTAGTATCTTTAAAAAAGTGGCACATGGTAGAAGTTAAAATGACAAAGTTACTCGGTTTTATGAATTTCTTTTGATTGGAAGCCTTTAGCTGATCATAAGGATGAACATCTAGAGGCACCTTTTGAGGAGGAACATGAGGAGTGCTTTTTGGGGTGTGGATCTAGATGCTCTTTGTCCTGATGGTTTCACCATGGCCTTTAATTAGGGTTGTTTGAATATTTTGAGTGGTGATTTGATGAAGGTTTTCTCTAGCTTCTTTTCTAATGTTCAGGACGTTTATCACTTTTGTGCACTCAGTATTAGTAAGCTGTCTAAGTAATTTTGTCTTTTATCAAAGGGTTTCCTTTTCTAATTTTGCAGTTCTTGGTTCTGATGGTGTTTTGATGGCTTGTATGTTATTTGCATGTAATTAGAACTCATTTATTTTTTTAGGAAGGGAAGTCTAAATTCTTACAAGATTAAGATTTTATAATCTTTGTAGGATAAATGACAGTCTTTTTAAAGTTTGGTGATACATCCAGGTTATGGAATAATCTTTTTTATGAATTATGCATCATATTGCTTTCTTCTTGTTTGTTTGTTGTAATCAAACTTCAGGTTGCTTTTTTGTTCATCATCTTCTGTTTGATCATTTTTTCCTCATTTTCTTGTCTGGTCAGACCTGATTTCTTGCCCAGGCCACATTATGCTTTCTTATTAGAAGACTAGTTGATTCTTGCTTGGATTTTGAAATTGCATCATGCATAACCATTTCTATGATTGTCATTAATTTTCAGTAGATTGGTTGGAAGATTTTCCTAGTTTATTCCCACTATACCCCACATACTGTTAATGAATTCTCTTTGGCTTAATGTAGGTACCGTGATCCGAAGACTGGGCTGCCATATGCTACAAAAGAAGCTTTTAAAATAATTCGAGAATGGTACGACTATTCTGGTTTGCAAGTAGTCTTTCTCTAATTGTGATGGAATTTGTCATGCTTTCCCTTTTGAAATAATTTTTTTTAGTTGTATTAAGTATATATTTCAATTTGTGATTCTTTTAATAGGGACTATAGTTTTACAAAAAAGATTTGACTAAATGGTTATACTTTCAAGAATTCAAGCTAATCTCTTTTTTTCTGTTTTCCTGGAGTGATTTGGTCTAATATTATAGAGAAAGATGATTTCTGGATCAGTCCTATCCCTGTGAAATTTTATCATTGAAAATACTATAATATAAAACTGGTTAAAATTACTGTTAATTGGTGTTAAATTTGGCTATACTGTACAAAGTTTTTTATGTTAGTCCCTACATGAAAACAACTTTGGTCTCTACACTTTATAATACTTTGCATAAAATGTGTTAAGTATAGGGATCAAATTTTTAAGTTAACCTATAAATTTTATTTTAACTAAAAAGTAGAATACTTTCGCAAGAAAGTGCGAACCAATAAGCACAAGTGCCATCTTAAGAGGGAAGAATATGATTGACAAATTGATTCTCAACTTATATCATTTGGTTCTTATATTTATTTATTTAGTGTTTTCCTTTTCATTAATCTTGAAATCCATGACATACATACTATTATTGGAAAGCCTATGGTCGGTGTTCGATATAAAAACCATAAATGGGCTGTAATAAAATGGGAGAGTTATTTGGTGACATGTTAGTAAAACTTGTATGATCATATGGTCTAGAGTTCAATCCTTGTTACCCTCATTTTATAAAAAAGGTTAAATTTCAACTCAAGATTGCGTGAGCTGGTGAGGGATCTTGCATAAGAGGGTGTGCTAGATATGTAAAACATTCATTTGCCTAGCTTAAGCTTTTGGAAAAGTTGTGGGTTTTGGCTTTATTATTGAAATGTATTGTTAATTAAGTAAAATTTGGGACCAGCCCAGCTAACCATGAAGTGGCAAATTACATGTTTGCATACATTTATTTAGATATTTGTTTGAATATCTTGTTGAGAACAAGTAATGAAATGGTTATTTCCCAATCAGTTTTAAAATGGGGGATTTTTTTGCAGCTTTTCGAATGAAAATGCTAACACTAGAAAGGATATGAGCATGGGAGGCCTATATGATTCAGTTTCTGGATTTGGTTTTTCAATTAAGCAAAAGAGATCAATAATGCCAGATAAAAATGTAAATCCAGATGGTCGGTCCTTAGCTCGTTTTCGTAGAATTCCTGCTTTTGAGGATGAAGACTCTGACTAAATTGGTAATTGATGTTTTCTCTTATTCCTTTTTAAAATGATTTGTTTATTATCCAATCTCTTGTAACGACGAGGCTTGTTAATTTCAGTGGTTGATAGTAAAAGATGTCATGGTTATACTACATCATGATCTCGACTTCAGGTTGAGATAATATTAGAAACTGACTATAGGAGCCTTATTTCGGTGCTTGCAAAGAAATGATGGGTCTCCTGTCCTGGAGCTCCGTATGTATGTTTGATAAAAATGTCATTAGTTAAAAAAGAAAATTTCCTACACTTAAGAAAGATACATGATATGTCAACAATTTCCTTGACAAATTGTCGGTAACATGATGAGCTGATACGTCTTTGGGAAATCAGATCAAATCTTTTGGTGCAAAGATAATATGTGGGTGAATTGATTAAACCGAGAAATAAGGAGAGTGGAGGAAAAGGCAAATGAGGAGTGTATTAGAATATTTGTCTTAAGGCTATGTTTAAGATATTATGATAGGTTATGACCGAAAAAAAAGTATATTATGATAGGTGTAACGAAATGGGATGAGATGAAATGGAAAAAAAAAAATTATCATACCATTGTTTGGGTATTTTATGATGGAATGAGGCGAAGTTTCTATCTTGTTTGGGAACGAACGGGATGGTAAGCATTGAAATTATAGGGTTTTAGGTATAGAGGGAGAAAAAGGAGAACACGGGGACTAAACGTTGACATTAAATTGATGTAATGTATTACAATGTGTTAAAAACATAAAGCACTGATCTTTATTTTTATTAATATTAAATCATAATCCTAACTGAATAAGGAAAGAAAACACTAGGCAATGTGCAAATGAGAACTAAACTTAGGATATAATGAGGAAATTTAAAATTAATCAGGAGATAATCCAAGATACTTTAAATTGTTCTAAGATATGATCAATATATTATTAAATAATTTAAAATTGATTTCAGCGTTAAAGGTGTGTGCAGTTGCAGCTAGCAATGGTTCAACCATAAAATTAACGATCATGACGGTTCGAAGTGGACAACAACCTTACTCTGCGATTAGAAACTTCGTCGGAGGGGGGGGGGTGTCAGAGACTCGTAACGGTTTGAGCTGCTCATGACCATTTAATGTGCAAAATGTTTGTAATATTTTTTACAATTGATATGACCCCTCGAAGCAAAAGATTCACATTAAGGGGTAAATTGCGAAGCATTATATTCATCCACGAGAATACCAGAGAGTACATTCAACCTTTCACAATTTCTTAAACATTATGCCTTAATGAAAAAAATTGTGTTTACTTGATCAAATGCATCAAAATTATGTTTTGTTATTTGAATAACTTAAAATTGCTACCTTATTTAATATTGTGGGTAATTATTCCTTTAAATTTTTTTTTCCCTTTTCTTTGCTATACTTAGATTCCAAAAAATACACTCAAAAGTAAATGAAACGAGTTAAAGCTGTCAAGTTGCACAAAAGAGAATCAATTAAATTTTTGTTTAAAAGGTCGCCGACACATCTAATAAGGTTGGTCATAATGAAAATAGCCCGACTCCATGCGAGTTTTATCTACAATGCTAGGAGGTCGAGTCCTAGAGTTGTTATTATAAAAAAAATAAAACTTCTTTAATTGCCCTTAATTTGAGGTTGACTCTCAGTTTTATCTGTGAATATTTCTAGCCAACGACCAAAGAAAAATAACATAATGATGATTTTTATCGTAAACATGGTTTTGTCCAATCATGAAATAGTTATTGGTGACGTGTAGATGAACAGCAGAGTTATAATGGGTTCAAGTAATTAAGTATTATTACAATTGGATTCACCAATTGATTCGATTAGTCTATTCATAAAATAAATAATTGCGTTTAATAAATGCATAACTTTTGCTAATTGGTTATTTATTTCTTTATATTTTGGGTTTTTGAATAAAAAAAATGTTAGTTGCAAAATCTTCTATTTAGGGTGTATTGGAAATCACAACTTATTATTCAATAATATTTTATTATATAAGCACTTATATCATATGGATACATTTTGAAAACGTGGGAAGGAGAGTCTTATTGGACATGCAACAATCAATGAGTTGTTGTGTGAATAAATGAGTGACGTTAGATTTTGCATTCCAAATAAAAAGAAAGCATAAACATTCCTAAGCCAGAAAAGCGCCAACGCAAATAAGAGGACACAAGTCTTTTATGGATTGAAAAATAGTATTACACATGCGAATGAGTTGCCCTGATATATCAAATTCATTTTATAATCCAAATATTATACGATGCTAATTAATCCATTTCCGTTACTTCTCTCGCAATAATAATAAATTAAAAAGGAAAAAGGGAATTTAATATTTGTCAGAAAACGTTAATAGTAATAATAATAAGATTAAATTGGATTTTCTTTCGCTCTTCTTTCTTTCCTTCTTTGTTAACAAAAGAAGATTGAAAGCTCCTCCCATTTTCTGAACAATCATTCATTCACCGATTCCATGGTGGCGAGAGGCGTGCCGGCGGAGGCGGCGACGGCAGTGTTTGCCGTGGCCGCCCTTGACTTGACCGAATCCTCCAACTGGTGGCGGGACATCAACGACTCCCCGCTCTGGCAGGATCGAATCTTCCACGTCCTCGCCATCCTCTACGGAATCGTAGCCGCTGTTGCTCTGGTATTCATTCTCCAACAATCTCGACGTCTTTTCTTGCCGGATTTCGATTTTGAGTTCGGTTAGGGTTTCATATATTTTTTTATGATTGTAGGTTCAATTAGTTCGAATACAATTGAGAGTACCGGAATATGGTTGGACCACGCAGAAGGTCTTTCACTTTCTCAATTTTTTGGTGAATGGGGGTTTGTATCATTCTAATCTTCCTTTTCTTTTCTTTTTATTATAAAAGAAAATTTGAATCTATTTGTATTTGTTGGATGATTGGGTTTAAATACCGTGGTGCAATATGCATGCTATTTCTGGTTTTGCAGTTCGGTGTTTAGTTTTCGTTTTCCGTCGGGATGTGCAAAAGTTTCAGCCAGAGGTAGGAATGGATTGTTTCGTCTATTTCCCTTCCGATTCTATCTTTTGTAATCACATAGTTAATGCTCAACTTTGTGTGTGTGTGTGTGTCTGTAGATTGTCCAACATATCTTACTGGACATGCCTAGTCTTGCTTTCTTTACAACTTATGCGCTGTTGGTCCTGTTCTGGGCTGAGATTTATTACCAGGCAAGTTTAATTTCTGGTGCATGGACTATTTTCTCCATTTTCCATTTGAACATGGTTATTTCAGTGGCCTGATTATGACTTCGGTGTTACATGTTCTGCAGGCACGAGCTGTATCCACCGATGGTCTCAGACCAAGTTTCTATACAGTCAATGCTGTGGTTTATGTGATTCAGGTGAAAAATCTTGCCCATGATTTCACTTGTGGTCACCACTCACCACTGTTTGTTGCACTTCTTTTTTGAATTTTGTGGCCATGGATGTTGCTTGCTGTCTGTTTCCATTTTTATGTTGTATTTCTTAGCTTTTGTAGAAACCATAGTTGATAGCATGTCAAACAATACAGTCAATCAGCTAGAAAGGTACAGCCAGAGCCATCGAAGATGGGTTAGCCTACCTTATCCTGATGCTTCACAAAATAGTCCTTCACATAGCACTTCTGGAAGTATCCATTTCTGATAGGAGATCCGATATATACAGTGGATGCTGATATTTAGATCTTATAAAAGTCAAATCTGTCTATCCGTCCACAAATTTTTCCCCAACCCTGGAGAACTTTTCAGTGCTTGTGTTCTCTCACTCTCAGATCTATTTTCTTACCAGTTTTCAAATGGAAATGGGGGATGTTTCTAGAGGTTATCAAACATTCTCTGAGTCTTTGATTCCCATGGATGAAGAAATTGTTGCTTCAGATCCAACCAGGAAGACACCACTGGAAAGGGGCTTCTCTGTGGCACATACTGGCAGTGGTGTCAGGTACGATGGCATGGCTGGTGGGCTGACTCTTTGGGTTCTAGCTTAGGATAAGATTTGGCTGATGTGCACAACCTGAAGTGATGGCTTTTGGGTCTTTTTCCTTCTGATCCATGTGCATAATATATCAGGTTCAACGGTTTCTCAAACTTCTGATCTCTATACATTCTTAAACACACTAGACTTGCTAGTTCCCTCAACGCAGTTGGGTTAGCACTTAGCATAAGCTATAAAAAAAAATATTAACCCAACCCCACCCCACCCCACCCCCCTTCCCCAACAAAAAAAATTATAGGGTTGGTCAACCTAATATGCCAAATCATGTAGACAGCTTAGGCTCTCCATAATGTTTTATCCATTATTCTCAATTTTTTTGGGCTTTTGTTGTCACTTAACTGCCTATCACCCACTGCCATATAGCATTACCATTGCTAGTTTTCTAGCTGTCTGGTACTTTTCCTTTGAAGTTGCCAGACACTTAGCCATCACAAATTATTGTTGAGGTACTTCCCTATTCAATCAACCTAGCTTGATTCCTCTGACATCCCTGCAATCTCTCCATCACTTTGTAAGATGAGTCTATGATACCTAAACTGTTTAACTTGTGGTTTGATGTGATCTCTGAAAGTTCTCCTCAAAGACTGTGCTAACTCCTATTGTATTGGACTTGCATTGCTATCCTTCCATATGGATCAAACATAAAAGGTAAGCATGAAAGAGTGTTTTCTCTTGCTAACAACCCCAAGAGGAGCATCAACTGAGAAACACAATCCAACAAGGATGAAAGGATAACCATTGCAGTGACCTAGCCAACCTTGAATCAACTACTGGTCAACAAGGCCATTGTGATCCATCGCCAGATTCAAGAGAAGGGCAGTGGAGCATAAGAGCATAACCCTTCAACATAAGCCACCAGAATAGCAAAACGGTCACTATCATTGGTTCAAAGCCTTCAATCCATATACCTAACAACAAGATTAGGAATAAAACCCAGAATCCCCCCCCCCCCCCCCAACACAGAAAATTTGCTGAAATAATCCCAGGAATTCATATGAAATGCCAGACCATATGAAAATCACCTTTGGCAAATGATGACCCCACGATAGACTTAGACCCTTAAAACAATTTGCAGCTCCTGCTAATTCAGATCTTGCTACTGTTTGCAAAATTGATTTTATCCTTGCTCACTGCACTATTAAAACATGGGACAGAGCTCCTTGGACACAAGCACACCCTACATTATTGGACAACACTTGTATACCTGTGCACCCACCACTCTACATGAACACAATCACTATCATGAATGCCTTAGTACCTTATGCAGCTCCTCTCCCCACACAACTCCCTCCACATATCATAATTGTCACACAAACAGCAGAACAGTCACTGCATGTCACATCAAGCACAAAGAGGGAACAAAACACCAGAAAATTACTAGAAATCATTGTACAAACCCAAACAGCCTTTCCTTCCAGGGAGTCACTCTTGTCATCAATGCTCCTAACAAGCTACGGGATGATCTTGCTTGGACCGGAAAAACACAATCCCAGACTTGAAAGTCACCAAATGGAACCAAATCCCACCAAAAGGCTGAAACAGCTACCCCAGACACATTGGTAGAGTCACTGACACACCTACCTGACAATTGTTTACACTTGTCTATGTTGGAAGTTGAGGCACCAGCCACCCACTGTGACTCTCTCTATAGAGCCCAAACACACCCATCCCTACCAATGGGGGTTGGTTCAAGGGATAAATTTCTTGATTCTCCTTAAGCTAGGTTTGGGTTTAAACCTTGTGCATGGAAAGAATTCTCGTTGAGAGAGCTAGTCCCCCCACAATGTGGATGTTCTCAAATTGAACAAGATTGCTTTTTGTGAAGGATATTTGTGGTTAGACAAAAAAAAAAAAAAGCACCACATCCGTATGCAAATAAACCATCAGTCATTCATGCTTGCACCAGTCCTCCGTATGGTGCTGGTCAACCATAGCTGGTTGATCACTAATATTCCCTTGCTGACTACCTAAATCTTCAAATGGCTGCCACTAGAGGCTTCCGTAGCCTTGAAATGTGATATAGGTCATGATCTGTTGAATTTTTTTTCTTTTTACGTAAAAAAAAAAAAAACAGACAAATTACTCTATAAAAAGGATATTCTGAATACATAGAGATAATTAAATACAAAGGAATTCTATGAAACTCTACAGTGCAGAAAGGGAAACCCTGTGAGGTGAATGGTACTGCTCTGGTATCATGTTATTTCATTTCTATGAATATTCTTGTTTATGTTTTTCTTTCATTTCATTATTGTGCTCAAAATTATGTTTAATAATTGAACCATTGACCTTTATTATTTTAAATAGCTGTTACTTTCATGTTAACTGGTTTTCAATTAGTAGATTTTTATTTTCTTTATTTTTTGTTTGATGTGTTTCAGATTGCTTTGTGGTTGATATTATGGTGGAAGCCAGTCAGCGTGCTGGTCATCCTGTCAAAGATGTTCTTTGCAGGTTTATATCTGTTAAGGGACCCCTTTTTTAGGGGGGTGGGGGGGCGGTGGGTTAAGTATCCGATTTAACTGACCATGACATACTCTGATTTTCTATGCATATATGTAGGGGTCTCATTGTTTGCAGCCCTTGGATTTCTTCTCTATGGTGGGAGGTAACTGTTTTTTTTCCAATTTTCAACTACATTTAACATAATTTGGGTTATGGAATTAAATTAATGCATCCAGGTTTAAGAATAACACTAACATAGAAATTGTGCCTTGTCTGAACTCTGAATAGTAAAAATAAAAATTCAATTCGTATTAGCAGATTTAGTAGTTGTGTGAGTTTTCCAAATTTACCTTTCTGAAAAATCAGATAGTGCAAAAACATAGGCACCATGAAGAAGTATATTTTGTTGATTGGTTTTCCTTCTATAAAACTGGTATAGTCATGTTTCTCAATAGCTGCTAAAGTGTAACTTCATAAGCTATTAGTGTGGATTATCTGGATTCTTTATCCAATGTAAATGGTTCATTGTTGTAATTGTTCAATCTGATATATGATTCTAACCAAGATCTCCAACTTGACGAAAAAACCCTGTGAAGCCTTTTTATGATTCTGTTCATGATATCATCTGGTGCTAAGATGATGAAATATCTGGAAAGTAGTATCTATCTTTTTCCTGTTAGTTACTACTTACTAGTCCCTGGTAAGCAGATAAATTTTTCATATCTGTAAGCAGAGATAGTTGACTTATCTGCATTGATATATTGCTCTGTTTTTGTTTTCTTCTGTGTCTTCTGGGTGCAATTCAAAATGTCCCTTGATCCTAAAGCATTCAACAAAAATATTTCCATGTATGTTAGAATGGTATTTAGCTTATCTAGATTGTTGTATGTAAAAGATGCCTTGCTGTGCAAGATTTTTTAAAGAATTCTAATGTTGTTTATGAATGCCATTTTTTCTTTTTCCTTTTTTTTAATTGAAAAAAAAAATAGAAGAGGAAAATGGGATAAGATTTCTTCAGCAACTAGAAAAGACAGAAATAACAGAGAACAACTAGAAAGGAGCTAAGAATGCAGCAATGCTACTTGATCTATGTACATGTCAGAGATGGCTACACCATTGATATTTATGCAAAACACTAGTGGCCAAAATTTAATCCTATCCTGAGCATTTTTAATAGCAAATGAAATCCTTGAAATTGAGGGATTTCTGCTCCAAAGCACCAAAAAAACTGTGTAAAGTGCAAATCATTCAGTATCTCAAATTTTGCCTCTCTCTTAACCAAAACCTTTTAACAGCGCTGAAGTAGCTCACCCTTTTCGCATCAAGAACCCCAAAATTGGTCCAGAACAAAAGTAGCTACTTTGCAGCACACAAATGAGTGGTTGATAGTTTCAGGGTTTATGTTGTAAACAATGCATTTGGAGAGAGACTGATGTGAGAAGTAATGAGTGGATATAAATAAGTACTGGATTCCAAACAAAAAGTTATCAGTTTTATAACCTCAGTGGGGGCTTTAGATCTCCAGATGGGATTGTCAAGGATGAATTTTTGACTGCATGGGGAACGAGTAAAAGGAAATGGGCATTTACTGGAAAACGCAACCCTCCAGAAGTGTCAAGGGTCCATACTGTTATCATTTTGATTATGTGTCAATTAAGGAAATTTTTATATTCTATTTGCATTATGTGTATGCATCTTTAGTATCATCTCACTACCCTATCTATTTTTGCATATATTTTCTGAGTGTGTTATATGACAGACTATTCTTGATGCTGCAACGCTTTCCTGTTGAATCCAAAGGGCGACGAAAGAAGCTGCAAGAGGTCTATATTCATTTTTACAAGGAAATTTTCCTATATTTATCTCCCCCTATTCTTCCCTTCCTTTACCCAGAATTAATCTACCTGATCTTTCTAATGCAGGTTGGCTATGTGACTACCATATGCTTTTCATGTTTCCTTATCAGATGTGTTATGGTTTGTTCCTTTTACTTGATGATAGACCTCAATCTGTCGCATGATTATTACATTGTGTTTGACTGTATTATATTGTTTCAGATGTGCTTTAATGCATTTGATAAAGCTGCTGACCTTGATGTCTTGGACCATCCCATTCTTAATTTTATATACTACTTGGTGAGTTTTTGTATTTCTTCATTGTGATGTTTTTGTTGGCATACTTCCCATTATTGCTCATTGTTTGTACGGTCAAACTATCATTTCTATACCTAGGTCAATTTTGGGCTATGACTTACCTAGGTTTGAGCTTAGTGTTGAAATCTGACATATTTCCTGGTTGAATTGTTTCCGACTTTATATGGGCAATACTTTTATTACCCTACCAAAATTCATCTTATTATCTTTCTGGCATGAGTTAAGGTTAGTCTTGATTCTTGGTAAGGTTTTTTTTATTTTCTTCAAAGCTACGTGGCAAGGACATTGGTAAATTGGATGATCAAGTCATTGCTTTTTATTGTTGTGGGATATATCTTGAGCAACTCTTGACCACAAATGGAATTTCTTGTGAAAAATGGAAAATACATTTACTGATGTCCATTCAAAAGGATTGAATTGCTGTTAGGTTTTTAGAATTGCAATTTTCCCCATACTCTTACATTCAGTCTCAAGTGTAAGCGATAAAAAAAGAGGCTTGTTCTACTTGTTGTAGGTCTCTCAAATACAATTTCTCTTATCTTTTGCACATTTTTGCTGCAGTTGGTGGAAATATTGCCTTCTTCTTTGGTCCTTTTCATTTTGAGGAAGTTGCCACCGAAACGTGGTATCACACAATATCACCCAATTCGCTGAACAGATTAACATATGGAGGAAACTTAGTCAGAGGGTGTCCTTAGTGATTCTCTGTTTTCGTTGATGTTTCTCCCTCCATGGATAATTTCTAGAGGACAGAGAAGTCGGTCTTTCTTCTTTTGAGTGACAAAGCTAATATCATGGTTTTATAGTTCTCCTAAGGTCTGTAGATTTTGAAACGTGACAATTTTGTGGATTGTCAAACGTGTTGGGCTGTGTTATGTATGTGATATTTGCATTGTCTCTAGGAAAATGTGGTTGCTGTTTCAGGTTCAGCAATTCAACACAATGAGCAACCTTTTGGGAAGAAAGGGACACTGATATTGTATAATAGAGTTTTCAAGTCCTGTAACTGCTACAATTTGGTGAAATGTACTGTTCCTTTTCGGTCAAGTTCCAACTAATTCATTCAATTTTTAAATATCCCTTCTTCCATTTCTCTGTGAAGCTTAAAATTTCTTTTTGACGAGGGCTAAATCTCTATTTTGGGAGAGAGATATATTAGGCTAACTAACTTTGGGAATTACACAGATGTATCTGATTATCTCTAAAATTTTAACCCGACCAAGTGGAATGAACAAACACTTCTTGAAAACGTTCTTTCTTCAGCAGCCATGTTTGGATACAACATCAGTATGGCTCTTGAAAAGCCATGTTTCTGGTTATAGCAAAAAACAACGGTGGCAGTGCATAATGAAATTTTCCTAGTTGAATTATTCTCTCTTGACAAATACTCAAACATCAAATAATCATTGACATACCACAAATATATGCATTAAGATTACAGAAACATACTTGCAAGAACCTTAATCAAAAGAATTCGTACCCGGGACATATTTTCTGGAATTCGATGATGCCATTAATCAAAAGCTTGCTTTCTGGATGGGGGATATCGAGGCTCTTGGTTGTGAATTTCCTGCTTCAGCATGTAATTCCATCTTCAACCGGTATTAGTATCGAATATCAGCCAGTCAGTACTTGAATGTTTGGTTTGACTTTGTTCACTGAAAGAATGGTAGGTTTGAATAATAAAACTATGGTTTAATTTATATCATTTGTCCACAAGCACGTGTTTGGGACCCGTGGTTAGGAAATTATTGAGTATTAGTTGATAAAAACTATCCAAAACTCATTAAGATGCAGTTTTTGTACTGTTTTGAAGGCTACAAGTTGGAAGAGATCAAAAGGAAAGTTATGTATAACATAACTGAAGTGTAAGCAACATTTTTTAAGCTTAATTTGCCCCACCTATCCTATTCTAATAAACCTTGGATGAAATTTGGGCTGATTGCATTTTTTTTTTATATAGAAACGATCTTGACCTTGAGTATGACTTCCAATCCTAATAATTAACTCAACAACACAAAAGATTCTTTTAGCCTAAAGTCAGAAATTATAAAATTTCTCTAAAAGGTCCGATGAAGTCAAAATTAATTTTCCCTCACACTCACGGTTCGCAATAAATTTCACAAAAAATAACAGTTTAATTTTAGCTTTTGTACATTCAGGCAAAAGAAAAGAAAATGAACCGGATGAAAAAAAAAAAAAAAAAACTCACTCATAAAGAGGCATAACCTTTCAAGTATAAAAGGTTTCATGAACTAACACTGATTAGTATCAAAATTTTATGAAGAGTTAGAATTTAATTGTGTAGGATTTTCATGAACCTATGAAGCCTTTCACCAATATTTTTTTTATAGAATAAATTGCATTATCATTTTCCAAGCGATGTTTGTTTACGTTCTCCTCCTTTTTTATTTTAAATAATTGTACTACCCTCCCTTAAAAGAAAAATACATTACACTTTAATCTATTAAGCCTCGTCTAAGAGCAGTGTTTTTTTTTTTTCACCAAAACACTATTAACAACCTATGGTTTTCTTACATAAAATATTTCAAAAGCTTAGGTTGTCTTTCAAGACGTGGTTATAGGCCTCAGCACCAGCACATCACCGCCATCAATTGTTGTTTATTCATGTTTCAAATTGAAACTAAAGAGTGAATCGGAAAGAGCAAAAAACCATAGCCAAACTTGGTTATACAATGAAAGCAATTTGTCTTATCACCTCTAAAACTTACAGCAAACTATAAAAACAAGGTAAGCTTATTTAGGTGAAAATTTACAAACTAAAATAGTAGGCTTTTTGATTAAAAATGTGCATTTTTAAACAATAATTATTATAAAATAATAATAAAATAATTTATCTATTTAGAGTAATTCTTATTACATCATAATAAAATAAGATTATCCATTGCAAAAACAATACACATCGCATGCATTGATACGTGTTGCACATGCAATACATTTTTATAACATTATTAACTAATATTGTTTAGCAGATAAATAATATTTAAAAATAATAATAAAATGAGATTATCCATTGCAAAAATAAGACTTAACACATGTTGTATATATAACTTGTATAACTTTTTTAAGCAGTAATTTTTTTAAAGTTTAAAATTAAAATTCACTCGCAGGAGAGTGTTATCACTTGGCAACAATGCAGGTAGTATAGTTTTTACAATAAGCGAGACATGAGAGAAGTAAACCAAAAAGAAAAACAGAAATTTCATAAAAGAGAGAAGTGCAATTTATGACATTTTATAATTAATTTTTTATATTCTCTCTTAATTTTAACAAAAGTCTCTTTCCAAGGACAATACTACTAAACCCTAAACCCTAAGTGACGACACTCCATCTCTCAGGATTGAATATAAATTTTAAATTAAAAATATTATTCAATAGTGGTCAAAGTATAAAGTGTATATATTTTTATAGTGGAAAATTTTATTTTATTTTTAAATAAGGATTATCTTTTTAGTGAATAATATTAGATAATTATATAATTTTATTTAAAATAAATATTTTTACATTTTTTAGTAATTAATTTTTAAAATAATTTTTTTAATAAAAAAAATCAATAATAGGCAAAGTCTCAAATTGAAAGAATGCATTTTATTCATTAAATTTAGAAGAAAATGTCTTTTTTTTTTCCCTCCAAAATTTCTCTTTCTAAACAACCCCTTAGACTTTAATTATTAGTTTGGAGAGAAAGAGAAGGAAAGAGTTTGAAAGATAAGGAAGTGAAGAAAAAAAGAAAAAAGAAAAAAAGTTAATACAAAATTTTTCAATTTGAAAAAATTTAAAAACATGTCATTAAGAGAATTTTAAAAAATTTCTAAGTGTAAGAAATGTTAGACCTCACCCTTGAATTGATTGAATGGGAGCATACCCCATAAAGATGAAGTGATTAAGTTACATAAGATATCAAATTAAAATTAAATTTTTGAAGAAAGAATAATTTAATAACTTTAAAATAATATTATTTATTATAATAAAATGTACTTAAAAATATTTTCAAGAACATATCTAAGAATGTTAAGTTAAATAGATTAAAGTGTATTTTTTTGAAAACAAAATGTTAAAAGATTATTTTATCTATATATCATAAAATACAACTGAAAATAAAATTTATAAATGAGTTAATAGTTGATTCAACGCCAATCCAGCTTTTACCCTGAAAATTTACTAGAAATTCAACTTAAACTTGTTTCTTGTGAACTGAACATTAGTGTCACTATGTTCTCCTACTTAAATATAGAACACGTAACCAAACCATTGAAGCACCACTTCCAAATGCTACAATGGCTTGTACCAAGAAAAGTCTAGGCATTTAAAATATTGTCCAATCAACTTGATATCAGAATCTTTTAATTAAGAAGTTTAATTAAAGTGTTTAAAGAACCAAAAAGAGATTATGAGATTGAAAAGCCACCTGTTATGTTTCCCTTAGCACATTATTTGACCAGATCAATCAAGGTATTAGAAAACTATGGAGTAAATGCGAATATTATTATTAACTTTCTAACGTTACAGGCTTGCACTCTGCATGAGAGCACAGCAAAATGCCCCATTGCTTACATAAAAATATCCATTCAATCAGAGGAAAAACACAGTAAAAATAAAAAGGATTAATTAATACAAGAAAATAAATTGATAATGATATCCCAAGTTCTACAAGCAAATTTTAAGCAGAAATGCTGCTCAGTCAGAGAGAACTAGACAAGTTTGAGAGGTCCACCAGATCACATTCATATCATCCGTGTATTCTTAGCTTTTCCATAATTATGTAAGAATGACACCAATCTTCTTAGCAAAGTCATCCCCATCTTCATCATCCATGTACTCTTGCTCTTGATTTTCACCCTCCTCAACTTGTTCATAGTCATAGTCTCCTTCATCACCTTGCTCATAATCATAGTCCCCATCTCTCTGATCATCACCTTCATACTCCTGATCCTCCGCCGCTTCATCATAGATCATTCCATCCTCAGATGATTGGCCATGAGTTGCATCAGCATTATCAATGTCTCTTCCAACTGCATCAGTTGCCTGAAACTTGGGTTCTTTTTCATTAACTAGCAGATGGCTCTTGATCTCTCCCCTAGTCTCAGACAACCCTCCATTTTGTGGGTTTGAGACAAGTGTATGATCTTTGTTTTCAGTAGCTTCTTCATTCTTATTGTAAGATGATTTGCCATTCTGAGAGGCCGCACCAGCTCCAACTCCTCTCTTCTCCTTCAGAATTTCACTTAGAGGTTTTGGACCTTCAAACTGAAGATCATCTTCAGATTGGGGGTAATCCCTCAAACTTTTTCTCTTTCCCAGCAAATGTTGCTCCTTATTCTCGGTGTTCCTCCCATTTTTAAGTTCAGCAAGACTTTTTGGCCCAGCAAAATCACTTCTATCACCCATCAATTCTCTCCCCATTGATCGGTCCCTGAAGCTTTTCCTCTCATCATCTTGCAACCTTCCTTTTATTCTGTCTTGGACCCTTCCCTGGGGAGGGGCCTGCGACCTTCCAGATGACAATCTGCTCCGGATTCTTCCCCTGTCTTCCCTGTCTGTGTGATCACTACCACCATTTGCTGGAAGTTTTATCCTGCCTCGGAAGCGATTACTGAGGGAGCTCTCATTCAAAGGTAACTGGTGCGAATCCTTTCGAGAGAAGAACCGGTGACCTTGTTCCTCACTGTGGCTCTCAGGGTCATAATCATGAGTGACAACAGATTTCAAACCATTGACCTTCCTGCGCTTGGATAAATGATGTCGAAGATCCGAGACCTCAGCATTTTCAGGACTGCCAGATCTATGGTGAGTCCTTCTTTCTAAATGGGCTGAAGCCTTTCTATGCTGCTGCTGCTCCCAAACATATGGCTCCTGCATGTGATCATATGACTCATAACCTTGGGGCACACGAAACCTTTCTTGATCAATATCAGCCGCTAAACTATAATTAGCAGAATGTCCTAAATCATATTCATCCAAAGAGTCTAAGGTCCTTTCATCTTGAGCTCTTGCTTTACCAAATTCATCCTCATGGTAGTAATCAGAATTTCTAAGTTCATCAGCTACAAGAACATCAAACCCAGGAGAGGATTCTCGGAGAAACTCATCACCGTCCTTACCACTGTGGAAACTATGATCATCTGGCACACGAGCTTGATGCAGACGGTTTGACTGGGCCACAGCAGAAGGCCCATTGGTCAGAGGTGGAGTACTAGCTATCTTGAATCTGGAAGCCTCATTATCAAATCCTGCTGATGGTGGTGGCCCTTGCTTCTCCAATTCAAGCATATTTCTTTGTGGAGCAGTTTCAACTTGTTGGGCAGGTTTAACATCATGGCCCCCAACTGACCTTGCAAAATTTCCCTGGGAACTTTTCCTTTCCTGAGCATATTTTTCAATTACACCAAAAGGCCTCTTAAAACTAGGATTCTCAGCTCCTTGGCTAGTCATTGGGACCTGAGCAGCTGCTTTATTACCAGTGTTAGGATTCGGTCCATGCAAGAAGGCACACCTGTCACCTTTTAAGCAAAGCCCCTTTTGGAAGAAAATGCAGGGAACAGGTTTACCAGAATTATACGGAGCATGCGTTGCAGTCGTAGTTGGAATCTGTGGTGGGGGTACAGATGGTCCACCAGCCGTTGCTGTCTGTGTTCCTAATAACCCATCAAGAGGCTGCATGGGAAAACAAAATGCAGTTAACAACAGCCTTACAAAGAAATTAAATACTGAGGATAACAGTTCATAAATCGACAAAAAAGTATAAAAAGACACTCACCGGATGACGAAATGAACATTTGGGATTCAAGCAATTGCCATTCAACCAATACCAACAATCCCTAGGATTAACACGTGCGTACTCGCTGTGTCGGTACTCACATTCATTTCCCTGTTCCAACATAGAAGAAAACAAATCAAAATGATGCCAGCAATAAAGTACAAACCAGTATCTATGACTGGATAGCATGACATTCTTGTTAACTAAACAGTTTTTCTTTTAATATGCAAAACGCATAACCAAAACGTTACGCCATATAATAAAAAACTTAATTTGCACACGAACACACAGAAAAGACGCATTTAATAGAATAATTATGAAACAAGTAGTTATTTCAGTAAAATGTTGAAATATATTTAATGATAACAACTTAAAGAATTAATCGTAAAACATAGTTGGCAACACTGGTGAATGGCAGATCTCGCCAACAGAACACTATCTATCATCATGACTCACATATACTCTTGCCACTTCCAGGTAGTAGTGTGATTAATTTTTTTATTTCAATGGAAGTTCATTGAAAACGCTAATTAAATATTGCTTTCAGAATAAATCATAACATAATGAATAATACTCTAAAATATTAAGGGGAAAGAAAAAACTAAACTTGATCCATCTAACCCTTTGTTTGTTTCTAGCTGGATCCATGATCTAATTTAATATATATATATATATATAGACATAAAAAAAATTGTTTTCAAGAACCCCGTTCTCCATCATTCCCCTCAATTAATCAAATAAACGGACAAAGTGAAAAATATACAGATAAATAAAGTCCACAGAGATCAGATTAATAACACGATGATCAATGAGAGTTTCCCAAAACTAGATACCCAGAAACATAATCCACAAAATAATAATAACAATAACAACAACAGCACCAATAATAATATTAAAAAAAAAAATCCACAGTCTATCAACAAGATTCTTCAAGACTATGCCTAAATACACGAATTTTGAGAATTCGCATGCAAACTTCCGGCAAAAACCCTTTTACCAAAATTCAATTATTCCAATTGAAATAAGAGCAACCCCCAAAACTATTTGCCGAAACACGCGAATCCAGAAAAACAAAACCTAAAAGACAAAATTCCCAAATAAAAAAAAATTCTTTCAAAATAGAAAAAGGTGAGAGAAAGAACCTTTTTGCATGTCAAGGGAGAAGCAAGAAAGTAGACACAATCGGTGTTCCTCTTCAAGGCCTCATCTTGGGAAGAGGGTTGAGGCTGAGGTTGAGGTTGTTGGGCTACCATGGCTGTTGTTGAAGTTGAAGTTGAAGAGCTCAACTCAACCCAACCCAACAGAGATCGTGAGAAGAAGAAGGAGATCGAATCAAAGAAGAAGAAGGAGAAGAAGATGGATCCAAATCTCAATCTCAGAAGAGAAGAAGTAGAGAGAGAGCCGCCACAGAAATTGGGGTGAGAGTAGAGAGAGAAAGAGAGAGTTGAGTATGTGAATGTGATGGGCTTTAAGGGAACGAAGGAAGGGGTAAGGGTAAGCCTGGTTTGGTTTTGGTTTTTTATTTTATTTTATTTATCAGAATTTTTGTAAAAATTGAGATTAATATGTCTGTTGGTGTGTGTGTTAATGATTCCATTTCTATGTTTGATGCCTAAGTGGCAACGGGACACTTGCCCTGTTTCTATTGGTCTTCTCTCTGTAAACCTCCATGAGTCCATCACCCACCCCTCAGCTCATCTACGCTCTTCTCACTTCAATTTCGGTTTCCATTGTCCTTTCTTCTTTATCACCATCACATTTTATTAACAAATTATATATATCTTTTTTATACACTTGTATTTCTTGTGAGTTATATTTAAATTTAATTCAATAAATTTAAATAATATCTGCCAGTCATATTTAATGATCATACATTAAATTTAGTTAAAATTATTAAAATAGATTATAAACTTATAATTTGATATTTTATAAATTTATTAAATAAATATTTTAAATTATTTATTTAATGGCACTTTTAATTTATCATAGAATATACAATGTTCAAAAATTTTAGTTTAGTTTAATTTTAATGAACTCAATCTAAATTTTACTTAGTCAGGTATACGTTGATTTATAATCTACTGAGGCTAGTTCTCTGATTTGATTATTTTATAATAATAATTTATTTTTTGTATATTTGAATTATATTCATCAGTTTGAAATAAAAATGTAGTTTAAAGAATTTGAGAACATATGTGTAAAATAAGCAAACTCACAAATATAAATATTTACTATGCACTTATTGAGAAGAAAAAAGGGTGGAGAAGGATTTTAATTTCATTTTTAACATCATTATACTGTTATCGTTGTTTAAAAATATTTAAAGTTGTGGAATGAAAAACAAAGATCTCAGTTATACGTTGAGGTTAATCATAAAGTAAGATGGTTTCATGAAATTATATTTATTTAATAATATAAAATTTTTACTTTAGGATTTAATTCTCAACCAGAAACAAAAAATTTAGAATCATTCATGTTTTTACATTGAACCAAACTAATAGAAAGACAAAAGAATTCACAAATAGAACTTTTATTTCACAAAAATATTGATACACATTATTATTTTTTTATATGACCGAAAACCAATATTATAATAGCATTTATTTTTGGGTTATGATGCATGAGTTTTTGGATGTGCATGCATATTTATGCACAGGAAGAGAAATTAAATTTCATTGCATAAGTTATAGTAATTTTTACACTTACATGGTTAATAGTTTTATATAAATTATAATATCTATCAATTTAATTATAAAATTATTATTTTATATTATTTTATCATGTATCAAATTATATATATAATCTTATTTTGTTATATTTAACAATATTATAAAGTATAAAATAATTGTACTTTATATTTTTATAAATTTATTTATAACCAATCAATAACTATTTTATTATTATATATGACTATGAATTTATTACATGTAATGTCAATTAATTATTATTAATTTTAAATTTTTTTAATACAATACACGTAGATAATCATGATTTATTGATGTTAAGTTTATACTATTTAATAATTTTTTAACTATTTATTTAAATATTTTTATTTAAAAATTATTTTATATAAAAATAAATAAATAAAAACTTTATTTTAAATATATAAGAATTTAATTACTCTCATCTCAAAAGAGAAAAAATCATTGAAAATTATAAAAAATAAGAAAAACTCCAAAAAATAAAGATTAGGACAACACTTATGTGTATTATTTGTATTGTTTTTCAATTAAACTTAATGTTTCACATAAGTAACATGTTTTAACATTTAATGTTAATGTGTTGATCCTAAATACATGCAAACTTTTATTATGCATATTATTAAACTGAAATTCTAACTTTAATTAAATAATAATGTTATAAGTAATTTTTTAAGTATTTATTTATTTTTATCTCAATAAATATCTATGCTTTCCAATAATTTTAGATAGAGTGAAAGAAGAGATTTTAACTTCGTTGTAAAGAAAATTTAAAAATAATTGTATTCTTTTATATATAATTAGTCATCTATTGACAATTTAAGTAAGTATTAGATCTATAAATGAATCTGTAGGATTTATGAAATAAGAGATTTTGACTTTGTTGTAAAGAAAATTTAACATAAGTTTATTAATTAATTTTTTTTTAATTAAGCATGACATTTAACTATAATATTTAAGTTTAATAGTTAATTTTGATAGATGGTAAAATTTAAATACTTCGTCACTTTGTAAATTTTTATAGAACGAGAGACTAATCATAGAATTGTTGATTTAAATTCCTATCAATTAGATTAATTTTATAAAAATTTAGATAAAAATAAAATTAATAAATACTTTATTATATTACTTTAATTTAATGGTAATATATTTTAAAATTATAAAAATAAATAAATTTTAAAAAATATATTTATAAATATTTAAATTATGTAAAATATTTCACAATCACAATATAATAAAATACATATTAAGTTAATAACCAAATCTATTATTTATACATAAAAATATTTTCTTTGTTTATGCAAAATAATATTAAATCTCTTAATGTTGTGATCAATTATTATTTGAGTAAAATAATATTTAAAATTTAAGATGTATAACATTTTATATATATATATATATATATATATATATATATATATATATTAAGACAATGAATAATTATTTAGACATTTTAAACTTTTTTATTTTTAAATATTGTGTTTATTTTTTTACAATTTTATTAACTTTAATTTTATAAATTAATTTCAAGCATTTAAATATAATAATTTTTTGTCCAAGTTATAGTGAATGTAGCTTTGTTAAATACTAAGAGAAATAGAAATAATTTTGTTGTCCGTAATAATTCTACCCGACACAAACATGAAGTAACATGATTACTTCCAATAAAAGATATCGGTGGATTAAACTAAAATACAATAACTTTTTTATTAAAAAGTGCAGCATTAATCAAATTATATTATTTATTATTATAAATAAAATTATTTTATCAATTCACGTGCAGCATAAAAAAATATTTTTTATATATTTTATTAATATATATATATATATATATATATATATATATATAACTTTTCAATTTAAAACCTCAAAATAGTTAAATTTCATATATTTAGCTATCTTCCTCTGGGTGATATCTGCATCTGTACCATTTGTTTGACTTCAATTCTTTTAAAAGAATTGATTTACCCTCTCATTTAAAATATTGGAACGGAGCAAAATATCAATTAAGGATTTTTCCAACCAAACCCTCCCCCATCATTATTATTATGCTACAAAAAGGTAGAACTTACATTCAACCCTTGCAGGCTAACAGATAACATAATAATATTATGCTACAAAAAAACAAAAGATATAAAAGTAAAATTAATAGACCATGCAAAAATACTGATATAGGTTTTATTATATTAGTTGTGTCTATTTTTCCTAACATAATAAAAAATAAGTTAAATACATTCTTAATTTTCATAACTAGAATTTTACTTGGAAAAAACATGTTTATTAGGATTTGTCCAATATTTATATATAAATATGTCGCATTATTTATTAAAATTCAATTTTTTTTTCACTGCATGGTTACTCGTCCATAGGTTTTAATGCACACTGAATTTTGCATCTATTTCCCTCCTAGTAGATAGTAAATATAAATAAAAGACAGATATCATGAACAAACGAACTTCTCAAACAATTCAAAAATCATAACTTGGTGCTACCATTACCACCAATACTTGCATATATAAATTAGCGGGCCAAATTCCCCCTCCTCAAATTCAAATTTTTCTACCTGTCCACATATAAATTATAGAAAAATGCAATTATTATACTGGTTAATAATTTTTAAAAACTTCTTGAGTTTGACTCTTTTTTTTCTCTTTTTAAATTAGCATACAGTGTAATGAAAGGCTAAACCAACCTGTCCAAAATAATCGTTAACAACTTACAGCTCTATCTTTTTATAAGGAAAATACATATTTGGACAATGATGAATAGATATATCAAGCAGAGTTGATGTTGGATGCTTTGAAAAGTATCTCTATCAGCTTCATTTGGTTCGATTGTTTTTGTAGATATCTTTTACTCCATCGATTTGCACTAGCATCTACTTTCACCATCAACCTCCGGAGCAAATTAAGCATGCTCAAGATACAAAAGTTATGGGTTTCATCCTCCTAAAACCCAATGCTTATTGAGTAATTCATGTGTCTCTATTCCTCCACCTAAACCACAACCCATTTTAGGAGTGTCAACATAATTACTCTCTGCTTCTTTCCCCAAATTCCACTTGGATTACTACGGCCGGTTCCTACCTTAACAGGGGAAACGATTATGTTCATATTAATTTTTTACGTCATTTAATTATTTATCAAGAGTTCAAGACATTCATAACAAGAGTTTGTCTTCTTAGTTTGTTGCCACAATAAAACTTCTTTTCTTTTAACTCAAATTAAGTCAACAATGCATAGCATAAAATCCACATCCACATTAGTTAAATCACTTGTGATCACGAAGCAGAAGTTCAACCGACTGCTATATTTGCATAGACATGACACAGCTTCGTTTTTTAAGCGTCTTTCTTGACTATGGGGGCCATACAATAATATTTAGTGGGAGATATTTACAGGAATAGTTATGAAGCCCAAAATAAATTAAGAAAATAAAAACTAGACGAATGACATAGCTCTTCTAATTGCATTTATTCTGCATAATAATGCAACATTTTACACCATGAGGGAAATGCAAACATCCTTGGGTGTAAGCATAAAGCAGCAAAAGGCATCGCATAGCTATAGAAAGAAAAAGAAACACTGACAAGGATTGCCTTTCTTTAAGAGCACCAACTGCAGCAAGAAAATGATAAATATGAGGAAGGGACATGACCAGTTCTTCGTATATACTCTGCTTGCTCTTCAGTTTTTGCAGCTTGATGATTTCTATTGGCTTCTGCTGTGGCTCGCTTCTCCTCAGCCTTGTGCCGTGCAGCTGCTAATTTATTCATTAGCTTATCATGTGCGTTACTCCGTATTCTTTCAACTTCTACCTGCAACCAGTGTATTATGATTGTTATATTTTTGAGTAACAAACCCAAGTTTCTTTTAGGTAAATATCAAGGACACGTTTAGATATACAACTTATTTAAGCGTTCATTCAATAAGTTCATTTTAAACAATAGCTTATGTCATATATTTAACGACAAAGTCATCGCAATAAGCAAAAAATAATTTATTTTGATAATTTATACCAAGAAACTTTTTGAGTTGTCCATAAGAGTTACTTTGATTACTTTATTTATCATTAGAAATCTAATTACTCGTTAGAATTTTACTAAACCTTGCTCCAATCAGTAACACGAGAACAATTCTAAGCCACACCTAACGCATTAAGCCAAAGCCATCATGTAGGCACAAGATGTCTTATTACGCACAACACCAGAGCATGCATCATACATGCAAGAAAATTTATTTCTTTAAGGTCACAATAGTATACCAATTTAGAAACAAAATTCAGCATTTTTACGTAACACAACTTAATGTAAATTAACTACCAACGTCCATGACCTTTACCCACAAAAACAATTAAAGTGATAAATTCATGAAGAGAAACTATTTTGATCCATGCTAGTGTCCCAAATGGTTTACATCCTCCTGATTACTAGCAGAAGGCGCACAATCCCAATTTTTGAAACAATATTCAGACAAACTCCTGATTAATGAAATATTCATTGCCTCCAAAAGCAATACAATATCAGGATAGGTATTTCCTTCACCTTCCTATTACTAGACACTATCATGAATCACAATTATCTCATCTATGGAACCCAGACTTTTATAAGTATGAGAAGGTAGATAAATACAAAATAGAGATTGAAAAATTACTAAACACACACACACACATATATAGGGTCATAATTTTCTTACACTAGTATAAGTTTAAAAATTTTTACACTCAATCTGAGTCTTTCATTTAACTTACATCTGACGGTCAGTGAAATAATAAATTATAACTTGTTAGATATAAGTTAAATGAAAGATTCAAATTGAGTGTAAGAGTTTTTAAATTTACACTAATGTAATAAGATCTTAATCCTATATATATATATATATATATATTGCATTCATGACATGTTTCAGCAAACTGTATTACTCCTCTTTAGTGTTCTACTTGCAGATCAATTTGTCCCTTGCAAGATATTTGCAAAGAAAGTATAGATAAAATTGAAGTCAAACTGAGATAATCCGTATCAGGATTAGAGGTTAACATCCAAAGGGTTGTCCAAAAAACTAAAACAGCCATGTTAGAAACAACAAAAATAGTAACAATAATAGAAGGTGTATACCTCAATTTTTCTCATCTTGGATTCTGTTTTTGCTTTCTGATGATTTTCCCATGCCTGAATTTTCATTTCCTCACGCCTAAACCTGTGCCATTAACACCATATTCCTGCTTCAGAGAAAATTTAGAATGCAGCAATACAAAGTAATATAATCTATATGTTTATGAAATGGTTTAAATGCTCATAAAATATGTCTCATGTTCCAAAAATCTGGTCAATTATATAGATGATTGACATGATTGGAATCAATGTAAATCAAAGAATTAGTGTACTAAAGTTCTGCACTGCAGTTTATAGTGTTTAAACACTTCAATTTTGTAACTGTATTTGTTTCCTCTTCTATATCTCTCCTTTTCCTTTTTTATCACTTCTTCTAGATTCTCATCACTAAGTCATTTATGATGAATTGTTCAAAATGAACATAGAAATTCCGGTACCTTAAAAAATTTCTTAAGGGATACTTACAGAAGAAATGTGGTAGAAATATTAATTTCTAGGGTTGAACACTGAGAGAGAGTGATCAATCCAGATTCTTTTGGCAAATATTTATGTATCTAGTTATAGGGAAAAAAGTGACAAATGTCAAAGACCAATTCTCTTGAAAGCTTAAGCTATTAGGTGAAGGCACATTAATAGTTTCACATCTCTGACATTTCTCAGAGCACCTCATGAAAGAGTTATTTGGGCAGCACACTTTAATTGTTAAAATTTAATTTAATGATCAATGATGGGGTCAACAAGGATCAAACCCTTGATCACTTGGTCATAGAAACTCTGATACCCCAACAAGGAGTCAAGGACCAATGATCCTAAAACCTTATGATATTAAGAAGAGGTATATCAATGGACTTATATCTTTAAAGCAATATAAGACACAAGATAGAAACCAAAAATTTAATGGACAGTGTTAACATAAATAATTAGAATAAACTGACCTAGCCATATACTTGGCCTTCTCAGCCTCCTCCCATGCAGCTGCACGTGCTTCAACAACACTCTTAGGTGGTTCTGTTTTAGTTTTAAGGGAAGTGGATGCATCTTTATCCTCTTCTTCTTTGCTAGCCCATGCAGCAATGTTCATTTTGCCTAGTTGTGCCCCAAGGACCATTATTTCTCGCCTGGTTTTCATTTGTAGCTCCTTTTCAGACAACTCATTCTTGTTGAGATTTAGATTGTCAATGTGTGGATCAGTTAAAGTAGATGCAGAGGCAGCTCTGGTGGGAGTGGAAGGTTGGGAAGAATTTGGGCTGCGAATTGGTGTTGTTGCCCTCACTGGTGTACCTGTTCTTGATGGCTCCTGGCTAGCAATGGGGGTCATTTCTGTACCCATATCCCTCATTGACACAGATCGAGCTGTTGAAGGGGGAGGAACAAATGTAGTTGCACTCTGGACCACAAGAGATGAATTATGCTGGCTGAGACTAACTGCCAATATTAAATAGCAGAAAGTGAATGACAGAGTAAGTAAGAGTCAGCTATATGAACTGTAATTACAAAATTAAATTAGACAATTTATTAAACTTCTTCAAATGCAATTATGTCCATAGTATTATCAACTTCTAGCTCTTGGATGTCATTTTAATATAGAAAGATTTCTCAAGCGTTTTAGTGTGGGACCTGTCCATCTCTCCCAATTTTTATTGACCTAGGTTATATGACAGGAGACTTTTGAACTCTAATCAACAGCAAAGTAAGTAACGATTGTCAATAAAATTTATGGATTTTAGAGTATGATATCTTAAAATGTCCAAAAATAATAAGGTTTATGCAAAATTATAAAAAGATCAAACATTTTAATTAATGGCCTTGGTGAATGCATCCGGAACAACTAATTCAGGAAGCCAAAGGTTAAAGACAGACACTATCATATAGCCCTAATTTAACCTCCACAAGAAAATGTACAAAAAATACATGTTTTCTTAAGAAGTTTGATCCTACAAGTTTGCCTGGTTCACATCAGCAATCATGGGCTAGCATATAAGTCTACATCCAGCCAGTTGATATTACCTTTAACCGAGGATTATTTCACACTCCACCTCCCCATTTTGTCTACATCTTTTATTGGAAAATCTTGTGGCAATGCCATATGAAAAGTATGAGTCAATTCTGTATATCCACCTCGATGGTAACTGATTATCTCATGCCAATGCAGAACATCATAAGAGAATATCAACAAAATTTAAGCACTTCACTGGTGATGCAGGGCAGTCAAAGGCAGAAGGCATAGGATCCAAATTATCAAAACTTTTTTCTTGGGAATATCAGAGATATTGGAAATTCATTGGGTTTTTGTCAATGAAAGAGGTTTGAAGGCACTGGAAAACGCTGCAGGTCTAGTTTGGTGGCTCTTAGGTTGCCATGAAAAAAACCTCCAGGATTAGGAGTTGGGGATTGATGGCATTTAGGATATCACATGTTCAAGCAATGAACAGTAAAGGATTTGATGCCATGACGGTCTAATTCTTCCTACCAAAAAAATCTGATCCAAGTTGTTGATAAAATTAATATAACTAAAGAACAAAATAAAAGAAGGGTAAAACCCTCGGCATCTCACCAATAGTTCTTGGAACATCATAATGGAAAATTTTATAGTTATACTGTACTCAAAAAGTGGGTACTACTACCATTCCATTATTATTTCTTTTAATACTTAGCTGCCTTGAAAATTAGCATTTAATTCTGACCATGTTTTGAAAAAGAATTACCCACACTCTCATAATCAGTATTACCTTAGGGTTACAAATTTTCCCATGATAAAGAGGTGCAGCACACACCTGGCAGCTGGGATTTCCCCAGAAAATCTCTTTTATTTTCTATTTTGATAGCGAAGTACATCATTCATACAGGTCTCATCAAATTTGGGTCCATGTAAACCATAAATCAAGGCCCAGGTTGAATAACCAGCCCCAAATAGGCATTAATGAAAACATAAAGAACCTCAACATAAAAATTTAAGAAAACTACAAACCTGAAAATAAGTTATTAACTAAATTAACACTATCTACCTGAATTATAATCTTGATCTTATGTCCAGCAAAAACACAATGCATTAGCAATAAAAGACTGTATAAAGACCATATAATTTGTTACAAATCTAGCAGAAAAATAAAGTTTATACATATTTTGAATAAACCATAAAGTTTGTTTATGTTATAGCTTGAGTGAGAATTCTAAAAATAAGATCAAACATTTACCACAAGAATTTTCAATTGCATAGGGATCTGCCTCCCAACTCACAAATTTCTGTCCTCCACTTTCCATTTTTGTTTGATCTGTATCAATTTGCTTGGTATCTGGTTCATCTAAAGCAATTTCTCTTTGATCTGGAACTTCAACTACAACCTTCATTGAAGGTTGCCGGCTTCCATAAGCAAGACCACCAACTTTACGCATTCCAACATGCCCACCATGCCCCTGGGACTGCACTGTCTTTGGCCTGTTTGACGTTGGACTAGCTATCCATTTCTGGGCATCATCCCATTTAGATGGAGCTGCTTTAGAGAATGGCCCCACTGGCACTCTCTGTGGAGCATGTTCAGCCTTCTGAAATTCAAACATGGATGAGAACATGCTCATGTTATCATGCCCACTATCATAATCAGAAGATGGATCTTCTATGATTCTATTCCTTGAAGTCGCTACTGCATTCACCTTCACAATACGATCACCACCAACTGCCTCTATGCTACTGGTGCGAGCTATAGTAGAAGTTGAATATTCAGGAAGGACGCTCACAATGTCTACATCTTTACAATGATCTGAACTGCTACCACCTGTAACAGAAATTTTATTACAATAACAATTAACAAACATGTATATATATGACAATCCTTATAATATCATAACATTAAAGGTTTGGAATGACCTAAAAGAAATGTACTACTAGGGAGGTGTTTTCAGAATTTCAGAGTTTTAGGACGAAATTTATTCATTGAAATAGAGAATTTCATCAAATACTGCATATTTTACTTAACTGAAGAGTCTATGGCAAGAACTTGAGAATTTTCAACCTACTCCCAAATGCAGCTGTGAAGTCAAGTGTTCATGCAATTTGATTTCCACAATCAAGAAATATCATGAAGGAGATTATGTTATAAGGTTCTTGAAAGGTCTCAATGACCATAGGTACTTAGATCTCAAATAATGCTCATGGATCCTTTACCATCCATCAATAGAGTTTTCTGTCTATTGATCTAGCAAGAAAGACAGTTGGATTTTTGTTGGAGGAATCACAAGCCCTTGCATCCTTCAGGAAGAGGCAATGGAGGTAGAACCTACAAGCAGTGCTCACACTTTGCGTGTGAGGAGTGGTCACATGTTACAAAAAACATGGGTATCCATCCAACATGAAGAAGGAACATGTTGTGAATAATTTTATTGGTCAAGAAGAAGATGAGAACTTAGATGAAAAGAAAAGCATCACTTCTCAAAAGGAGATTGGAAAATGTACTAGTCTGAGTTTTACTCTAGAACAACATCAATCCTTGTTAGCATTATTTCAGCAATCAAATAGTTATGGCAATTATGGAATTAATCAATTCACAAGTGTTACAAATAATAAAAAACCCTTAAGTATGGTTTACAACCTGTATAATTCCTTTCATAAAGGTTCTTGGGTCATAGACACAGGTACCATAGATCATGTGTGCAATTCATTAAGCTTTTTCCATTGACATAAACCTATCAAGCCAATTCTCATAAAACTACAAAATGGCAGCCATGTCCAAACTAGTATCAGTTGAACTATATTTTTCTATGAACCTTTTGCCTGACAGATGTCTTATACATCCCTAGCTTCACATTGAATCTAATTACAGTATCAAAATTAACCAAATCTCTTTCTTGCAAGTTAATCTTATCTGATATTGTTTGCCAGATTTAGGATTACAATATTGGTGCAGCTGAGTTGAAATCAGGCTTATATGCAACAAATGTTTCCCCTATACAACATGTTGAATATCATCATGCAAATAATTTTCACGCTTATAAAAATAATCTTTGGCATCTTAGGTTAGGGCACCTCTTATGAAAGAATGTGTATGATGTAGAAATATTTTCCCTTTATTGATTGCAATAAGTCTGTTGAACCATGTGAAATATGTCACATGTCAAAACAAAAGAAGACATACTTTAATGATAGTGAAATTGTGTATTTTGAAAATTTTAAACTGGTTCATTTAGATATTCAGGATCCCATTGTCACTCTCTCCATGCATGTACATGGATACTTCTTAACTATAGTTGAACATAAAGCTAGGTTCACTTGGATATACCCTATGAAACATAAGTCAGAAACTGGAAACCTTGTGGCTGAATTTGTATCTTTAGTTGAAACACAATTCAATAAGAAGATTAGAATAATTAGGAGAAATAATGGAGTTGAGTTTAATCTTGTAAATTTGTATACTCTCAACAAAATACCATCACCATTACTTTCTAATCAATCTCCATATCAAGTCTTATACAATGAATCACCAAACATATCACACCTAAAAGTCTTTAGATGTTTATGTTTTGCAAACACAGCAACATCTCACAGAAAAAAATTAGATAGTGGAGCAAGATGTGTTTTCTTAAGTTTTAAATCTAGGATCAAATGATATATATTGTATGATTTGAAAACTCAAGGAGTTTTCATATCTAGACATGTCCAGTTTTATGAGCAGGTTTTTCCTAAACTTCAAAACAATGTTCTTAATGATTCTATTCAATTCCCACCAAACACATAACTTTTTTGATGATTTCCTTTCACTAACACCACGTCAAACAATCCCTCAAATACTTTCTCCCCATACTCAACAACTTGCCATAGAAACAAATTCATTAGAATCATAACAATAAAGAAAGGAAAACACAAGATCTCAATCCACCATCACAACATTCTCAAAAAAAGAGGAGACCTCCCAACTACCTAAGGGACTATCATTGCACATTGGCCACCCTAAATGCATCTTCATCTTCAAATATTGTCAGGTATCTTCTTTCTCATTACCTCTCTTATAAACCTTTATCACTTTCACATAAACACTACTCTTTAAACACCACTTTTACTGATAAACCTCAGTCCTACCAAGAGGCCATCCTACATGATAGCTGGAAAAATGTTGTCCAGACTGAATTGCAAGCCTTGATTAAAAATCAGATTAGACCCTCACTATTCCTGATGGGAAGAGACCTATTGGATGCAAATGGATCTTCAAAGTGAAGCACAAGGCAAATGGTTCCATTGACACAAAGACAGACTAATGCAAAGGAATACACTTAAACAATTGGCATTGGTTTCTTGGACACCTTCAATCCAATGGTAAAAATGATAACCATCAAAGTATTGTTGTCTCTTGCTGCTACTTATCAATGGCATCTGCATCAACTTAATGTGAACATAGCTTTTCTTCATTTCATAGTGATCTTGCAGAAGTATATATGAAGCCGCTAGATGGATTACAGGTCTCAAATTCCAAGTTAGTTCCAAGTTCTTATATGGCTTGAAGCAAGCTAACAGACAATGAAATCTGAAACTTACCTAGATTCTCATGGACTCTGAATATGTACAATCCAAGTCTGATTATTCATTGTTCAGTGTTCACCAAGTAAACCACCATAGGTTTCACTACCATCCTGACTTATGTGGAAGACCTAGTTCTGGCAGGGAATGATCTCTCTAAAATTCAGAACATCAAACTCCTTATAAACACAAAATTTGGAATTAAAGATCTTCGAAACCTTAAGTTCTTCCCTAGATTTGTGGTTGTCAGATCTGCCAAAAGGATGTACTTGTATCAGGGAAAATATGCCTTGGATCTGCTTCAAGAAACAGGACTTTTAGCTTCAAAGTCATGTTCCACTCCTATGGATCACTCTTTTAAAATTCAACATGATTCTAGACCTCTTTATCATGATATTACAGGCAATAGAAGGTTGCTAGGCAAATTGATTTACTTAACAAATTTCAAACTTGGCATTAGCTTTGCTATTAGCAAGCTAAGTTAGTACCTTGCCAACCCAATAATTGTTCATTTCCAAGCAGCCCTTAGGATACTGAAGTATATAAAGGGTAATTCAGCAAAAAGACTTTTCTTTCCAGTTAACTCAGATTTCAGCCTTCCTTGCTTCATTGATTCAGATTGGGGTGCTTGTTAGACACCAAAAAATCAGGGACTGGTTTTTGTTTCATTCTTGGATCATCTCTAATATCCTGGAAGTCCAAGAAATAACCAATTATCTCCAGGCTCTAAGGCAAAATATAGAGCTGTGGCTCTTGCAACTTGTCAAGAACTGTGGATTACTTTCCTTCTAAAGGATTTTGGTGTCACTCATTCCAAACCTGTCAAACATGTTTTGTGAAAACTAAATCTGCAGTTTATATGGCTGCCAATCCTGTCTTCCATGAGAGGACAAAACACATTGAAACTGACTCACCCAGTTCATGATAAGGTCCAAATTGGCTTCTTCACTTGTTACTATTTCCTCCAAGAGATCAAATAGCAGACATTCTAATCAAGGCTCTTGCTCCTGGTCCCTTTAACAATTGTATTTCCAAACTTGGAATATTGAATATACACATTCTAGTTTGAGGGAGGGTGTTAATAGATGTAATTAGTTAGTAAGTTAGTTGGTGAGCTGGTGGTTGCTAGTTAGTTAGTTTTTTCCCTCCTCTTTAGATGGTTAGTTTTTTCAGCTCTTAGCCTTTAGTTTTTCAGTATCTGTCTCATCTATAAAAGACACTAATCTTTGTTCATGTTCCAAGAGATTGAATGAGAAAATCTTTTCTGTATATTGTTGGCTGATTGTCAGTGCATGAAAGATTCCGCTGTTCATCTTCCTTCTTGACATGTCTTTTGACAACTGTATGCTACTAAATTTCCACAAGGAGTGAAATGAAAACACCACAATCAACAATGCAACAACGGTGATGTAGAAAAAAATCACATTCAAACAAATCTTAAAATCTGAAAATTTATCATCTTAGATTTACAATTTCTCAACCTTCGCGGCAGCATTACATATTTTAAAGGAAACATGAGCAATAAAATAAAAGAGCATTCCTACCAGATTCATCCATGTCTGAATTCTGAGATCTCATGGTGAAAGTAGAACCAAGCTCTTCCTCTTCTTTCCTCTTCTTCTCCACACCAAGTAGCATGCTCCTCAATCTTCCTGGTGAAAATCCCCCCCCACCCTGCAAAACCCAAGTTCCCATAAGAACAAAGACAAATCAAAATGAACAGATCAAAACAAGTGTTTGCACTTTGCAGTGCACTCAGGGAACAGAAACAACTCTGACAACAACCACACTCAGTTTCCAAGTATAATATATGACTTAAAGATTAAAAAATGCAAATCAAGCCCAGAAAAATCAAGAGAAAATGAAGACGAAACCTGAGGCTTTTGGATCCTTTCGTAATCCATATTTGACAAAAGGGTAGTCTTTGTTGGAGCAAAAATACAATCTTTACATAATGCAGTGTGTTCCCCTCAGCTCTCAGCTAAGCAAGTACCTGTTTGGGGTTGTAGCTTTAAGTTGCAAAAGTGACAGCGGTTTCTAATGTTACAACTTTCAAGGAAGAGAGAGAGAGAGAGAGAGAGAGAGAGAGGACAATGAGATGCAGTAATAGACCTGTCTGTCGCCTATTGAAGTGCTTTGGCTCCCATCAGATGCTTTTGTGGTCCACTTTCCCACTCCCATAATGTAATCCCTTGTGTTACTTCTATTCAATTATTATTCTTCAAATACAAAATAAATCAAATTTATAAAGTTTAGAGTTCGGAAAAATGATGACAAGAGTGGAGTTTAAATTTGATGAGCCTAATCATGGAGCCAAGGGATTGCATGATACAGTAATAGGTCATCAAAGCTAAATTTATGAGACTATGTAATTAATTAGAGTGTGCTTGATGTTCATCTAAAGTTTAGCGAAATTTCAATATCATTTATTATAGAAAAAAGCATATATTTTTTAAAAACTATGAGATTATCAAACTTTACCTATGAAGTTTAAACAGTAAGAAAGATGCGTGTGGCTTTCTTCGTATAAAAAACGTATGTTTCTATGAAGCACAGATGTAAAAATACTACATATATTAGAGAACGATAATAAGTGTTTCTACGATATTGATTAGAATATTAACATAAAAAATAACAAAAAAAATATTAACATAAAAAATTAATAAAAGGCATTATCAACATATTTTTATAAATTTTTTAATATAATTTAATTATAATTTTTAACAAAATGAAAGATCATACATGTTAGACCTGCAACGTTTAAAATTAGTTTTTTAACACAAATTAAAATTTAGTTCTTAAAAGATTAAACAAATAATATATCAAGTCGTTGTCGTTAATTTTTGTCCGTTAAATCCTGAATTAGTCAAAAGAAAATTTTCAACTCAACCTTGATGCAGATATGGACACACGATAGACTTTTATCCTCATACATAAGATTTAAAATAAATGAATGTATATAAAATTCTTTATATACCGTTGATGATTGATGAATTTTTCTCATCAAATTAGAGTTTTATTTTGGCAATTTGCGGTAGTATTCAGTGAAAATATTTTATTAAAATAAAATTTTAATTTTAATTATAAACAATACAACATTTAAAAATAACATTTTTTAAAAAAACTTTAAAATGAATAATTAAATAAAATTTTTATTTCTATAAAGTGGTTGTATTTATAATTAAACTTTTTTTTTGTTGTTAATGTTTAGTTTTTATCAAATTTGCATGAGAAATTCTTAAACAATTGTGAAATCTAATATAAAAACAATAAATAAAATTAAGTTTTAATAATATAGTATATAATAAAATAAATAATTTAACTTCAGTAGAATAATATTCTCTTTAATAATAATATATTAAATATTAGTAAAATATTTAATTTTTAGTAATGACTTAAAGTAAAGTCTTGAAAAGATCAATTGTATATGTGAAAAAAATAATAATAAAATCTTAATATATATTACTAATTTTTTTTAAATTATAACATATTAAAATATCTCTTTATTCTAAATTTATTCTTAATAAAATATTAATATTTAATAAAAATAATTAAATAAATAAAAATATTAGTCATTATTTTTATTTATAGTAATAAGTGAAAATAAATAATAAAATTTTAACTAAGTATTATTTAATATACCTTTATTTTGATTAACACAATTAAAAAATTTTAAAATTATGTCTCTCATCTACACTTTTTATAGAAGATAATTTTATTTATTTATTTAATTTATTATTAACTAAAAACCATGAAAAAATTTATTAGGAACTAACTTTTTTTTGGTATATTTAAAAAAATAACAAAAAAAAAATTACAAGAGATTATATTTTAAAAATAAAGGAACGCACTCTATTTTAAAAAATAAAATTTTCATAAAAATATTTATTTTAAATTTGAATCGAAAAGACTAATTTTAAATACAAAATTTTTATCAAAATTAAAAATTTGTTTGAGTATTTATTTTAAAATATTGTATACTACTTAGAATAAGTGTATATTTATCATATAAAGTATTAAATTAAAACTTTATTAATTAACCCAAAATTTAATGGATGAAAGTTATTAATAAAATTAATATTTTACTCATTTAATTTGTTAAAAAAATTTAGAGACTAATTTTAAATATAGCAATTTTTTAAGGATTATTTTTTAAATTATAAAATAAAGATATAATATAAAATTATTATTATTATTGTCATTATTTATTTAAAATTAAAATTTTTTAAACTTCACCGATATTTTAACATATTTTCAATATTTTTCATTTATAATTTCTATGCTATGGCTTACAAGACAATAAAATAAAATAAAATAAAATAAATGGTCACTTCTACATAATTATGAAAAAGGAAAGCCGATTAAAGTACTACGAAATTGAACATCGAATGACCAGAATGCCCTGTATTTCTCATAAACCCTAATAACATTCATTCAAACGATTCTTGGTCCATCAACACAAGCAATGAACACTTCAATCTTCATGGTCCATCAACACCAATCCCCAATATGAAGAATCAAAACCCAATTGAAATTGGTTCAACCAAACATGTTGCTGTTTCTGCGCAACATCGGTGGCAGGGCCTCACTCCGAGTAAGCTCCTTCTACACTTCACCTCCTCAAAAGCCTTTTCCGCTTCTCTTCACAGTTTCATCCTCTTACTCTCAAAATTCATTTTTTTCACACCCCATGATTTGGTTCACTAGCTTTATCTGCGTTATAAGATACCATTTTGTCTCAAAACCTTCCTTTGATGACATTGCTTCCGAATCAATGCGTAGTTTCATGCAACAAGAGGATCCCCCCATGTTTGATTCCGCATTGGCACCCATTTGGGTGTCTAGGGTTTTGGTGAAACTGAAAGGGGACCCAAAAGCAGCATTGAAATTCTTCAAGTGGGCAGGGGCTCGTGCCGGGTTTCGCCACGCCACAGAATCTTATTGCGTTTTGGCTCACATTTTGTTTTGTGGGATGTTTTATCTTGATGCCAGAAGTGTAATTAAGGAGTGGATTATGTTGGGGCGGGAATTTCCAGGATGTGATTCCTTTGACATGTTGTGGTCGACCAGGAATGTTTGTAGGCCCGGGTCCGGAGTGTTTGATGCTTTGTTTAGTGTTTTAGTGGAGTTGGAGATGCTTGAGGAGGCTAGGCAATGCTTTTGGAAGATGAACAAGTTCAGGGTTATACCAAAAGTGAGGTCCTGTAATGAGCTTCTTCACAAGCTTTCAAAGTCAGGCAAAGGGAAACAGTCATTGAGTTTTTTCAAGGACATGATTGGGGCCGGCCTTTTGCCTTCGGTTTTCACGTATAATATAGTGATAGGCTGTTTGGCCAAAGATGGGGACTTCGGTGTTGCTAGGAGCTTATTTGAACAAATGAAACGTATGGGTCTCATGCCGGATGTAGTTACATACAATTCTCTCATTGATGGGTATGGAAAGGCAGGGTTATTAACTGAAGCGATTGTTATATTTGGGAAAATGAAGGATGCAGGATGTGAACCAGATGTGATAACATACAATTCTCTAATTAATTGCTTCTCTAAATTTGAAAGAATTCCTCAAACTTTTGAGTATCTGCATGAGATGAAGCAACGAGGGTTGAAACCAAATGTTGTAACTTATAGTACACTAATTGATGCATTTTGCAAGGCAGGCATGATGCTGGAAGCCATTAAATTTTTTGTTGACATGATCCGTGTTGGTATTCAACCTAATGAATTTACATATACATCTTTGATCGATGCAAATTGTAAAATAGGTGATCTGAATGAAGCATTTAAACTAGCAAGTGAGATGTTGCAGGCTGGACTTAGCTTAAATATTGTCACCTACACTGCATTACTGGATGGCCTTTGTGAAGATGGAAGAATGGAAGAAGCAGAGGAATTATTTAGGGCACTGTTAAAAGCTGGAGTGACTCTTAATCAGCAAATTTATACTTCTCTTCTTCATGGATATATCAAGGCTAAGATGATAGAAAATGCAATGAATATTTTAGAGGAGATGAACAAGAACTTCAAACCAGACCAGTTGTTGTATGGAACCAAAATATGGGGCCTTTGTAGCCAAAAAAAAATACAAGAATTTGAGGCTGTAATACATGAGATGAGGGATTGTGGTCTAACTGCAAATAGTTATATATATACGACCCTTATGGATGCTTATTTTAAAGTTGGGAAAACCGCAGAGGCTGTTCATCTATTACAAGAGATGCAGGACTTGGGTATTGAGACAACAGTTGTAACATATGGGGTACTAATTGATGGTTTATGCAAAAATGGTTTAGTCCAACAGGCTGTTAGTTACTTTGACCACATGACTAGCACTGGTTTGCAACCTAATATTATGATTTATACTGCTCTGATTGATGGTCTATATAAAAATGATTGTATTGAAGCAGGCAAGACACTGTTCAATGAGATGCTGGATAAGGGAATCAGTCCAGATAAATTAGTTTACACTACTTTGATTGATGGGAACCTGAAGCATAGCAATCCTGAAGAAGCTTTGAGTTTGAGAAATAGAATGGTTGAAATGGGTATGGAGCTAGACCTGCATGCTTATACATCACTAATTTGGGGTTTTTCTCATTGTGGTAAAGTACAACAGGCAAAGTCATTCCTAGATGAGATGCTTAGGAAGGGCATCATTCCTGATCAAGTTCTCTGCATTTGTCTATTGAGAAAATATTATGAGTTAGGAGATATTAATGAAGCTCAGGCACTTCATGATGATATGATAAGAAGGGGCCTAATTTCTGGGACTGTTGACATAGCAGTTCCCTCTGTACGCACTTGAGAGGGAAAACAATTTTGCATGCTTTGGTTACTATTTCCATTTTGGTGGCCCACAATATAGATTACTTCATTTTATACCAAAGTTGAATAGCTTATTGAAATGAATTTGATGCGTCATAATATAATGGCAGGTGCCTGTTCTAATTGATGCATTCTCATTTCTCAAGGTACTAAAATTTTCACATACATCGTGCATGGGAGTTTCTTTTCAATATTCATTTTCTCATGTGATTATCAAGACAACCATAACATGACGATTTCCCGGTTTGAAATCAAATTGGCAAATATTTTAACTACTAAGATGGGATCACAGTTATAGGTACTGGACATTCATCGTTCTTCTATATGCTTAGATTTGTATTCTTTCAAGTTATGTACTTGATGCAAGTTGCCTTATGGTTTTCTTCCTCTTGTTACAGTGCCTTCACTTCTACACGTGTTAATTGCACAAGCTTCGAGCTTCTGAATCAGGAACTGATTTTCTCAGAACATCACAACTTTAATACAGAAAATGTAGAGAAGTTCAGCTATAGTGGATGCCATTTTCACCACTTTGACATGCAAGGTTTATGATACTTTCTTAGCATTTTATTAATTATAATAATGTCAACACATGCAACCATAATGGTGATCTGTACTCCCTTTTTAGATATAGGCCCTGTACAGCAAATTTCTCTCTGTTTTAATGAGCAAACGACTTTCCTTGTAAAATCTTTCCTAGCTCTGTTAGAGAAGCACCACTTTTGTGATTCATTCTATACATTTCACAATGTAAACACTTTTTATTGAACAATTTTCACATAGTTCATACAACAGCGAAGCAATTTTTATTTTGATAATTGTCAGCATTGTTATTTCTTCTGAATTTATATCTGATAATTGTGGTGTTGGTACTACTTCCGTCTCTAATATAACAAATTAATTTGATTGCTCTAAGAGATTAGAATTTGATTTTTTTCTTTCTAACTTGATAGGTCTGCTAAGATTTCTTTTTCCCATATTCCTGCTTAACACACAGGACAACTCATTCTACTTGATTTTCTTCCTTTCTGAATTCATATTATACTTCTTCAATGTGAATGTATTCCTGAAATGAACCATTGAAATATTCTGGTTAACTTTACAAACTCTTCTAGTGATTGGTATTGTTCTATTTTAATTCTTGCAATACCTCCACATTACCCCATATTTTTTAGATTTTGTTTAGGTAGGTCCATTGGAGTAAATTGATATTTCCTACATGGGAGGTTTATTAGGATTACATCATTTTTTACCCTATTATTTTTTAATCACACTATTCTGGAAACCTATTTTCATGAAATATTCAGAGGCTGGTTATGTTATTTTCTTTTTTATACTTTAGTAGTGTTCTAGTCCTGTTCTCTAACTTTTCCACTTACTCTTCACAGAGATAACATGCTTGTAGTTGGCAGGTGGCAGTGCAAGGTTTACCATGTTTTTTTTTTCATTTGGTGGGTGGGGAACATATATACAATTCTAGTGGTTGTTTGACTGAAATTATGATATCTTCCTTGTTCTGGTTTAGGCCTTCTAACTGTTGGAGTTCCAAATTGTCCGATTTGGAAGCTGCTATTACTTCTAAGGCGATGAGGGATGGGTTGCTGTAATTGATTTTGCTTTTGTATGTACTTCACTGCATATATGACAGTTTTTAAGTTCTTCTGTTATGTGTTGTAATGTGCATGCCAATTATAACCCAACTACTTATTTAAGCTAAAAGGCTGATAACCAGTGGTATAGCATTATTAGGTTGTCTCCTTGCTTGGAAGCTGAGGCATTTTATGCACCTTATATGGTCTTGTGTGTTTCGTTTTGTGCAGGGTGTATCTAAATGGCAGGCTGGATGGATGTGTGGCCACACGGCAAAAGACAAGATAAGAAATCATCGCATATGATGAAAGATTGGAATAACACCTATTGAGAAGATGGCAAAAAATCAATTAAGATGGTTTGAACATATGCAAAGTAGGCCATTGGAAATGGAAGGATCAATGAGAAGAATTGATTGTATTTTATGGACTTTCAACCTGTGAAAAAGAGGAGACTAAAATAAACCTTGGAGGAAATAATCAAAATTGATCTCATAATAGATAATATTGTTGAAAATTTAGTTTTTGATTAAGCTAGCAGTGGTGTATGATCCATGTTACTGATTTTGTTTAATGTGATAAGGTTTTGTTGTTGTATTTAGATATCAGGATAAAGGTCACATTAAGGAGGCAAAAAGGTCTATAGCTTTTAGCTAGAAATTTGTGGACCTTCCAATGGGTGGAGAGATTTGGGATTCGTTTGTTCTCACGCCATACTTGTTTGTACGTGAAAAAGACATATATGTATATAGCCATCAGGATGTTTTATTCGCATTAAAAAGTTTAGGGAGAGAAGTGGTTGTCTCAATACAAGGTCACTAGATTCAAGGATGATTAACTTGAGTAGTTACAAATAATATATAAAATATTAAGATCCATAAAATTGATGTTTTCATGGCTTAAGTAAGGTTATGTTCCCTTTAAAATTTTATAAATTTTCTATTTGACTTATTATTTTTAATTTTTTAAATAAGATATCTATTTTTTTCCCTTTTCTATATAATTCGTCTATCAATAGCTTGTTACTTTTATCTAACATTACCTCTACAATATTCATATTGACTAATATAATAACAGTTTATATAAATGATGAGATCGCATTTATAATCTTATTTTCTTCATATTTTTAGATATCAAATTTAGAAGTTCTAACTTTACAAACTAATTTTCATTTGTAAATACGAAAGATATAACGTTATTATGACACATCTTATTTACATTATAATTTAGTCAAATTATGAGTAAATTTAAATATTATTTTAATAGAGGATTCGAATGAAAATAAAAAATAATTTCTTAAAGACCAGATTGAAAAAAAAAAAAAAAGAGGAAGGACCAAATAAAAAGTCAATTTTTTAAAGAATCAAAACTTTATTTTAATTATTATTTTATGTTCATTTTAAAAAATTTGTAAGAAAAACAATGAAAATAAGAAAAATTTATTTTTCATTATTTTTTGTATAAATTTTTAAAATTAAGAAATAGAATGAAAATAAGATAACAGTTTTTTAACTAAAAGAAAACATTTTCTAAAACCAAACAAGTTCAAAGTCAATGATTTTCAATTCACACTGCCATGCTTCAGAACAGCGCCTGCTTCTGCTGGTAGTTATTTTGAACCATCCAATTTTTCATATTTCTGACAGCATTATGGTCATTATAAAAGAATTATAAAAATATTAATTCATAATAAAGTTTCATTTATCAAAAATTTATAATAAAAAAGTTAAAAACTTGAATCAAAAGCAGCTAGACAAATCCTGATGGAACCTGAGCTTCTTGTATCTGCAAAATCTTAATCAACAATCTCTTCAGAAATATATAACGCGCGATTGTACCACACCCAAGTCGTTAATTAGTAAAAATATAGTCAGTTTGAGCATACTACTAGCGAAACAGCAAGAAGCCAAAACAAGCAAGTTTCTCAAATTTCAGGACTTCTTGAAGTTCTGCTTTCAGATTCACAAAGCTCACACGAGCAAATTCTATATATCTTATCTACAACTATTTACCAGACCAGACCTATCAAGTGAAAACTACACTTTTCTATTTATTAGGCTAAATACAATGTGAAAATATCACGAAAACTAATAATATCCAAAACCTGAGTACATCTGTGATAAAAAAATGACGAGGGCAAATGCTAAATGGGAACGGATTAGTAAAACTAATCCAAACCTGTCATGTTCCTAACCTCTTTGAACCACACTCGGAGCAGAACTTAGATGTTTCCCTCAAATACGGAGCCCCACATTCGTCACAAAACTTTGCAGGAGTTGGTGGCTGTATAATAAGCAACATGAAAGAACTCAAGCAAAAGAAAAAGTAGCTCAATGAAATGTCAAACAACTAAAATTATTAAAATCAATAAATTTATTCAAGTGGAGACTCGTATAGCATTGTAGAGATATTTAATCCATTGGCTTGGTACCGTGCCATATTTACTACTACACATAATAAGGCAGATCTAGTGAACCTTTAATACTAATATGAAGTTCTATTGAGAAATCCAAAACAAGTATCTTCTTTCAGTTATGTCTAAATATTGAAACAACAAAGGAGGGATAGGCCAGAGCAAAATACAATAAAGTAGCTGAGAGTATCTCATTTTAAATTCAAACATGAGTTTGATTCGTGCTCCATGTTATTTACCATCCAAAAAGAGTAAAAATCAGAGTTTGTCCAAAAATAATGCCTTGAGAAAGGGCATATGTGGAGAACCTTTCCATAGGATAGTGTTTTTTCAACTCTCTCAAAATGGAATTCTTCCAAACATACACCATGGTTCCTTACCTCAACAGGTACAAATATCTAAATTTCATATTTTAGATACTTTTTTTTTAACCTATTGCTAATACTATGTAGCAGCCAAAAGTTTGTACCATGGTTCCTCCTTAACTCAGGAATTAGAGAAATGACACAAAACAGCATAAATAAGTTCGTCTTACCAAGCTTTTAGAGATGCAAATTGAATAGCAAAAACACTATACTCATTTGAAAAGTTCCATAATCTACATTAAAAACAACATTGGTTGAATAAACTCACCAGCATGTGCAAACGTCCACCAACATGACCACCTGTGAGTGGTTGTAAGCAAGTCATGTGTTGAGATATTGATGTTGGCTGGTGAGCATGAGAAATTTCAGATAGGTGTGAGGGAGGACCATTTTGATGGTTATGAGAATATGGCCCTGCATGCTGACTTTGGTGTATAGTTTGATTGTTTTGGAGAACTGGGTGAAACTGAGGTTGATGTGGCAGTGATTGCAAGTGGTGTTTGCATGGGGTTTGCTGCTGATTTTGTGGCTGTTAAGAAAAAGTCCCCATATAAAGTTAATGCTCTTAAAATATTATTAAAAATAAGAGCAAAAAAATGTTACAAGATCCACACCAGGCACAACTTATGCAACAGATAGCATAATTGAGGCATAGACATGAAAAGAGGGTAAGCAAACCCAATTCTCAGAAGTACACACAAAAAAAAAGGAAGCTAACGGTCAGTGCTTAAATAGAATTTTTATGTTGTCAGTTTATAAATAAGGAGAGACCCCAATCACCACTAGAAACAAGTTTATATTTGATCCCACTTAAATTAATGGAGAAGTCACTAATGTCATCTGCAGTTCACACCCAAATAATTGTACAAAAATGGCATCTACTGATCATGGCATCTGAAGAGAAACCATTAATGACAGTAATATACAATAACTTATATATATCACTTACTGAGCGAAATCCTTGAGTAGTAGCCAATGTACTAGAACTGTCTGCTCCATGATAACTCTGCAAAAATAAGTCAATAGCATAAACACTAGATAGAATTTGGAGACAGAGAAGTGCAGCAGCTACAATTAATGAACTCTCTAATCCTATCATTTCGTTTAGTATAATATACGTCATGACATATCCATCATAATTATGCAGGTATCAGGTGACAGCACAATATATTCATAATCAGGGCATGCTAGTAAGACTATTCTATGATGGCTCAAATTTAGAAATTACAGTTTAGACATTGTGAAAAAAAACTGCAGCAGGTCATATATTGTGCATCTTGAAAGCAATTCATTTTCCAATATGAGGCACATCACACATACAGGGATCTCTGGGATATTTGAAAGTGAAATTGATGCACCACGCCTATACTTGTGCCTTGGAGAGTAAAATTTATAATAATCAGCTGAGATAGCTACTTCACTCCGACCTGTTAATTTCTTAAACCTAAAACCAAAAACAAAGCCAGTGAGACCAAGCATTACACACCTTGCAAAGTTCAAATCAATGCACAATCTCTTAAAATATCATCAGTAGTTTCAGAATACAATATTAAGAAGTTCTACGACAATAAACACAACCCATCAACAGATCAAATATCTTCAACAATATGCTTTTCTTAAAATGGCACAGTCAAGTTGGGCGTCAGAGAGAACTGTTAACAGCTCAACTAATGCAGTAACAAAAAGGCATATGATAATAAAACATAAACCATCAACAGATAAAAAAATCTTTATCAATATTCTTCCTTAAAATGGCACAGCACAGTTACAATTGACATAATAAATTTTTTCATGTATTGAGAAACTACAAATACAATATAAAATGTAAGTGCTGTTTCTCAGGACAATACAATATTCTGATACAACAACAACAATCAAGCCTTATCCTTATCCCACTAGGTAAGGTCAGCTACAGTCAAAAACCAAATTTCAGAACAATACAATATTCTGATATAGCAAAAAAATTAAACAGAATAGCTAAATTTCTACAAGTCAGAAACTTGAAACAAACAACCCAAAAAACTCTCAATAGAATAAGGGGGGGGGGGGGGGACCTAAGAGCCAACCCATGTGATGGACCTACAGAAATTTGTCTTTCTGGGGCTACAAATAGCCCAGTATATAGGCATACATAGCTTGGGAAATAATAACTAACAAATTAAATCCAAGTATTGCAGCAAAATAAATTATCAGAGACAAAAATTTCAACAGCAAAATCAATATTTCACACCATAAGCCATTTGAGATGCATACATAGTCATAAAACTACGACTTCTGAGGTTCCTAAAGGTCTCCACTTGTATGAAAGTGATCCTTAAGCTGAAACTGACTAGAGAAGTGCAGTATGATTCATGATGGAATCTAGAAAGAATTCATGTAGTTTAGGAACTATCTCTATAAATTTGTTACATAAAAGGCGTGTGTAAACTCTAATAATCAGAATCCTTAAGTGTATCCTTCCAAAAATCATCTTTAACAAATGTATCTTGTCTTGGTAGAATACAAACACTTGTATCAGATATGCTTAATATCAGTGTCACCCAACTACACTTTATTCAGTTGTTTAGGATAATGCATAAATACACAAATTACATGAACTTTCAAAAAACTAATCTGATAAGATATATACGAGTAAATCATGCCCAATACTAAATGTTTAAAATAATATCTGCTTTGGAGGATAAACATGTGGCCTTTTTTCCTTTAGAAACTACTTCATTATCGTACCATGTAATCCAGGTTTCAGAGCATGTATGGTTTAGACCAAATATGTTGAATCCCAAACCCATCAATCATCAAAAATCATGGACCTACTTGCTGTGAATTTGTGGACCTTAGATCTCTCTGTTGATTAATATATTCTGATATAGCAATACCCTTCTTATTTACCTTGAAAAAGTCAAAATACAATTTCAAGATTTTCAAAGGCATAAGGAGGAAATGTTTCATAGCAATGTCTGGTTCATGCAATTCTCTGGTGTGTTTTGTTGGTGAGGAACGCTCATACTTCCAAAGGTGTATCTTTTTTGAAACATCAGGTAACAGGATATGTTTGCATTATTGACTAATCTCATGGAAAGTTTCATTCTTAATATGCAGCGAGACAGAACTTTTTTTGTTGCATTTATGAGTCACTTTGGCCCACTGTTCTCTTTTCTTTTTTATTTAGAAGGACCCTCCTCATCCCTCAAGAATATGTTGCTTTTCTGATTGCTAGACATTACAAACAGAAATAATAATCTATGTTATTAGACAGAAACCACCAAAAAAGACCAAACTACATTTGCATCAAGATGAATGCCACTATTTTCACTTTCAACCTTGGTCTATTTCCATTGTCCTATGCATCCATTGTTACACACTTAAGAATATAGAAAAAGGGAAAATCATAATGAGCCAATTGTAGATCTCCAGCTCAAGGGAAAAAGATATTGAATCCTCTTACCTAAGAAAACCTTGCCAATCAAAAGGGCCCACAACAATTAAAAGAGTATAGATGTAAGAACAATACAAAACTCAACTTACCACTCAGCATCATCAATTGGAATGTTATTTGGTTTTTCAACAATTTTTAATCCATTAACCACCACAAAGCGAACACGCTTCTCTTCTTGTATAACTAATTCTGGGAACCTTGTCCTTGTTTCCATAGAAGTCGCCAGTTCTCTTCTCTTAAATGTACATGGTCCTGATGAGGAAAACTCAAATAAAGGACATCATGTTGTAATCAATACATCATAATCAAACAGCCATGAAAAAGGAAAAGGAAAAAAGAAAAATCCCTCCCACTACTGCTAGTTGCACATGCAGTCACAAATTTAATTTATTTACAAGAAAGATGAATGTGCATGTTTGGTTCAACTTATTTTGGAGAAACAATCACTTGTTTTCATCAGCTTTCTAAGAGATTTTTTGAAAAATTCACAATTATTTCTCCAAAAAGTAAAAACAATCCCAAAACATGCACAAACATTAAGTATGGAATAGAAAAATCATCTACAAGAAGAAGAAACAAGTCAAATCTATCTTGAATACATAAAGGGTACGTGGGAAAATGTAATACCTTTTTTAGGAAATTTCTTAGCCAATCTTCTATACAAACCACCAGCAGCTTCAAGGGCTACCCCAATTGTCTTCTCGCGAATTCCATTCAAGGAAGCAAGCCTAATATTCACATCATTAACCAAACTTTCATACATATTTGCCACGTACATCAAAGGCAGGGCAAAATTTGGGTCTCCTTCATACTGGATCTCTCTCGTTCTCCTCTTACTCATTTTGTCTTGGCCAGTGTAATCAGCGTCAGAATCAGGCACCTCGATCACACGGTCCTCAATAAAATGATCCACAACAATTTGCAAAAACTTCGCCCTGGCAGATTCAATAGGCGAAACATCTAGTTCCAAGTTGAGCTAAAATCAATTCACCTAGACTCAATCTTCACCACTCAAAAACCAGATACATGTAGAACAATATCATAATTCAGAAGTTGCAGTGAGTTTTACCCTCAACAGTCAAGATATCATAAGAGCCCCTGGAAGACTCGTTAGTCTCGAGACTAGTGCGATCCTCGTCAACCTCCACACTGTGAAGTGGCAAACAGCTCCTATGGGATTCGTTCATGCAATCCTACAAGAAGATCGAAGAATTTTCATACAGCGGAGAAAAAAATTGAAAGGAGATAATAAAATAAAAAGTGGGGAAACGAAGCACTCACGACGGGGGCAGAGGCGGAATCGTCGTTGTGACTGTCGTCGGCGCGGTGGACATCAGCGGCGATGTCATCGATGGCGGAGGCTGCAGTTCTGGCGTCGACGGCATTGAGAACGTGAAGAGGGCTCTCGATGAAGGAAGAGGGAGAGTTGAGATTGTAGTGCTGCACCGGAACCCTAGCACCCATTTTTATTTTATATTTATTTTGATTTGCAGTGTTGAAGAGGTAGTGAATTGAATTCAGCCAAAGTCGATGGGTTGATGCTGCTTCGATACGTCACTGTAAGAGGGTTTGAGTGAGAGAAAGAGAGAGAGAGGGAGCATGGTAGGATCGGAGAGAATGAATGAGAGAGAGTGGAGAGGGAGATTCAGATTGAGATTGTTAACGGCTATCCATACTATAGAGAGAGAAAAGAGAGAAAGGAGAAGAGGGGAGAGTCCAAACCTGAGGTTGAGACCGTACCTGAGGTTTCTGCTGCTCAAAGCAGTTCCCAAACCTCACTCCCATCTCCGCACCAGTTACTAGAGGGACCGTTGACCTTTCTTTTCTTTGATGTATAGATAGTGAATATTTACTTTATTGAACTGCCACTTTTAAAAAGAAAATATATTGGCTACCCAAAAAAGAAAATAAAATATATTAAAATTAAAATAACTACGGATGACCGAAGCCAAGTCCAAACCATGGCCAAACAGGCGATATTATGACCCAGCAGCTGCATTCTCTCTTTAGATTAGATTTTTCTTTTTCTTTTTTTCCTTTTCGGTATTAATGTTTTGTTTATTAATGGGCAAACTTTTATTCTAATTTTTCAAATTATAACTATAAATTGTTTAAATATTTAATTTTAAGAAGAAAACTATTAATTTTTAATTATAACCTATCTGTATCTGGATAAGGTAAAAGTTGTTTTAAGATTGATTTATGTTCGCTTCAGCTTAATTTTTTTAAATTATTTAATTTTTTTTAAAATTAATAATACTTAACAAAATTAAATTAAAATTTTCAAACATATAATTAAAAATTAGTTTCCTCCAAATAATGATTAGTCAGAAAATAAACAATTTTAAAACAAAATATTTTATAGTAATTCGATGAATAAAAAGAAATTGGATATACTTAATTCACATTTAATCACTTTTCTTATTTTCTATTCAGTACTTATACGGTTAATTTATAAGTAAAAAAAAAGTCTGATAATACTAGCTTATTTTATTAAACAATAATAGTGATTATTTTCAAAATTTATATTAATAAAAATGTTCCATTTCTATCAAATATATAAAATAAATTTGCTATTTAAATCAAAGTCAGGCCTACCAATAATTTTATAGATGAGAATTATGAGTCCCAAAGGAATATGTTTGCATTATTCGTACGCGCTCTTTATATATAATTATTCTTATACAAGTCATCAGAGAACACTCTAATTTTATTGTAATTTAAAAAAAAAAATTATTATGCATTTCTTTTAGTTTTTTAAGGCTGGTATTCAGACACAAATGCATGTAAGAAAAAGTAACAGCAATAATAAATACACATTTGCTTCTTCTTTTTTACACATTTGCTCCCCCCAAACAAAAAAAGAAGTCGTTATGCTTTTTTTAAAACCGTAGCAGATGCACATTCATCTTACTTAATCATGATTTTGCTTGAATGACATGATGTTTAGGCATTACGCATAAATGAGTTTTTGATGAGTATCAAAATTCCATTTGAGTAGAAGGCTAGAAGCAAAATATTGAATGTTTTTAGATGAGTTAATTAAAAACAAAACTTATGTACGATATTGAAACTTTCACACTTCGGCTAGTTATGCCACCCTTTATTGGGAAGATTACCAAACAATACCAAAATCACCTATTATTACACAAATTTGGTCCTTAATTTAATTTCTCTTTTATGATTTAAAATAACTTTTTAGATATAAACTTTAAACATAAAATTACTTCACTTAAACTCCATTTAACTCAAAAAATTAATTTTATAAAATTTAAATCATCGAAAATAAAATCTGTAAATACTTAAACACATGCCGAGAAACCCATTCTAGCTCTAACCAAACATGTAGCTCATCTGAACCAATGGATACAATCAAGCTTTGGCAATTTCGTAGTTATCAGAATTTCAACTTTCTAGCTCAACTCAACATATGAAATTTGGAAGATCATATATGCTATTTGATTAATTTATTGTTAACCATGACTTTTAATATCCATGTTTTCTTACTACGTATTACAAAGCAAATAAGAATAAATTCGACGCTAGTCCATCATAACAAGCTAACAACACTAACCAATTTGTGACAACTTATGCGTCTGATTGAAGAGATGCGATTGCGGAAGACGAAAACAATGCATTAGGCATTGCCAAACAACACCATACCACATGCCACAACATACAAGCTTCAATCAAACGGTTGAAATTAGTCAGTGAGCAACGATATAAGTGCACATTTCAAGCTAATCATTCATCTGAGTCTGACATGACACTAAAATATCCGCCCATCTTTAGAAATTGTATGACAGGAATGGTAAATCCCCAGACAGCACAAATTATTTAAGCTACCTTGAACTCATGAATATTAAGAAATTATTAACCATAATGTACAAAGAAAAACAATAAACACCCAAAAAGCCGCAACTGTAAAGAGGGAATTCAGCGTCTCCCGGATGCCACTGATTCGGTAGAGAAGAGATACTTTACTCGCGAAAGAACCGAATCATGTGCAGGATCATAAGGATGGTCTTTTGAGGGGATTTCAAGTATTGCAGGAACAGGCTTGTTATAACTATCAACCAAAAACCTTATCATATTTGCAACCTGCACAGTGAAAGAAAGTACACGATTTTGATTTTGTGGAGGCAACTGGGGGGGTGGTTACAGCCCAAGCTAATAAGACGAATGAGCAAAAAGATGCTGAAAAAAGAACAAAGTGCACAAAACACTTTTCGAATATCAGTTACGGTACCATAATGGCTGAATGACAAATAAAAAAAAGGGACCCAATAATTGAAACAAATGTGAGGAAACAGATTACTGTAGTGGATATAAATAGATTCCTTCCAGGGGTTCTCAATTCTCACAACAATAACTTCGATTTTAAAGTAGGAAATTTGCTAAACTATAATAGTTAACAGTAGGTAAATGGGCTATTGGAAATAATATGGTCAAGATTCAGAGAGTAGGAACTAATAACTGCAGATATAGTGTTCGTTAACATGAGGGTGCACAACAGCCAGCCCCGTTTCTTTTATAGCCATGAAATGTGACTTACATATTGGCTAATCAGCACAATTGCAATATCCTCCCGTGTTGTAAATTCTTTGAACGCATCCTCAATTTGTTTGACAGTTGTTTCTGAAAATCAAAGTCAAGATAAAACAAAAACATAATCAAATCAACCCCATAGCTAGGATGTCCATTAATAACCAGTGAGAAAGTTAAAAAAAAAAAATAACACATGCACAACAAAAGTATGATATGTAAATTTCTTACGAGGATCTAGGCTATAAAATTGTATTCTCTATCCTTTGTGTAGACATGTACTGCAGCAGATAAGGAACAAGGACTTTCATATAGAAACTTTGGGTCTGTTTGGTGTAAAAAATATTATTTTTTCACTAATAATTACAAACATGCTACGTTGTTTTTACTTCATTTCTTGTTTTAAATATTTGTATAGGAAATGGTGAAAATAACCTATAAAAATCTTTGAAAATAAGAGTGAAAACAAACAATATTAGTGAAAATAAAAGAAGATCCAAATCAAACAAGCCCTTTACTCCTCCACATATCCCATTTAGTATGAGTACATCAATATTCTTATGATGTCTTCAATTGAAGATAAACCTTTATAAGAACATAAAAGACCATAGGCATATTTTTTTTATTGAGTATTTATAACAATTTGGATGGTAGTAAAGCAGGTTAGGAGTTACTTCATGATGTACAATTTAACAAGAAAAACATTGTAGTTTAGGGGATTTTGATACCAATCATACACACAGATTACAAAATAGTGAGTAAAATATAGTTCAGTGGCATACTTGAATCCACAATGAGATAATTTGTCTTCCTACGTAAGTCAACATTTCCCACTCCAGCCAACAGAAATCCAACTACAGTATCCTGAGTAAAATAAATTAGTAGCCATAAGCCTTCAGGATGTGTTAATCATTTTAATCAGAATGAATACAAATTACAAAATTTACAACTATAATGGAATGGGGAAGTGGTGTGTGATATGTCATCATTAAAACATTAAAAATATAAGCTTAAAAATAAAATATCTCACTAATTAATTTCGATTTGCTTGTGGCTAATTGTAATGTTACAATTCTTATTACATTATATTTGCTTTTACTTATAAAGATTAGACAACTGTCTATTTTTAATTATTAATGGTAATTTTAAGCTAATGCGATATTTCAGCATTTTGCTGTCAGGGTTGTTAAGTCAATAATTTAGTTGTGTCAAACTGTCAATGTATGGGTTTACTTTGTAGTTTTTTTTTTTTAATCTCTATTTAGGGGTTCCATTATGTATGTTAGTTGCTGGATGTCTGACTTGAGGTAATTGAATTTGAGGCTGAAGTTTAGGACTACTAACCCCTAAGTTTTGACATGTCCTATACTCCTCTTTTATTGACGCACTTAACTATCAAAATATAAATAGCAATCAACTTATGTGTTATGGCAGCAGATCACTCTCTGATTGTGTGATCAATGCAATCAAACCAAATGCAGGGCCTAAGTGTGACACCTGGGTTAATTTTATTTTTTTTCACACAATTTCTATTTTCTTCAATTTTATCAGGTACAGATCTAATCTTTTTGGATGAGGAACAACCTTAATATTTCACTCTCTTCTACCAATTCCTGGTAATTCTTGCTTGAATATACCCAAGGAGCTGTCAAATCATAAAAAGCCAAATTAGCAGCTCACACAACATCTGAATTGTCATCAGCTTGTCTCCTTAAACCGTCTTGGCTTACAATCCTTGCCTTCATATATCCAATGACCTATCAATTCAATCCACTGTTCTCTAACCCCTGAGTCTGAACCATTCAAGAAACCTTAAAGCCTAACCCATCAAATCCGAAGCCTTACATTTTTATACGCCAGGAACACACAAAATAGTATTATTTTTCATAATTAATTAATCTTTGGTGGTGCATAATCACTACTAAACTGATAGCCAAAAAGGTCTCCAAAGAAATTGCAATTTGCTCTTGCAGCAATCTTAAAAACATATTAGCTAAGATAATGAACATCTGTAGAAATTTGTTTTCTTATTCAGTACCAGATCCTGATTTTTAGACAACATGATCATGTGACACAATACAACTTCTGTATTTCATAAACTACTTAACAATGTTTTCTCATGAAGCAACAATCAGCATATTTCAACTCGGTAAACTCAATTTTCCAAGCTACAAATTGAAGTGGAGATAGTGAATAATGATTATCAAAGAAAATTGCCTCAATAATTATTTCAACCTTCACAAACTGAAATTTAAAATGTTCCAAGGAAAATCTAAAAGGGCATACATCTCAAACACACACATATCTGATGTTCTGCAGTCAATACTCGAAGAAAGCACATACAACATTGACACACTCTTACCTCATCTGCAATCATGGCAATAAGTGCTGAGTTGTTGGTAGGAATTTGAACTCTGTTGGCCATTTGGTATGACTGAATATGATATAAAAAGATGGGGAGACTGTCAACTAGCCATAGGTATTAAACAGTAAATAATATTGAACAATTAAATGCAATTCATTTCTAAATAAAATGTATGAAACATATCCATTCATTACTACGGATCAATTTTGTATTCCCTTAAAATTAAGAGTAAGAATCTCAACAATGCGTTTTTCATGCAAAACTCTTCACTGAATAATTTGCCCCAATTTTTCATGGGAACCAAACTAACCTCGACTTTAAAATTGTAATTCTAAGTCAATCTACGAATGCTTCTAATCTAAATAGTAAATAGTATATAATCACAGATCTAGAACCCTTTACATGTAATCGATTGAAATTAAGATCCCTTACTTGTCATTAATCCCAATCAAAACAAAAGCATCAAGACCATTAGGATCTATAAATTGAGAAACGGAATGTGAATTGAAATACATGTTCAACAATCTGGTCTCTCTTTAAAGTGATTTTAATTAATTATGCGCAGAAATTCCTCGTAAGAGGATCGAAGTAACCAATATCAACATCAAAAGAACTAAATCGCAAATTTAACAGCTCAGAACAAGGGGCAAATAGAACGCACCAGATCAGAAGGCCGGCAGTTGAGACGGCGGAGATGACGGGAGATTTGAGAGCGCACGGCGGCGCGTGGAAGGAGCTAGCTAGGAGTCCGATCTGGTTTGGAGCTCCAAAAATTCTTGCTATCTGTTCCGGACCTCGTTCTCTCTCACCCTTTCCAAGTTATTTTTTCCTCTATTTCTCCTTATTATTATGATGCAAGGTAAGTGTAACGATAATTTACAACTAATTTTTAATCGAAATAATAAGTTTCTATTTTGTCAATTTAAGATTTTATTTTTTTTTTGCTAATGTCAATTTAAGATTTCAATGACATTATATGGATTATTTTTCATATCATGTTTAAGAATAATATATATTAAAAAATAGCATTTTTAAAAATTATGGAGATATAAATTTAAAAATCGCCATCAAGACTAAAATATGTAACTATAAAAATTTATAAAGTTTCAAAAAATGTTATTAACGATTTTTTTAAATATTAAAAAAATTAAAAATCAAAATTTAACAATAGTTAAAAAATAATAAATTAATATTTTTTTAAAAAGTAATAAAAAATCATTATTTTAGTAATTTTCCTTTTTTTAATATAAAAATTCACATTATATATCTAGTCTATATATAACAAAAATGTTAAAATGATAATTAAGTTACTATTTTTTTTAATAATTTCGTGACCAATATTGTTATTTTTTAAGATACTTATTGTCTTTATTTGTAGTATTTATTGTAATTTTATTTATTATGTTTAAGCATATTTTATGTAAGAATTAGTATTAATAAATAAAATTTTATTATTTAAATATACAAAAATATGAATGTTAGAGACTTATGTTTTACACACTTTTTATCATTAAAATTTATTTAAAATTATAAAAATCGTGTGATTTTTTAATATTTTCTTATTTTTAAATTAAAAGTTTTTATATTATTATAATTTTTAATAATTTTAATCATTAAAAAATACGTTAAAATTTATATTATTAGCATTTATTTTTAAAATTTTATATTATTTGTAACATTACGTATAATTATATTTTTTTCTATATTTAAAAAAAATTATTTATCCATACCTCAAATCTCGAGGGAAGAAATTATATCGGATTAATTTTTATATATTTAATAAATTTAACCACATTGTTTTCTTTTATTGATAAATTAATACATAAATCTTTAGTCCTTGTAAGTTCACTGTTCACAGTTCAATCCTTAAAGATTTTCAGTAAATTGTGTTCATTAAACATATCCATCTATTGTTTATTTACTTATCAAAAAAGATTTTCTTCATGTGTGTAATGGTCTTCAGTGAAATTTTTTCTTACTAAATTTAAATATAGAAAATTATGTGTTTTTAGCATTAATTTTCATTGAAATTAATTTTTTTACTCTAATATTATAAGCATTGCAATTAACATTACAAAATTGTTATTTATTCAGATAAATTTATTTTTTACTAAAAAATGCATTTACAACGTTATACATAAATAAGTGTTAAGCTTAAACACGTTACTTAATAATTTCTTTATATAATATAAAATTTATCTATTTAATAATTAGTTTGAATTTTTTATTAAATAAACTAATTTTATAAATTTTATATAAAAATAAATTAATAACTACTTTATCATATTATTTTATGGTAACATATAATATATTTTTAAATATATATAAATACATAATGTTAAATATTGTATTTAAAAATATTTAAATTATATAAAATTTAATTTATATAATTACTAACGTAAATTATATAATTTAACAATCCAACTGATAAATTTTAAATTATATAAAAAATTATTAGGTAATATAAATGACGTATTATATAAATAGAATATCACTATCTTTTTCTCTCATATAATATCAATATATTTTTTTATATTAAAAATAATGTATTATGATTTGATGAAAATCTTAGAATTTATGTAGATATAACAATTTCTTTTACAATAAATATATAAAATAAATAATTAACATAACAGGATTATAATATAAAAATATTTTATTGAATTTTTTTATAAATATTAAATTTTATCAATTTAATTAATAAAAAGTTACATATTAATATTATCATTCATATAAATTTTAGATAAATTAAATATTTATAAATATATAATATTATATATATATTAATAATGAAACTTTTTTTATAAAAAAATTTGTTAAATATTTTTTATTTATATAAATTTTCATAAATTCAATTTATTTAAAAAAGTATATAATTTGATGAATAAATTGATAATAATATTTATAATAAGTTATTAAATTCAACTAATTCGACTAACTTCAGCTATAAACAAAGAATATAAAAATTATAAAAAGCTTTACAGTATTTAGTAAATTAAAAAAATATTTACATATGAAATAATAATAATTAATAATTTTATATTAATAAATAAAAATCTATTAATTTATTTAAAAAATATGCAAATAATTCTTATTCTTTAAGATGTTAAAATAATTTAATTTAGAAACAATATATAATTTTTTAATAAAACACTAATTATTATATAAATATAAGAAATGCGTTTGCTATAGTTTTAAATGATATTTGATTTTTTTTTTTAGTTTAACAGTTGTAATTTTTTTAATATATTACAAAATATTAATATTTTTTATTTAAATTAATAATTTATTATTTATTACTATTAGAAAATTAACAATAATTATTATTTTATATATTAAAAATTTATTAAATAAATAATAAATACTTATTATTAAAGGAATATCAATATAATTTTTATTTAAATCATTAATTTCTCTTTATTAATATAAAATTAGTTTAAAATTAAAGATGACTTTATTCTAAAAGTAAAAATTAAACTCTCGTTTTAGTCCTTGAAAAAAATTTGATTCTAGCATTTTAATCTTTAAAAAATTTAAAATATCACGCTCCAATTTTTTTCGCCATCATTTATTTTAATCTCTAAACTCAAACTCTATTAAGAAATAATAACAAAGAGATGAACTTGACAAACACCTTTAATTGTTAAAAATAACATTGTTATGCATGAGTTTGATTGAAAAGTTGTTGCCCCCTAAAGAACTTCAGAGCTATCATTAAGAAGAGGATTCTCTATAATAACATATTTCAAGCCATTATTAACCTTTAGTAATAGCAAAAAAGGAGAAATGTTATTGTCACTTACTAACAATTTCATAGACACTAATTCAACCTTGATATTGGAATCTTATTAGAAGAAAAGGAATAACGAAGATCTATTTGTAGCAAAATTTCAACTACTTTAATGTGATAATTATTCAATACTTCTTCATATAACAGATTGTTCCCATCACAATTTTTGACTCTAATGTGGTTCTTGTTTACTTCTATTTCATGCCTAATACTAGTCATGCCCAATGCCAGAAAAAAAAAAGTTTGACATATTTAATTAATAATTTTGTGACTCTGTTGTGTTTATACTTAATAACTATACAAAAAGATATTTTTCCTTTAGTATTAAGGAACAGAATAATTTAATATTTAAGATTATATTTATAAAGAACTCTATATATAAATGTTATAATCTCACAAAAAATATTATCTAAATTCATGTTTCCAATTTTTGATGATTAAAAATATTTTATCACATTCATTTTTTAAATAACATTATTTTTTTATGTTTAAATATTTAAAATGACACTTAATGTAATAAGTCATTTTCTGTTAATAATATTTTTTTAACAAAGTATAAATTTAAAAATTAAAATAAATAAATAAATAAAAATTAAAAATTAATATAATATTTTAAATTTTTTTAAAGACTAAAATACTGAATTCAAATGTTATCATAACTAAAATAAAGAGGTTTAGTCTAAATAGTAGCACTTCGTGCGATCGACCCCTATTCCTCACCTACCCACCGAACCATTCAGTTGCGACGTTGAAACCTCAGAAGTCCAAAACAAAAGTCCTTAACCCCGCCTATCTTCTTCTTTGCAATAAGCATTGTTCTCTCCATAAACCCTAATTCCACCATGTCTTCAACGCTGGCCACTGCACCATCCTCAATCTTCCCCTTCAACCCCAACCCCAACCCCACAACCACAAACCCACACTCTCCCTCCACTCTCCGTTTCCCTCCAACACTTCGCCCTCGCTTCACCCTCAGCGCCCATCACTCCTCCCACGCGCCCATCCTCAAAACCATCGCCGGCGCCGCAATATTCGCCGCCGTAGCCCTCAAATTCCCCGCCTCACCTGCACGCGCTCAGCCTCCGCCACCACTCGCCGAAGAAACGACGCCGCCGCTATCCGAATTCCTCGAAACGAACTCCGAAGCCGTCGATGCTCTCAAGTCGTTGCTGCAGCAGAAGCTCGAACTCGGCGACGACGAGGAAGCGCTGAAGATCCTGAAACGCTTGATCTCCGCACAACCCGAGGTCGCCGATTGGAAGTTTCTCGCGGCGAGGTTAGCGAGCGAAACCGGCGATTTGGAGACGGCGCGTGGGTACTACGAGGAGGTCTTGGCGTCGAATCCGTTGTGGTTTGAGGCATTGTTTGAGAACGCTTTGCTGATGGACCGGTGTGGGGAAGGGGAAGCGGTGATGAAGAGGTTGGAAGAGGCGCTGAGAGTGGCGCAGGAAGAGAAGAAGGCGAAGGAAGCGAGGGACGTGAGGTTGATTATGGCTCAGATTCAGTTTCTGCAGAAGAACGTTGACGAAGCTTTGGAGATTTATAACCAACTCACAAAAGAGGACCCTAGTGATTTCAGGCCTTATTTTTGTAGGGGCATGATTTATAGCTTGCTTGATAAGAACGATGAGGCTAGGGACCAGTTTGCAAAGTACAGGGAGTTGAGTCCCAAGAAATTTGAGGTTGATGGATACTTGAGGACCCCTTTGTCAAGGATGAAGTTGTTTGGTACCGACGAGAGCTGAGAATAACAATAATAATAATGAGTAATAATTTGAGGTCTTTTTGGCGATTGGAATAAGGGTGGTGGATGCAAGCACGAGATTTTGCTGTGTAATCTTTGTGTGGGGTTTTGTTATCCTTACCTGCACTTGAGTTAAATTATTTTACTTTAGCTATGCCACTCTTTTAAGTATTGGGTGGGTGTAAAACTTGTTTGTATGTTTAGAATGGTAGGGAAATAAAGGATGACAATTGAGTTCTATTGAACTCCACCACACTTTTTTGTGAAGGCTTGCGAAGTGGAAGTAATGATACTTGTGCTTTCAATTTTTTATTCCATGATTGTTCTAACATGGCTATGCCGTTATGCTGTTAACTTGATGTGGTTGGATTAGCCATAATTTTCTAAAATTTATCATGTTATCAATCTTCTTTGAATGAGGTTTGGTAGGGGTAGCTGGTAACTTTGTTTTGGAGGAGACAGATGATGACTTGTGCTCCATGTGTAGTTCCCATGTAATAAACGGCTTGATTTCTTGTCAAACTGTGTGTTGAGTAGATACGGATTCCCTGGCGCCAACTGCATGGCTCTCTCCTTCTCTTCCTCTCCCTCACGTTCTCACAGCCCCTTCCTGGCCCCTTCCTGGCCCCCTTCTCCCTCTCACCCACCCTTCTCCCTCCCGTTCTCTCAGCCTCTCCCTCTTTCCCACCAGCCTTTCCTCCTGGAATTCCTATTCTGTATGTTTCTTTGTAAATATTGGATATTGTTGTTTCAGTGTCACTTATCAAGTTCATCTTGCTGATTTATGAATAGTACTGCATCTTTCCCTCCCCCAACTGATTATGTATATGATGATAATTGTAATAATTTTAGTAAATTTTAGAAAACAGTTTTTCCAACATAATTTGTCTATGGATTATTGAATACCAATTCTTCCAAGCTTATAGCCAATTGGTTTGGGAAAGGAAATTGGAAAATGATTTCCTGATATTACCGACTCTGCTAAGCCTCAATATCCCATGTTCTTTTCATGTGTTTTCTTGATGCATAGAAACCAGATTTTCTTCTAAAAAATGTTACAAACTTGTAGACTTGCTTATATATCGAGAAAGATTGAGATGGAAATGGGTTTTTTTAATTAATTTTAACTAATATTTTTCGTGGGATTAGACTTAGTTGTTATTGTAATTTTAACTTATAATTAAGGGTGTGAGAGAGCAAGTAGCTAACATTTTTTCATTTGAGAAATACGGTATGGAAAATCTTAAGCTCCTTTGGTATGCATAAACAGCGGAATAATTTTTCTTTCGTTTCATTTAAAATGAAGGTGAGTAATAGTTTGCCCAATGATTGACCTCATTTCATTGCGATAGCATGTGCTTTAAAATGCATATCTTTTTTAATTCATGGATTTTGCTTCTTTGTGCATATTCCTCCACCTGTTTGTTTGTCTTTTTCTTTTCTGGGGAGGGGGTTATCTCCATGGTTATTTCTCCACACAGGCAATACATGCGCACAATGAAAGTGTTTACAAGCATCAAATATTTAAATAATTTACGCAAAATTTTCAATTTAAAAAGTCGAGGAAAAAATTTAGGGTTTACTAAAAAATTATCTATTTATTACAAGATCTTAATATATATTTGAACTCTTTTTCTTTAAAATTCATGATTTTTTAAGGACAATTTTAATTTCTTAAAAATTCAAGATTTTTTTTTATTTGAACTCTTTTTCTTAATTTATTTTTTAAATAAGTCTCTTAATTTTTTTGTCATCCAGTTCCTCAATTTGTAATTTGTTATCTTTTTTAATATGTAATTATTAATATTCAACTTGATGATATATAGTTGATGTGAATGACGATGCAATAATTATATTTATATTTTAGTTTTAGAAGTCCTAATTTTATAAGCTAAAATTTTATTAAAAAATATAAAAAATAAACAATGTTATTAATGAGACATTTTATTATGTTATATCTCAATTAAATTACATGAATAAAATGTTATATAAAAAATAAAATAATCAACAATTTTTTAACAGATGAATTAGATAAAAAAGCATTTTGGGGAGAGGAGCGAAGGAGACCAGAACCTACTCTTATTCTCTAAATCTGTCCTTAATTATACATGTTTGTGAAATTTATTATTTTACATGAAATAAATTGATAACGCTGTAGCAAAAGCGCATGAAAGTTTCAAAAGAAATTTTTTCTTTTGCTAGATTATTTTTGTTTATTGTGAAACTTTTGTGAAAAAATATTATAATATATATATTTTTGTTTATTGTGAAACTTTTGTGAAAAAATATTATAATATATATTATGCATGTACAATGTATATAAAATTTTTTTGTTAACCTTATTTCTTAAGGTTAAGTTTAAACATTCAAGAATAAGCAATTTTTTATTAAAAAAATATTTTTATATTAAAATTAAAAAACACAATAAACATTTTAAATAAGTTTTTATTTAATTAATTATTTAACTTTGATCTTAAACGATAAAATTAACACTTTTAGTGTAAAAGTGAGAAATGTGAGATGTATAGTGTATGGACTCTAAAAGACTAAAACTGCTTTCGTGAATCATGATCATGATTTTATTGTCAAAAACAACATATCATAACATTTTTATCAAATTTGCCCATGTGATAGAGGTCTAAAAAAGGAAAGCATGAGATAAAATGAATGATGTGACAATAAAAAAAAAACAAAATAAAAAGTTTTGTAAACTTTTATTACACATGTAACACTACTCTTGGAATTATGTTATTACTCTTGGAATTATGTAATAACAATAAGTTGAAATATGATAAAATTATAAATTATATTTTATCCTAAATCAATATAGTAGTCCTCTGTATGGACAAGTGGAACACAAATAAGTAATAAACTCGTGGAGCACGTGTATGCATGGGGAGGGATGCAGCTTGAGTTAGCGTGAAGTTTAATTTAATAACAATAAAATTGACTATTTGAGAAAAACGAGTTTATCTTTTTTGTTTTTTCTTATAAATTAGATTTTTATTTCTTAATTTATAAGATGCTCGAGTTCAATGGGAAACGTTCATATTATATGCTTAAATTTTATAACTAAATTTCAATAGGTATCTAATACCGTATGTAAACAAATCACGTGCCAAGCTTCTTGAAAGTTTTAAAACAAATATATGAAAGTTTGATTCTAAATATTATAAACAAAAATACACATTAAACTTGAATAATAAATATCAAAACTAAAATAGACATGTGTCAAGCTTTGATTCATTTAACAAACCAAAAAAATGAAACTAAAATAATCAATTCCAACTCATTTGCTCGTAAAATTTAATTCATTGAGTTAGATCAATGAATCATAGTCTGTATGCATATAGTTTTGAATAACAACATGCAATATTACATACTACTATTGTTTTCCAAGAGCATCGGTCGGCAACATGAGTTCATGGGATTGTGGAAAAATTGGACACTATCCAACCACTGCTAGAAAAAAAGGTGAAATTTAAGATTCTCATGCGCTAATAAAATCTTGAACCCACCATTAAATATTCACTGTCTTGTCCAATTCTGTCATCATTATCATACTTGCTGTTATAGAAAAATATATATTAATTTTAAATAATTAAAATCGATTTTTTTTAACAAATTAAAACATAACAAATATTAATAAAATTTATTATTTTTAAAATGTTCAAAATTAATTTTAAAGATTAAATCCAACAAAATTATAAAAAGAATGTTAATTTACATATGAAGTTTTATCTTATAATAACATTTAAAATATTTTAAATTTGTGTTTACAAGGTTATTCTTTTGTTATGTGTTGTTATTGCTTGGCCATTATTCTACAAACAGCACACCAATGTTACTACTAACACCACTTACTCTCAGTTGGATCATTATACACATTATCAACGACATCATTCGCTGCACTGCATATAACTTCGCTATTTCATAATTCAACAAAATGTGTAACGAATTTTTAGTCAATACGGCGTCTGTTAAAATGGATTAAAACTTTTTTAATAATATTTCAATTAAAGAACTGGCCAGGTTGAACATTTGGTTAAACCTACTTTTACATATTATAAGTAAATTTAAATAGTCATACTTATATAACTTACGTCACACTCAATGCAGAAGAAAGTTGCTTCGTTTCATCAAGCATGCTCACCATCTCTTCCATTTCATTTTTGTTTTCAAATTTAGCAGGGTTTTGAGACAATCCACCATCTCCATGTATCAAACAACTCAATCGTTCAATCCAAGTATTTAAAAACTCCTGGAGGCAGAAAGATGTGAAAAAATATATATTATACATTGAACTTCGATAGAGTCACATTTTAACTTTGTATTTCAACACAAAGTAAAAAAAATGTGGCTTACCTTTATTATTGCAGAATTAGGTGGTCCCTTACTAAGACACAATTCATCAACTGCCAAATGTAGATTTTCCAACATATCCCAGAAGCAGTCAACACTCAGAGACATGTTAATATCACATTTAAATCCACTATCCGATGTCTGACCAGAAACAGGAACAGAGCTTTTATTTGAAAGACTGGAACAGTTTACTGAAGAATACTCCTTAGATGTTGAGTCAGAAGCTTCTCCAACAACCACACTGTCTACTCTACTCGGAAACAACACTTGTAATACGAGCTCTCTTTGCTGACATATTGTGAAATCCACATGCACAGCATCTGGACACAAAATCTCTGAAGTGTTCCGTAACCTGGCAACAACCAAGGGATTGCCAATCATTTTAAATGCTTCAGCAAAGACTTTCAAACCCAGGTGCTTCTTCCCTCTCCGAAGAACATTACGAAATTCCGATGGCAGTTGTGACATCACATGGCTATTCCCTAACAGATGGCAAAGTAACTCCAAATGCTTCCCAGAAATGAGATGAAGCAAACATATTGAAACAACTGATCTCAGAACAAACAAAGGAAAATAATTCTTCACATCTAGGTTTGATTTTCCAATCCAATTTTTGGTGCTATTTTGATCATAAAGAGACTCACAGACAACTCTGGCAATGAATTTATAGACATCTTCTATGTCTGGTCGTACGTCAGCTATTAAACTTAAATTTGAAAGGGAATTGTCACCCTGGTGAATGAGCCATTCAATAAAAGATGATTTTGTAGCAAAAATGAACCCTTTATGGCATGATGATAAGAGCAGAAGGCGGTCAATGAGATACATATAACAACTGGGACATATATAGTCAACTTCCTTGATCCAATTCACATTGTAAGTGTACTGCAATGCTTCATAAAACTTAAACATGCAATGCTTCTCTTTAACTGCTGCATTGCCTTCTGAAGTTTCTTGAGCTGAACTCCACAGCAAGCTCTTAATGAACTCTTTCCAGACTGGATTATCTTTAAATCTTGTCATAATGTCCATATACAATTCATTTTTCAGATTAGCTGTACCAAGTATCATAGCTACCACCCTTCCAATTTGACCATAAGTCAGCCTATCTTTCCTATCAATGTTTTCATAGATGACCTCTTTAACCAAATCCTGACAAGTCTCAGTTGTTCGAAGAGAAACCATGTCTTTTATCAGGGATTTCCTCCAGTCTAGAGGAACTGAATAGCGAAAGAAATAGTCAATTGGATTTCTGCAAAATTTCTCCAATGTTTTCAAGTTACCATGGCTGTGGCTAAAACATTTGGATTCAAGGAGAAATTTTGAGACCTCATAGATAAGCAATAAACACCTGAATTGACAAAACTCGGAAAGAAGTTTATTAACTGAAAACTTGTAGAGTGCATCAAGAACATGCAAGACTTCCGTGCCAACAGACAACAATTGCGAACACCAGTAACTCCGAGCAGCAGAAACTAAATTTTCAACATCAATACAAGCTAGCCTTCCGGTCTTCTTTAGAAATCTATCACCCAGTTTTGTCACCCAGTTAGCATCAGGGATGAACAAAACATAAATGCCATTTAAAATAGAAGTTTGCTCCCGAACACCCAAATAATTCAATGCAAATTTTCTATAACTTCTGTGCTCATGAATATCTTGTGATTTGAGACCTGGAAGATATTCCAATATATGAACAATGTTGTCCTTCCAACATGTCCAACAATGAAACAATGTCTCCACAGAAAGTTGATTCTTCAACATCATTCCTTCCATAAAATCATCAAACACACTGTTTAGCCAGGCAAACTTGGAGGAGTTAAGCTGAAAATGAGCATCCAAAAGCTTCCACCAACATAATATTTCACCTCTGATACTGCCATATATGTGAGAAGTTTTCAAATGATTCAGTATCTCAAATTTTATTATGCTCATTTGATAATATTTCAGCTTCTGTAGATGCAAACATATAAAAGCTGCTTGACTCTTCCTTTGCAAATGATACTGCTCTACTCAAAAGCTCAGGTTTCTGGGCAAACTGCTTTAAGGGCCACCCTTTGCTTCCTGCAGACCAAAGAGAATTTGCAAAAACATAGAGAAGCAAAAGTTTGCAAGCTTCCTTGAATTTACCAGCTTTTCCCAATAGATCAGCCTCATGTAGAACATCACCCATCATCTTAGAAACATTTGCTGCCTCAGTAAAGTTCCCTGATTCCTCTTCTAATACAAGAAGCTCATCAAGTAAACTTAAAGATTGTAAGAACTCACGCTTCAAATCCATTGAGTGAAAAGCTCTAACAAATTTCATCATGGATCTAGTATCTTTACGTTCAAAGTAATTATGAGCACAGCTTTCCAGAAATTTTTGCTCTATTGTGTATAGTTCATGACTTTTACCCATACAATGATCAGCATTTTCCTTTTGTTTCCAGTGTTGAATATAATATAAGCCAATGTCAAACAATTCTCCTTTTGCACAAACATTCAAACAGTCTGAGAAGAAACTGCCTCTAGCAAACACTTGAGCTGAAACTTCATAGCATCCAGCTAAATAAAAGCAATCCCCTGCTCTTTTCAAATCAGGTTTCTCACATTTCTCCAAATAAAGCTTCCCTGTCATGTCAGCAGAAACAAGATTACTCTTGTATATTAAAAGTTCAAAAATTCGATTGAATCATAAATATGAAAATGCATAAAATATATACAGCACACAAGAATGAAATTTTTTTATTGATGACAAAACTGAACAGAAAAAAGGAAATTCTCCTTCCAAGGGTTTCCCCTTTGTACAAAATAAACACTTTTATCATCTGCATAAACCTTTCATATCTTGCTGCACTTTAGTAGTCCCTGAAATTTGTGGTAATATTTTAAAGTTAAACATTAACAGAAACAATAGGTTTAACAAAATGAGTGTTCGGATTAGCTTAATTTAGAGAGATAATCTTTTTTTTTTTTTTACAGCTTATTGAGAAAGAGATTTGAAAAAAGAAAATATTTTCCTTTTAAAGCTTTAAAACAGGCTTACGACAAAAATTTGAGAAATGTTAAAAAGGAATAGACATGCATCTCACTAGAATTCCTACAAATATATAAAAAAGTTGCAAAAACAAGAAACAAATATTTATTCAATTTCAATTACATGCTGTTAAAAAAAAAACATCAATGTAAACATATGGGTAAGCTATGCACGGCATCAGTTTAAAAATACGTATTTAAGATAACTGGATAGTGAGAGATAGTCCCAATGACTCAAAGTCAACTGATTTTTTATAGTATCCAACAATGCTTATTAAACATGCAAAAGAAAAGCAAGATACAGCTGATGGGTTTTTTTTATTCCTGTGATACTGTTCGGAAATGAGATTCAAAATTGAAAATTAAAAAGGATTTCATTGAATTGAATGAAAAAAGGTAAAAATAGGAGACCGATCTCAAAAGGAGCATATAAAATCAGATCTTTGTATGTATTTAACATGTACATATATCATAGGTCCACATGTAAAAGATTTTGTATTCATTACACGAGTTTCAACTTTTATAATCATTAGTTAAATTATCGTTCCTCTTTCATTTTTTTTTTTCTGTTTTATAAGCAGGTTCCAATCTGCAAACTGGCTAACACCAGCCAACGAGCACAAGACATGACCATGTAGGATATAAATTCACTGTTTTGTAAAATGATGTCTTAATTCCTAAAAAGAAAATAAATAAAACTCTAAAACAAGTAAAATAGTTATAATTCGTCAGCATATGGGATAAAAATATTGATGTAGATGCCAAAGCTCATGTTCATACCAGCTCTTTCATAATCCCCCAAATCAGAAAAACACTGGGCAGCAGAATCACCCATGCCTATGCCTTCAAAAATTTCAGCAGCTTCCCTAAGAATTGCATTTGCATCCTCAGGATTCAAATCACGCAGACGGTTTGCAGTTGCCCAAAGACCAGCAGCCTTAGACTTTCTCTCCCAATAAGAGTCCCCTGCTCTTTCAAAACACATTGTTGCCATCTCATAATTACTTTGATAATAAAGCTGCAAAGGAACAGCCAAAGTGCAATGATATCATTTGGAGGGAAAAAAATTTGCGGGACAGAAGTATAACATCTAAATAATTAGCTGCATGATTCACTTAGTATTAAACTATTCAAGAATAGTATGATATAATTCATGACGTATAAAGATAATGTTGATTTCAAAGCAAAATACAATAAGCAACCTGACACCACAAAATAATGATTCAGTCTAATGAAACAAAAAAAGGCATGACATGTGTTAATTTAATTTATTACTATAAAATGAATGTGATGGTCAGTTATATAAATAACCTTTTTGCCACGTGACCTCCATTCTTCTGGACTACTTGCAGCTTTCATTGCCTGAGCAAGCGAATCATCCAGTTCTTTAAATTGTACAAGACATTTCTTTCTCCAATAATCAAACATCGGTTTAGAGTAGTCCTCAGTATTCTCACATATCCACAATCTCTGTCTTGTACGAGTTATAGCGACATATAGCTGCTTAAGTTCAGAGCACAAGAGATTGTGTTTAGAATCATTGAAAATTGGACAAGACTTCAATTCTGTAGGTCCTAACATATCTTGTTCCTTCATATACTCATATATCACCCTCCATCGATTTTTCAAAGGGGAAGAGCCAAAAAAGTTATACAGCAATACATCCTGGAAAATATAACACAGCAGAGCATTAAAAAGACATAACATACACAATAGCAATGAATTCGATAAGATGATATGATGACAACCTGAAACTCGAGGCCTTTGCACTCTAAAATTGTTAAAACAAGAGCTTGTTTCCCCACATACTCTAAGATTTCCTTACGAGCAGAATCGTCTCGTACCAAAATTACTTGCTCTGCTCCAAAGCCAACAAATTTCCCACCCAAATGTCCACTATTGCCAAAAATAGTTACAATTGCATTTTTTCTACTTCCACATTCAAGAACAACTGGACCTTCCTCATATATCAAACTGGTCTCAGGCTTCAAAACATCAATAGAATGAGGAAAAAAATGGAAAAGAAGCTCAATGGTGCTCTGAGATAGTTTCAGCACTCCAGCATGAGTGCGAAAGTTCTGATTCAATAAAAAGATTTCAGAAAATTTTCCTTTCCCTTTTCCTTGGTCATTATAAATGCTTCCCTTTGATTCTTGCACAAATTTCTTGTAAAAGAGAGATTTTATATCCTGGAACCTAAAATCAATTCCCCTTGCAATTGTTTGTGCTGTGTCCCCGCAGAAAACAAAACCCTCTTCTACATTGTGGCACACATATTTGAACAAAGCAATTTGACTCATGGTTAGATCTTGAACCTCATCAATATACACAAAGTGCATCTCATCACCCTCATATCTATTAATTCTGAGTCAACGATGAAGGTCAATCACAATATCAGCCAAATCAAAATCCCCTCTATCCATCTTCAATCTCTCATAACTTTGATAAATATCATATATGATCTCTCTTTTCTGCTTGATTAGACTTGATGCACGGTTTTCAGATAAGGAAAGATATTCCTCACGGCTTAGCTTACCATCCCTGGATTCCATAGCATGCATCCCTCCTTTTATATGCGTTATGATTTCAGTGAACACTCTAGAGGAATCAAGCTTCTTCGTATACTGGGAATTAAAATGGGGCCAATATAATGAATCGAACCTGTCATAAGTCACCTCCTTCTTTCTTATGAATGACTCCAA